GTCTCCGCCGTCGTAGACGCCAACGGGTTGTCAAAGTACGAGGCGATAGTTTGGGTGCAGCGCTGCGCCGTGAAGAGGCTCACATCGTTCAAGAAGCTGACGTGAGCTAGCATGCTCGAATCTCGATCGATCTCCCTAGATTTTTCTGGTTTTTTCGTGTTTGGATGATGCGATTGTATATTAAAACCATCCACAATGTGGGTGGGAGGGAAATGTGGGAAAAGAGGGAAAAGAGGGGGAAAGAGAGGTTTTGGTCACAATGTGGAAGGTGGGAAAAGTGGGTAATTGGTTTTGTAATTTTTTGTTAAAATCTATCTATAGTTGATTTCGTTACTTTATTTTTATATACTGATCATTATTTTTACGTAGTTAGTGGTAATTAATTAATACGAGCATTTTGATATAATTTTTTTTAATTTGGACAAAAAATTTTATCACAAATTAAATATAACGTCATTGATTCTGTTGCGGATAAAACCAATCAAAACACCTCACAATAAAAGAAAACCGTAAAAACAAATAACTTAGAACAAAAAAACAACAAAAAAAATTAAAAAATAAATTATGTGCGGGCTCGACAGTGGGCCCCTCCCCCTCCCTTCCCCACCATTTGTCCTCTAGTGGTGGGTATTCCAACCCACATTTCCAACATTTCCCATTTTTCCCCCCACCCACACACACTATGGGAACATTTCTCACTTTTCCCATTTTACCAACATTGTGGGTGGTCTAAGCCCCCCACCCCCCCACACTATGGGAACATTTCTCACTTTTCCCATTTTACCAACATTGTGGGTGATCTAAGGCAACAGGGAAGGAATTGTGATGTGGTGGTTGTGTGAGATGTATATGTGTGCGTGTTTGCATTACCGGAAATAAGAAGGGAAGAAAAAAGCTATATTGTTGTTGGTGCTATTCGAGATCTGTTTGTTCTCCGGGAAAACTGGTTTTTGGAACTTTCTCGAGAAAGGGTTTTGGTCTGAAATGGCAACTGACCGACCGATTTTTCAAATTTATTTTATTAAGTGTGCTAGGGTTTGGTTCTGGGTCGAGTAGGGTTAATGGGTTGGGTTAGGTCATTTGACCCTTTTTTCCCAAAATGATGATGATTAGGCGTTCCTGTTAGCCTCGTCAGCACATAACGGACTCCATTAACGGAGAGTGACTAAATGTGACTTTTTCAGTAATTACAGTGACCAAATTTGATATTAATTTTTTCTACTGACTAAACATGACACAATTTAGTGATCACAGTCACCAAATATGGCATTAACCCTCAAACAAAATGATCTAATTCAGATCAGACTATATAAATTGTTTGGTTGAGATCAGACTTATCTAGATGTAATATATATCTAAACAAATAATACAATCCCATTTTATCCACATTTTCCCAACTATCTGATCTATTTTTCCCTGTCTTGCTTCAAAGTCTATGCCATCATAGTTTGGAATTGGCGGGGCAGGCTCTTTTATTTCCACCTTTGGACTTTTCAATAATAATATGTTTGTTGGAATTACATGTCTTGACTACATGTCAATATCAATATGTCATACTCTGTATTCCAACCACACTTGTCATCGCTAATTCGCTATGATCAACCCCAAGCTTTGACCGAATCCAATTGTAGATCATATGATCTTTCAAAACACAAATATTACTAAAACTTTCATTTTTCAAATTCCCAAAACAAATAACATATGCTCCAAACTCTACACTAATTTTAAAACTTGAAAGACCTTTAGCTTCAACTTTAACTTGGACTGACAATATCAAGATGATACTTGCTTAGTTGCTTTGCAGTGCAGAAATTCGAAGTCAGGCAAAAGCTACAGGACGATGGTTCGATAATTTCTAAGTTCTCGTCTCCATGATCAAGAGACAAGACAAGGCGACAAACAAAGATAGAAAACGACACTATTAATTAACTAGCCGGTTACCGGGGGTCCAGATCGGGTCAGTAATTGATGGGTCAGTAACCCCTTCTATGGTCCCCACGTGTCAGACACTTTTTTATTTAAATTAAATGTGAAAAGGGCAGTACAGTAAAATGACACTTTCTCCTATTTATTGCTGAGGCTGACTTTTGACCGGATCACATCAGCGCCTTCTCTCTCCTCGCAAAATATTTAATTTTCCTTCCCTTAATCTTTAACGAACGATTTCTCACTCATTTTAAGTCGAAATTTAATTTTTTTTGCACAGTTAGATCAGATTAATTGTGCTCTTCAAAATGATATCCACTTTGATATTTTTTGGACATAAAAAAAATTGTCAGTTATTACCGGTCTATACCATATGGTATTGACTGGTATTGACCATACCATATGGTATGACAAGAATTTAACACATCAATATATATTACGTTACCACCCAATACCATATGGTATAGTGTGGTAATATCAATATATATTTCGTTACCACCCAATACCATATGGTATAATATGATAATATCAATATATATTACGTTACCACCCAATACCATATGGTATAGTGTGGTAATATCAATATATATTTCGTTACCACCCAATACCATTTGGTATAATGTGGTAATATCAATATATATTTCGTTACCACCCAATACCATATGGTATAGTGTGGTAATATCACACAATACCATACAATATCATATGGTATAGTGTGGTAATATCAATATATAATTCGTTACCACACAATACCATACATTACCATATGGTATAGTGTGGTAATATCAATATATAGTTCGTTACCACACAATACCATACATTACCATATGGTATAGTGTGGTAATATCAATATATATTTCGTTACCACCGAATACCATATGGTATAGATTTATAATATCAATATATATTATCTAAAAGAAAAAAAAAACAGAAGGAGGTAGAGAAAAAAGATCGTCTTGTGTCGCCTCTCATTTCCTCTTCCGCAATCAAGAACACCAAAATGCCAAAAAAATGAGAAAGATCGAAATTGAGGCCAATGAGATGATGAAGAGAAGAAATGCAATGAAAAAGAGTGGCTCCAATTTTTATTCGTCATGAAAAAAAATAAAGAAGAAGAGAAGGGAGCAGATTTAGATCTAGAAATGAGATTGAGAGAGAAAAAGGAAGAGAGAAAGAGAGAGGATCTGGAAAAGAGATTGGGAGAGAAAAAGGAAGAGAGAAAGAGAGAGGATCTGGAAAAGAGATTGGGAGAGAAAAAAGAAGAGAGAAGAAAGATAGAAAGTTGCAGAGAAGTGATTCTCTTTCCTTCCTTAAAAGTGCAGCCATTAAATACGAAATAAAATAAAATAAAGAATTTAATATATAAACGGACAAAAATACCCTTCTCCACTCAGCATCCGGCCCAACCACACGATTGCCTACCTCTTAGATCTATGGTCCCTATTCATTACTGACCCTATCTGCTGCTGGTTACCGGCACTCCGGATTGTAGACAATTAGCGGAATTAATCAAATTGCAAACTTCACAACATTAACAAATTGTATTTATATTTTTTTTCCAACCATTGAATATAATAGTTTATTATACTTGTAGGCCTTGTATATTGTCGTATCTATGCTACTTTCCTCCGGGGTAACTATAACAAAAAATAAAAGATTATACTTAATCTTATTTTTAGTAGATATCTTATAACAAGGAGATCATTTGTGGTATGTACTGAAATTTGAGGTAGAGAGAGAAAAAAAGTGGTTCAATATTTTGTTTATAAAGTGGCAAAATTAAATATCTTTTTAAAAAGTATAGTCTTAATTTATTTCAGGACCAAAATAGATGAAACTAATAATTCAAAGTATGATAGAATTATAATAAATTATCGCTATATGCATATGGTTATTCTATCAAAACTCAAAGTAATATTATTTAGGTTTGATGGTTAACTTCGATCGATCATTTGGCTGATACGGCGATTTGGTATAGTGAGAATATGTGATATGTTTCGTGTGGCTTACAACGATCAATTTGTTTCTCATTGTTTTCAATGGAAGATGCATACAATAATAAATAGCAGTTGAAGATTGAAACATAAAACGATCCACCATCTTTATTAGGGTGGGCAACGGGCGGGTTGGGTGGGTTTTTTATCTCAAATTGACCCACCCGCTTACTAGTGGGTTGGGAATAATTGTGACCCGCAATCCACCCACATACTTCAGCGGGTTGGGTTGGGTGCATGGTGGATGGGTGCGGTTGGGTTGCAGGTCAACCCGCAAAAGCAATTCTCCAACTAGCCATTAAGAAAGTTGACTAACATTTATAATAAGTTCATAGCAAATTAGTAAGACTTTATCAATAATTTGTGATTTTGATACAATTAATAATTTGCATCCCAATATTTAATGGTTATTAACAATAATCTGCATACCAATATCCAATATGTAATGGATATTGCACAACACAATGGCCAATAATAGTAGTCAAAACTATTATTTATTCTCCACCTTTAAAAGTATATGGTCAGACTGTAGGGCAGTTCGAAAATATTATGAATATTCGATACTATAAGAAACAACATTTTTTCAAGTAAAAATAGGATGCGGGTCATATGGGTGACCCGCAATCCACCCACCACCCACCCACATAAGTGTGGATGGGAGATTTACCAATCCGCAATCCAACCACGTCAATCACCCACTCCGTACAAATCGAGTTATTTGCGGGTGGATAGATATCAATTCGCGAATTAACCACCCATCTGTCCACCCTAAATCTTTATGTACAAGTTGATTGGTTCAACCTTAATTTCACTCTTTTTGTTGGTCAGTGACAAATCACTAATCAACAAACTCAAAAACAGATTTTACTTGAAAGTTTAAACCAAGTCACTATGATGAAATCATTTAACAAATACAGTCCACCGGTTTAATGGAATCACTGACTTTGATTTTTTCTCGAAATACCAAATCCTTCTTTAATCTTTAGACTCCTTTTCCTTTCCCCTTTCCCTAAAAAATCTGATTAACCACAGAAAAAGAATAAATATATACTTCATCAACATCCCTTCCCCATTAGTCACCCATTTTTAGAAGCAAACAGCTAACAAAACGAAGCAGCTGCTGGGTTGCCGGGATTTTGCTCATCCCCCAACGTTGGCTTTACTTTCACTTCTTCATTTCCGTTCCTTCCATTCCTTCCCTCTTTTCTCTGGTTCCAGCTTGTTCTTTTAACTTCGATGGAGCCAGCAACCCGAGAATCAGAATCAAACCCTACTCACTTCCCCGGCATCTGAATGAAACCCACTTCCCGTTCCTGCGAGATTCGTTGGTGGGTTTGATTTGACTAGTTTCTCTTTGGGGGAAAGTAAACTCCGAATCATGCTTTGTATTTTTGGCTCTGTTCATGGAGCTCAGTTTTAGTTCCCTTCCCTTTGGTTCCTTCCTGCAATTGGGAGTCATCCCCTGAAGAATCCATGGCAGATCCATTTCAGTTACAGCTCTAAAATAACCCTTGAAAATCTCAGCGGTATGCCTACTTCTTCTACCCTCCTCACTCTTTCCATTATTGTTGCTCTCGAATGTGCTGCTACTCATTTGCTCGTTTTCTTAACTTTGACCAGGTCGTACTTTAAGCTGAAAGCTGTTCATTATCATGTCACCTGAACTCTGCGGATTGAATTTGTTTCTAGCACTCCCAGATGATGTTTTTGCTATCATATCTCGCTCCCTTTCGCCACGGGACGTCTGTAATCTCAGCATCTGCTGCCGTAGCTTAAAAGTTTTTGCATCCTCGGAGAAAGTTTGGCTAACCCAATGCGAAATCTTGGACATTCTCCCTCAACTGGAGCTTATCAATTGGAGAAGAGGTGTGTCATCATACAAGGCTCTATGCCGCTTCCTTGTCAGTGTAAAGCCATTGATTGGGATTTGGGTTCATCAGAACCCTGAGCTCGGTAATGTAGTCTATGTCATGCCTGGTTTTGTGTCTGTGGTTGGGTGTCGAATCATACCACAAGAGCTTGGTCCTTTGGGGATTGAAGACGGCCCTATACTTTGGGCACCCGTGTTTGAGATAATAAGTGATGTTGATGGTTCCACCTCGTTTTTTCTTCATGGTAGAGAGAAAGGAAATGACTTTATCTATCCGGGTTCGTTCAAGCCTTCTGATAGGAATTGCAATGTGATGTTACTCGAGATCGAGCCTCGAGAGCAGCAGCCGAAGAAGAATGATACGGGTAAGAGGCTGTTGCATAGTCAGAGTTTTGCTTGCATCCCAGAGAAGGATCAGTCAATTAAAGTTGCTAGGTCCAGTAGTAGTTTGTCAATGTCGCGAAGGGTAGTTCGGCATACTGAGTCCAAGGCGAGTTTTAGTAAGCTGGCTTTCAGTGATAGAAGGAAGTTGATTGAGGTTGTGACTCGAAATACTCGCCAAGTGTTGCCTGATTCAACAAGTGCTCCGCTTTTCCCACTCTATAGGGGTGATGAAGCGAGAGATATGGGGGTTTTGTGGCGGCGTAGATCTTTGCTTCTGGAGATACACAAGCTTGGTGGAGATGGCATTGATTGGAAACGGGTTCCAGAACTACCCTCCAATCACGTTTCATCGCAATCAAATAGCATGAAGAAAAGCATGGATCATCACTCAAGTGAGGTTTGTGGCTCAAATGGAGTTGTGAAGAAAACACTTGGTGGGTATATAAGGGCTAGTCTGAAGCAAATTTTAGGCAAGTCACCTTCGGGAGGGCATAGACGTGCCAAGACTTCTACTTCGAGCAGTGACAGTAAGCACATGAATCTTCACGATTTCTTGTCATCAGGCGACACGATAGGATTGGCATTGCGTCCTGTGACGTTGAGGTTTTCTTCTTACAGAGCCTGGCCAAATATGCACGACAGTCGATTTGCCCTCTACAAGTTGCCCTTGTGGATTCCCCGAGCTGACCAAGAGTTGGCCGGTTTATGGGGTGGAACTTTCGGGTGGCCACCTGGGAAGCCTTCTGAGGATAAGCCTGGGAAAGCACTCTTTTTTTTGTTAATATCTTATGATGAATCTGAAGGTCATCGTAGTCTTATGGCTACTAAGATATTGGAAGGAACTCATTATGTACTTCATCCCAATGGCTCAGCAATGTTTATAGTGAACATAGATGAACCTTCTAATGATTTGTTTCCTTGGGATGTTAGTTTTGATCATGCATTTGCTGGGGAAGGTATTGCCCATGGATATGGGTTCAGATATCCAGGGTCTAAACCGGGTTCACTGTTTGTGATTCGCGATGGTGTACTGGCGTTTGTTTGGAAGGAGTCGCGAACTGTGTTGACCATGCAGCGGGTGAACTTGGAGGAGCTACTGAGGAAAGGTGAACAAGTGCCTGCACTTCCACCCATTGCAAACTTCGCGTACTTAACTAAATCCTACTCGAATGTCTTTGTCGGCTTCTCCAATGCAGGAACTTGCATGTCTTCACCAAGGTTTGACTTCCTTTCCCATATCCTTTCTCTAAAGTGACATATTTTTATTTCTATTTTTGTTCTACTTTCACTCATCTAGCTATCTTGTTATAATTCATCAACTCATCTAATTGGTTCTCTGTGATATGTCATGGGAAAACCATTTAGAGCAGTATGCAAACTTCATCTGTAACAGTATTCATCAGCTCATCTAATTGTTTCATGGAATAGTTGGTATAAGGCCGACTGATGTTTAGCTTGTACAAACTCTGCTAAGGCAGAAGGGTGTTCCTAGTGTAGCTCTATTGTTGAAATGTTTATAATATCAGACTTGAATCTACCTGTCGATTTTCTTATGGCAGGCAAAGGCAATGATATTATGCGAGGAAGAAGATTCATTTCGTGGAGCGTATGATGAAATGGGCTGTCAATGGTGCTTCATTATAAGATGACTCCCTTAGATATATTCCATGTATGTTCAGTGTGAACGTGACTTCATAGGATTATATATGTACGGTTTCCTTCTTCACATGTGTGAATAAGGTGTACAATAGTTGTGAAGTTGTTAATGTTTGATGTCCATTTTTTTTGTTGATGATTTGGTGAAGGACATGATTGATTGAAAATATAGAAGTCTGCCCCTCTGCTTGATAGCTTTTTGTGATTGAGTGTTACTTAGTATGATACCATTGTTCATATAATTGTATAAATGATGGGAATGTTGCGACTCTTGTGAGATTCGAATGATCACATCATGGTCATTGGTATCGCACGACCAATGTATTCGAATCACATCATGGTCATTGGTATCGCACGACCAATGTTTGCTTGGTGAACGATAAGTCGATAACATATCTTGAATAAGAGAACTAATAGGGAATCAGTAATTGGACCATGATGCCTCTCTGTGTTCCTATTTGTTTTTGTATGGTAGCTTACTAGCTTTGAAATGGTGGATGGTTAATTGGTTATAAGTTTGGGTACCAAGGTTCTAAGTTCAATTGAGAATTCATTTGTTTTGGGTCATATGTAATTGGTCTCTTTTTTAAAGCGTTGTCTACAGAAGAATATAAGGCAATGTCAACATGAAAAAGTTGCCACATCAGCCCAATCTCTGCGTACCGCACAGTTCGGAAGGGCTGGTTGGTATTTTTACAGCCCTTTTTTTAATCACTTTATTTATTAACCGTACCCAATTCCATTTTTTCCGTTGCGGTGAAAATTGCTCCAACCACTTCTTTTGGTTTATTTATTTATTAATTGTTTATTATTTTGTTGGGCTGGAAATTTACAATCGATCATCATTTATTATTTATTTTGTATAACCGTTGCTGGGTGTCTTGGATTTAAATATTTTTTCTAGAATGTGTGTATTTATAATATGTGTGTATATAAAGAATATATTAGTTACATTATCTCAATTGAGAAATAAAATTAGGATGGTATAAAAATTCATGTACACAATATCTATAATCATATTTGCAGACAACGTGAAATAGTGTTTGTTCTTGATAAAAAAACAAAATTTTCATATTTTTCCAAAGAAGCACATATTATTAGTGATTTATGAATTTTGATGGAGGATAAATTATTTGGCATGGTAGTGTCCACTATTTATTTTTTGAATTCTAATTGATTTATTTATAACTTTACCAAATCAATGAACCTCATAGTGCAATAAATTTTATTCTTAGTTTAAGTCTATATTTGACCTAAATTTTTGAAGTCTTTTCTGCTTTAAAAGGTTAAGTTGGGCCAATTAGCTCGAAAAAACATTTTTTTGAAAAAAAGATGAACAGTTTTTTATATAACACATAAGTCTTATTTGGAGCTCTTACGAAAAATTATTTTGAAAGTACGATATTATCTATACTATTTTCAAATTCATTTATAAAATTTAATTTATTTCAATTACATTAATTTTAAAATTAATAAATTAGAAAAGTATCATTTGGTATAAAGTAAACCCAACAATGTTTACTTAAGGCTCATATATTAATGAATACGATATGGAAACTATGAAATGTACATGTCTGTCATTTTAACACAAGACAACTATTACTACATACAATAGGGTAGTTTCTACGATGTCATTCAAGTATTCGAAATAAACCAAACATAATAGTAAGTTAGAATGTCAAGATATAACTCCACCGGCCAATCGGCCGGGCCCTATGCTAGTTCCCCTTATGGAGGAGTGCTGGATATGATTGAGGATCTTTTCAAAGCAAATTTGACCCCAAACCATCTTTTTAGTAACCATTTGCTTTTCTTATGGTGGTCTCTAAAGTTGAATGCAACTTTTTTTTTTTTACGGTTGAATGCTTAAATGCTCATCGCATAGTTTTTTTTTTTACGGTTGAATGCTTAAATGCTCATCGCAAAACTATGTACCATTTGTTTAGAAACAATCACTTTGTTACGAACCTTAACCCAGACCCTTTCTAATTCCGAGAATGAGCTTCTGCTTTGTGCTATCACTAACGATTCGTAGTTGATGCTTGAGGCGGTGGCAAGATGGGAAGACGCTTGGTCGAGTTAACAGATGAAATGTTGATCGAATGATTTTGGTTGCATAGCCAGCATATTAGGCACACTTGACCCAACTGGAGTAAAGCAAAGGCATGCATGAAAGCTGAAAACCAGAACACCATTAAGTGAAGAAATCCACAATCCTGCTGCTGCAACAACCACCTTAAAAGAACATGAAAGCAGAACATGTGATGAAATAAAAAAGACATCCCCATTTTACATTTTCAATCTTCAGTTTCAAGCATTTTTGTTTTCGAACTTTGACGAGACATTTGACACCATATTCTCAAATGTCTCACAGAAGCGCCAACAAGGTCATCTCGAGAGAAAGAGCAGTGATGAACTATGCAACACTACAAAAAGGTTAACAGGCTCTGTAGAACAGCAATGTTCAGAACACCTTCCAATGATCCGTTATGTTCATATGAAGATTCACAGAATGAGATGGAAGTAGTTTCTTATTGTCTATGGGGGCATTCAAACTAGAAGTCTAGAACAAAAGAGCAATAAGAACAACACAGAAAAAGTAGCATATATGCACATCCAGGCCAGAGAAAACATAACAGAAATGGTATAAAGTAGGAGAAAACCTTATACAACAAGGTCATTCTTTTTTACCAGATTATATGGCATATGCACGCACCCAGACTCGGTTAGCGACCATGTTGCTATCCACCATTGACCGTTTCTGGTTTGGTCGATGCCTGCAACATGCATTAAGACTGGACTAACTGCAACCTGCATAAGCCTAGCAGTTCCACAGGGAAACAATTTCACCCATTCTGAAATGCTATAAGTGCCCTAAAGCACGGTTTCGCACTCACCTTCACCCTGGCTACTACCTACTGTGTCAAATCAACAAGCGAAGTTAGTATTCCATAACCCTGACGAACGAAAGAAATTCACATTCAGATAAGATTGACTTACTACTACAGCACATTTGCCAGCACCATGTACATAGATTTATCAAACAAGGCATATATGCAAACAAAACAGCTAGGGCTCTGGCCTCTCCATGCTTTATGGCATTATGCACGGACAAAGGGAAAACCCATTACAACAACAAAATGGAGAGAGACAAAAGGGGGCACCACACCAGATGTACCCTAGGTTGCTTTCACCTTATCATCTCCAACAAGTATCGGCAAACTACTCAGGAACTCGTCGAGCCCTTCGAAAAAGCCAATCCCTTCAATATTATCTTCAACCCCACCATGTGAAGCAGTAGCTTCATTCCCTTCGCTGCTAACACCAGCAGCAGCCTCCTCTACTTCATTACTAAACATTACATTCAAATCCAACTTCCCCAAGTCCTTTCCCCCTTTGCTCTTCCTTGCACTACTACTCCCTTCACCCACCATTACCTTATTTTGAACAACACCATTAGTACTGCCGCTGCCATCTACATTACGGCTTATTGCCCTTTTTCTTCCTCTCTCAACTTTCTTCACATTCTTACTAGGGGGTCTCCCTCTTCTTGCTGGTGGTGTTGTTGTTTTGGCTTTCTTCACAGTCCTATCCCAATCATCATCATCGGAATCAGACTTATCATCACCAGAATAATCATCATCGCTCGAGTCAGAAAGGTCTATGTAATCATCGTCTTTGTATATAACTTTCGGCCTAGGAGGAGCCTTACCAGCATCAGCAGCAACAGCAGAAGAAGAAGGAACTTTGTAGTTCACACCAGGTTGCACAGGCGTGGGGAACATTGCTGAAAATGGCGACCAATTACTACCACCTAATTCACTATCTTTGCTCCCACCCAAATACCCTAGTGGGAAAAAACCCCAACAGCAGAAGTGCGAATCTTTACTAGACACAGGCGGCGCTGCAATTGCCGCTGCATGAAACCCTCTCTTGCAACTTTGACATTTCAGGGCACACTCTTCGTATACCTTTGGATACTCATATAGATTGAAGCAATATGGGCATGCAGTCCAGAAACTTGGCCCCTGAGGCTGCGACGTCTGCTTCTGCTGCGGAGTATCAGCTGCTGGCCGGCTTGAAACTGGTGTGGCTGCCAAAGGTGGGCTACGCTGAGCAGCAGCAGCTGCTCGGGTTGAAACTGGGGTGGCTGCCAATGGAGGAGTTCGCTGAGCAGCAGCTGGTCGAGTTGAAACTGGTGTGGCTGCCACTGGAGGGCTTCGCTGAGCAGCAGCTGGTCGGGTTGAAACTGGCGTGGCTGCCACTGGAGGTGGAGGGCTTTGCTGTGGAGCTGCTGGTCTGCTTGAAACCGGCGTGACTGCCTCAGGAGTGCCTCGCTGTGGAGCAACCCTGCTTGCGCTTGATTCAGTGGTTGCTTTGGATGGTTGGGACTGAGCTACCGCTGGCTTAGTGGCGGGAGGCTGAGAGATCCATACCGGCTGAGTTGGTCGTGGCGACTCAGTACTAGTAGGCTGCTGCTGCTTTGGCTGAGCTATTGGTCTGGTTTGTTGGGCAAGGAAAGGCTGAGTGGGAAAAGTAGCAGTGGCTGCGGCTGCCGCGGCCGAGTTAGTGAACTGATGCTCCTGAGTAGTGTACTGTCGCGTTAACTGAGTCGAGACAGGAACCCACTGATTCGTCGTCACGGGTTCGGGATCCACCACCATCGAACCGTCGCTATTATTGTTGATTGTAGAACTCCTCACCTGAGATTGTGGCAGCATGGCGGCGTCAATGAAACCCTGGTTGGCGGCGAACTGAGCGGCGGAGAGACCGAGCTGTACGGGCTGCAAGAGCGAGTCGTACATTGGCTTCCTCTGAGGGTTGGAGAAGAGCATCCAGGCATCGGAGACGAGGCGGAATGCCTGGTCGGCGTAGGCGAAGCGGTTCCTGCTAGGGTTGAGGATGAGAGCGAGCTTTCTGTACTGAGTCGCGATTAGGTCCATGGAGTGAGTCAGCCTGGGGAGCTGGAGGAGGGCGTAGTAATCGTGCGTTTCGGTGCCGTTGTTGTGGTCCTTGACGCGGAGCTCGGCGGCGAGCAAGGTGTCGGCGACGGCGATGATTTGGTCGGAGTACTGGAGGAGGACAGAGTCGGAATCCCGGCTCGAATCCCGAGCGCGGACCGCGAACGTCTTGGCACCCTGGAGATCTCGGGCGACGAGAAGCTTCTCGGCGATAGTCAGCCACCGCTCCGTCTCGACTCTGTATGACCCGCCGCCGCCCTCCATTGATGCTGCTTCTTCGAATTTTTTTTTTGGTTCAGATTAGTTTCGCCCGTTTCCAATTTTTTCCCCTTTCTTTCTTCTGTCTGTGAGCTTAGGGCTCGAGAGAGAGTGACCGAGTGATTGAGAAGAAGGCGCGGGGACGATGGGTGAGTGGGAGTTGACGAAAATGGGCAGCAGATCCGCGGGGAATTACAAATGAGGTCAGTGGGGGGATGTGTTGATGGTGCTGCGGGGTGGGTGAGGGTGTTTTGGTCATTCTTGAGGAACATGATGTTGCACGTGGAAGTAAATAGAGGAATAACTGTGAGCGGTTTCTGAGATAGACAACGGGACTTGGGAAATGGTGAATTATGGAGGGTATAAATACTGAAATGGATTTGCTGTTGGGAGAGACTTAGGAAAAAATTCAAAATTATCACTGTTTTAAAAAAAATTACAAAAATACCATTCATTTCCAAGAATTTTCAAAAATACCATCGTTTATTAAAAATCGCTCCACTAAGGGGTGGTTAATATAGAAACCGCACAACCAGGCCGCGGTTTACCATAAAAACGCCTGGTCAACAAGCGGTTTGCCTATTTTGGCAAAAACGCTCTTCCAAAGAGCGGTTTTCATGGATGCCCTACGACAAAACGCTTTCTCAGGGAGCGGTTACATGTCGACATGGTAAAACGCTCCACAGAGAAGCGGTTTACCATGTCGAACATAAATCGGTCCCCCACCAGCGGTTTGTGCCTGGTCACCCGACATTCTACATGTCGGCATGCAGGAGATTGTAGGGGTGGGGGCTGCATGCCAGACTAAAACCGCTCCCCCCACCTGTGGTTTGTGGTGTAAAATTTGCCTATAAAAGGCAGGTCCAGAAAACTACAAAATCTTCACTCCACTCCTACTTCTTCTTCAAATTTCAGTTGTGCACCTTTAAATTATTTAGTTTTTGCGATTAACATTAATTCGTAAGTTTGTTTTGTATTACTTTTCATTGTCCTTTGTGATTTTTATGTTAGTAACTTAATTACAGTTTTATTGCTGATGGCATTCCATAGGTTCACGCTTAGGTTGCGGTGGAATGGTTACACGGAAGAGACCGAAAATGGTGTAAGTTACGTGGGTAGCAATTTTTATAAAATGAAGGTCCGTACGAGACCGATACTTGAAGAGCTCCATCAAATGTGCACTCAGATTACCTGCATGGATGACACTAGAAGAGTTGATCGTATGGTGTATCGATATCCAAACAGTCATGGCGGGTCGCTGTGGAATGAGGAATTCCTCTTTACCACTCAGGAGGACGTTGATGCCATGGTCCAATTTTTTACCACCAATAAAATTAACAAGCGGAGATGTTCGTTTACACTGAGGCGGTCGAAGGCGGTGTAGGTCATTCTGGAGATGGCCAAACATCTTATATCCACGGTGGGAGTGTATTATACGAAGATCATCCCCACCAGGAGTGCCAAGACTCGAGCTGGAGGCAGGAGTATCATGATGGAACTGGAGGTCATCATCAATCCTTCCCATCATATGAAGAAGAAGCTCAACAAGCGGATAGGAACCAACAAGCAGGCTCCCAGTACCCACCAGAGTACAACTTCTACCAACGCGGATCGCTGCGCTGGCAGGCAGTTAGGCCGTAAGATCGCCTGCCCATCGTGCGGTTGCATGGGCCGCCAAGTGGAGGCGCGTTTTGTCAGCTTCCCAATGGCAAACAGCCCCTTGCTCGCGCCGTTTGACTGAGAACCTCGCCTTCGAGGCGCGTTTTAATGGCAAGGGTGGTATTTTTGGAAATTCTTGGAAATGTGTGGTATTTTTTTAATTTTTTTTTAAATAATGGTAGTTTTGGATTTTTTCTGAAGAGTTAGGTGGGCTTATTTGTCTGGCCCAACCTGCTCATTCTATTATAGGTATTTCTGGGCTTTTGTGGTTAGACCGTTAGAGTGAAACCACTGAAGATGTTTTTTTTTCAAAGAGATTCTGGAACGGAATACGAATAAGTACATGATCAAAACTGGCCAAATTAAAAAATAATACACGCTGGTCAACAGATGTTGAACCAACAAAGAGAGGGCTTTTTTTTGTCACGATATGGGCAGCCCTTGATACCTTAATGACATGGGAAATATCATGATTTCTTCAAAATCATAAATTAGCCATGCTAAAATTGAAGCAGAAAAGCAAACCCTTGCATAGATGAAACCACATCAACACAAAAGTCCGTAAAAGCCTCCACTGGATAAACCGCTAATCCTGCAAAATAAATGAAAAAGTAGGCAAAAGGCAACCAGACCCACCCACATGGCAAGCAGTTAGTAACTGATTAGTAGTGATAAGAAAGTTGATTGTAGGGGTGCATCTATATTGCACCGCATACATAAAATTTATAATTAACCCTCTACCCAAGGTCAAGAGACACAAACGTCTCAAATAATTAAAACCTGAAAGTCACCCTTTTCTCAATCTCTCATTTGGACGAAGCGCAACTCACTTTTTTTTAAATGCTTCCTGCTTATATTATTAATGAGAAATGTTTAAACATAAGGACTCTTCCCTAAGAAGAGAAACCAAAAAAAACTGGTGGCCTATCCACCCAACATTCATCTTCCATCTAATTGCAGGCTATGTGAGCCATACAATAGGTTATCGATTGCAGGCTCTTTTAATATAAGCTCACTCTACCCTACTGAAACCTCGGCCCATCTCTCTAATATCCCTTACAATCTGGCACACTTCTAGAGATGATTCTGTCTGGCCCGCAATCAGCCTCACCATCCGCCGGCAATAGACTGGATGGCGATGGAATGCAGCTGAAGACGCTGAGCCATCTCCAAACCAAAATGCACTACCATGGCTTCCGCCTCCACTACCGTCGGGTTCATCTTACCGCCGCCGCCACAACCCACCCGTCTTTCCTTCTAATAATCACCTCATCCTTGTTCCTTGTTCTGGAATGCAGCCCGCATCCGCTGATATTGTAAATTCCGCCAATTGGGATGGTTTCCACTCTTCATTTCTTTGATCTGGCTCGTCCTTGCCCTCCTGCAACTTCAGGTACTCACTCAGTCATTCCACCGCTTTAGGGATGATCTTCCATTCTTCCAATTTTCGCTTATTCCACACCTGGTTGTTCCTTTGTTCCCAGATAAACCAGAGTGCCACAAGAAACTTCCCCAGCTTCTCGTCGTTCTCCGTCTCCTGCAAACTGCAGAAGCACTCCTCGCAGGTAAGTTCCTCTCCCTTCTCAAACAATAGATGCATGTCAGTAGGCCTGGTCACTCTCCGCACCCACTCACAATCCTGGAAAATGTGTTTTTGGGTTTCTGGCAAATCACAAAAAGGGCACCCACCATTTCCTCGCTGTGTTCTGTCCAAAATTTGATTTCCCGTCGGTAGAATATCTCTAATCCATATCCAAGCAAATAGCCTAACCTTCAGGGGTATGTTCAGCTTCCAGAAGCGATCCCAATTAACTAGTGTATATAGCTCCCCTAGCTCTTCCTCATTCTTATTCTTCCATAGTCTATACCCAGATTTCACTGAGTAATCCCCTGTAGTTTCTAGGCTCCAAAACCTTTCATCATTACATGGTTGACGGGGGATCGAAATCTTTTGAATCTGTTTTAGATCCTCAACACAGAAGTACGCCTGCAACAGGTCCTGCCTCCAACTTCTATTGTCGAGGTCCATCCGCTCCGCTAACGAAGTAGTGTTGCCCACCCTTGATGCTGGGGATTGCACCTTAAAACTTCACCATTAGGAAGCCAATGATCTTGCCAAATATCAATGTTGTTTCCTTTTCCAACTATCCATCGAAAATCATTCTTAATCAGCTCTTTTGCTTCCATTAAACCTTTCCACACAAAGCTCGAACTCCATCCTTTGTCTGCCAACAGAATATCTCTGTTTGGATAATATTTTGCTTTCATAACACGAGAAACAAGGGAATTAGGTTCCTTCATTAGCCTCCATAGTTGTTTCCCTAAGGCCCTGTTCACTTCCATTTTCGTTTCCTGATTACTATTTTTATGTCATAAATTTGGCAACCGAAACGAGAAAACTTGTTTACTTTTCATTCCGTTTTCTATTCGTTCCAACTATGAAAAACAGAAAGTGGCAACTTACTGCTGTTTTCGGAAATGACAAAATGTTGTTTTCACCTGTTTTCAACATCTGTTTTCTAAAAACGGGAAACAGAAATGAAAGTAAACAAGCCCTAAGAGAGCCGGAACGAAATACTTTAGATCTCGAAATCCCAATCTCCCTTGTGTCTTTGGTCTGCTTACCGCTTCCCAGCGTAACCAATGTGTCTTTTTCTCCTCCTGTTGTTGCCCCCACCAAAAAATGGTGATTAGTCTTTGAATTTCTTGTAACACACCAACTGGAATCGAGAAGATTGACATAGCATAGGTCATATGTGATTGAGCCAAAACTTTATCAAAACCTCTTTTACAACAATAGAGAGTAGCTTACTCTTCCAATGTTTAACCTTGTTATACACCCTATCCACGAGGTATCCGAAGACAACTTTCTTTCCCCTGCCCACTTTCGTGGGGAGACCTAGGTATTTCTCGTGGAAAAGCACGCTTTTCATGCCTAATATCCCAGCCAACTCTTCTCTTCTTTCCACCTCAATATTGGGACTGAAAGACAGTTTTGATTTGACCAAATTAATCTGTTATCCTGACTCCTAATCGTAGAGACTCAAAATTCTCTTCAGATGCTCGCTCTCTTGTCTGGTTGCTTTGGTAAATAGGATACTATCATCCGCAAACAGAAGGTGGGAGATTTTATGGGCTCCCCTCTTTACTCTTATCCCTGTCGCAATTAACCTAGACAAACTCTCTGCCACAGGGAGGAAGAGATAGGGGAGATTGGGTCTCCTTGTCTCAGCCCCTGTGGGTTTGAACCAATCGGTTTTATGACCATTCACTAGGAGGTTGAAAGAAACTGTGGACACACACGCCATTATCAAATGAATCCATCGATCATTGAACCCTAGCTTGCTCATTATTACCTCCAAAATGTCCCTTCTTTGATGTTTGTAGGTATGGATGACAATGGGGCAGTTACCTCGATACTCATATCCGCCCCCACCAAATGAGGATCAAGTCGAACCATTAATTTATTAAAAAAGATATTTATTTTAACTATAAAAGAAAGGTAAAATATTTAATAAATGAAAATTAGAGACAATATATAGGTTAATTGAGTCACTAAATCAACCCATTGAGCACGTTATGGGCTTGACCGGAAGGTCTTCGATAAAACGTTACACATGACTAATGAGTCATTTTGTGGATTTAAACGACGTGCTTTCCGTGACCCCGACTCTTAATTTTAGTTTATGGTGGCATCATACTATGCTATATGTGCAGTTCCAAACACTTACTCTCCAATATCCATGTTGTGGAGAATCTGGAAATCTAGTAATAAACTGTGTTTTTTAAATATCCAACCACATGTTAGTTCGCTTTCCCGTCAATATTCTCAAGTCCGTGAAGTGTCCTCTACCTTTTAACTTGCCTCGTCTACTCTCCTCATCCCTCTACTTTGGCTCTGACTCTTCGGGAGTGCCTACCTGATGACCCTTTGAAGATAAACTTTGAGGTTGTTGTCCAAGTCTCCGGTTGCTCGCCAGGCCTTGTTGTGTGCAGCCTAGACGGGCAAGCTAGTATGGCCTTTGGATTTTGGTATTAGGGTGTGTCTGATCCTTACCTTGTTGATTTGCTTGCTGTAAGAGATGTCATTTAAGTTGTTGTATCAAGTCGCTTGCCTTGTAACTAGGGCAGCAAATGAGCCGAGTTGCCGCGAGCGGCTCGACGTTCGACTCGGGAAAAGCTCGTTCGGAACTCGACTCGTTTACTAATGAGTCGAGCTTGAGCTTAGCCTTCTGCAGCTCGCGAGCTAGCTCGACTCAGTGGCTTGTTGAGATCAACTCGTGAGCTGACTCGTTAAGAGCTCATGAGATGTCTCAACTCTCAAGATTGTGGCTAGAGAGCCAACTCGATTACTCAGTTATGAGCGAATCGATCTATCTGAGTTTGATTTTGATAATTCATAGGATTGTTAAATTATATATCTAACTCTATATGAAGTTTAACACGTAGATTATGTGAGCAAATATGTTTTATTTAATTTTAAAAAGCAATTATGTATCATAGATTACTTCGATACTGTGAAATAACATAATTTTCACAAATTAAAATTTATTAACTAAATAATTTGATACCACAAAGTATAACATACAATTAGTTAATATTGAACACTTAACTATTATTATTATTATTATTTTCTTCATCTTGGCATTAATCACATGTATCATGTATTACATACAAAATGAATATATCAAATACGACTCAAGATTTTATTAAGCAAGCTAGCTCGCAACTCGACTCGGCTCGTTAATAAACGAGCTCATTTGTTAACGAGCCGAGCTCAAGCTGAGGAAAACTCGACTCGAATCGGCTCATTTGCAGCCCTATAACGAGCCGAGCTCGAGCTCGACTCATTTGTTAACGAGCCGAGCTCAAGCTGAGGAAAACTCGACTCGGCTCATTTGCAGCCCTACTTGTAACATCGTGGATGGATATGCTAAAGTAGCCAATCGACAACTTAGCCAAAGGGTGGTGGTGGATTCTCATGAAGGGCCCTCTTCGATGAGTGTCATTAGCTAGTTGAGTCTTATCCTCTTTGTACAAAGTTTAGGACAGTTCCGAATACTGCCAACTAGGTTGCACATAGACATAAAGCTCTATTGTTGTCCCTTGTGGAGCGTTGTGGGTATTGGATAGAGGTTATTTCTAATTATTGTCTCTTGTTATTTCTTGAAAAATAGATCCATTGAATCTAATTAATTGAAAGATGAAATCTTACACGTATGTATAATATCATTAAGTAAAATATGAGTTAAGATAAGTCAAAATAAGAAAATTAAAGATAAATATTATCACAAATTGAGATAGAACCAATGAAAAAGGTGTAGATCAAACTATCTCTACAATGTTCTTGGGATGTCTATTTTTGATGTTATAGTAATTGCTAATTGGATTATAAGGCTTAATTTTATTATTTTAAATTTTATGTGTTCAACCGATTAGCACCGAGGAAAACTTGCAATTGTAATTGTCATCAAACCGAAGCAAGCCCATCTCTCACATCTCGTATTCCGGCTTTTCTCTTCATAAATTGCCGCAAGTTTCTAACTTTCTCGCCGTTTCTTTCCCGGGAAAGTTAGGGTTACCCCAACAGTTCACTGATGCTTCCCAGAGCTTGAAGTTGAATCACGAACATCAACAAATGGGGAACATATTCGTGAAGAAACCCAAGATCACAGATGTGGACAGAGCAATTCTCTCTTTGAAGACCCAAAGGCGCAAACTTGGTCAATACCAGCAGCAGGTCCCCAATTGCTCTTCCCAACTTTTGAATTTTCCATTGATTCTTTTCTGTTTCCTTACGATTCATGAAGTGTGTGATTTTTTTTTTTTTTTGTGTGTGTGTTCTTCTTTTCTAGCTTGAAGCTGTAATTGAAGCAGAGAAGCAAGCAGCGAAGGATTTGATCCGTGAGAAGAGAAAAGACAGGGCCTTGCTAGCTTTGAAGAAGAAAAAGACTCAGGAGGAATTGTTGAAGCAAGTTGATACCTGGATCATCAATGTGGAGCAGCAAGTAAGTGAAATTTTGAATTGGTTAGTTCTTTAGATTAAGCTCCTGCAATTGATTGAATGGTTGTGATTTAAATTGTTTATGGGATTAAGCTACTGGATGAGCTCTTGGATTAAGCTGCTGGATTGGATTGAATGACTATGATTTCATCTTATGTGAAGTGCGAATTAGGAGATTGATTACTTTGATTAAGGTTGTGAGGTGAGAGATAATTGAGCTGGTGTTGGTTGGGATCAGTTGGCAGATATTGAACTGGCGAGCAAGCAAAAGGCGGTGTTTGAGAGTTTGAAATCTGGTAATGATGCAATCAAGGCGATACAGAGCGAAATCAACTTGGATGATGTTCAGAAGTTGATGGATGATACAGCTGAAGCTAAAGCTTACCAAGATGTGAGTTTGATTCCAATTCTCATCTCTCCTTCTTGGCCGATCGTTATTTTGTTTGAAGGATTGTAATGGAAAGCAGAAGCATTTGGAGAAGTTTAAACTTCTAAGTTCTAAGCCACTTAACCATGTGCTTTAATTCTGTGGGAATTGTTTGCTAAATGGGGTTGAATTTGTGTCTGATTGAAGGAAATCAATGAAATACTGGGAGAGAAATTGTCGGCAGAGGATGAAGAGGAGATTCTGGCTGAATTTGAAAACTTGGAAACTCAGGTATGTTTCTGGTTACTACATACAACCGTGCTTATGCGTATTTGCATTTTTCCACTTTAACTAGCTACTCCTATCAGATCCCAGGTTTTGCCTTACGCTTGAATGGCACATTTGCTATTTGTTTCTAAGGGTTGAGATATGATAGTTTTGTGATAACTGGAGGTTATAATTGGTACTAGTTTGACAATAACTCGTCAAAAAGATAGTATTTTGCTTCCGCATTCAAATATGTAACTCCAGATCCATACTTCGTCTTTCGAATCTACATTCGGTTGCTTGATGAAATCATTTGACCAAGGCACTTCTGGAATGTGTTGGAATGTCTCTCTTCTGCATTATATTGCAGAATTAGTTGATCTACCCTTAGCTTCAGTACCCCATTAGCTTACTTTAACTAGCTACTTCATGGTAATTCATAATTTCACCAAAATTTGCTTGTCCATCATATATATTACTTGGGTTACAGAGAAACAGTCCAATTTGAGTTTTGAAGAGTGAGATCCATAGCATGTCTTGAGATACTATACACGGTGTTTCTTCTAAGGCGATCTAACATCTAATTTTTGTGATGCTCCAGATGGCGGTTCACGATATGCCAGAAGCACCAACCACCTTGCCATCCAAGGAACAGGAGGAAGAAAAATTGGATCTTCCTGATGTACCAACTAAAAAACCAGTTGTTTCCGATGCCGAAAGTGCTTCAAAGGAGGCTCCAAGAAAGCAAAAAGGTTTATTTTCTCCCGTATTATTTCAATGGTTCTATCTCTCCTTTTAGCCACTGTGAGCACCTTTTAACTCGATGACATTCAAAAATGCAGTTCTGGAGGAACCATTGGCAGCATGATTACCAAAATTAACTTCAGGTCATGCTTGGATCCATGGCTCTCTGGTGTATGGGATACATTTGTACTGTGAGATTCTTTGCTTGAAACCATAAGGAAATGGAGGCTTAGTGCCAGTCGACATGGGTTTTGGGATTGGATTTGTAGGTTTTACGTGTCAATATGTACGATTTACTCGGTCTGGATTGTGATGTGCGATCAACATTGGCAGTGGAGTTCATTGCTTCATATTTATGCTTCTGACGAATGGTTTATGGTTTGGTGATATATTGAAAACAGCAACTTCCAAGCGTGTATACATAACCCGTTACACTGTTGCTCAATGCTAAATGGCTTGGAGATCATCCGTTTTCCTTGTATGGTCGAGATCCAGATTGTAAAAGCTATTTATACTTCAAAATAAGGTACAACATAGCAAACCATGCACAGGTTCGTAGTTTACATAGCAAATCAAAGCTGTACATTCTCTTTATTTTGTTAGGCCGTCATGACCATGTGGGACTTATATCTTACAGTATCACAAAGATATAACTGCATAGCGGAATTCGTTTAGTTTTCATGACCCATGTATAAAGGGTTGCACAGTTGTGAGTTGTTACTTGTTACAAATCAGAATGTAGTAGCTCCCCCTCATCGGTGGCAGCGAGCTTCGTATCCGAACATGATGAAGTCGAGGATGATTCCTCATCAACTCTTGCCAAGATGAGCCGAGCTATGTTTTCAGCTGCAACTGCACTTGTCTCCATGGTGCTGGCGGCGTTCTCAAATGCATTGATGTAATACAGGTGTCGATCATCCAAGATGAAGGGGGCAAACACTTCTGGAGCCTTGTAATGAGGGTATGCTCCCCAATCTATCCGAATTGTCTCCATTCTTGAGCTGCAACAGCAATAACACCAACCATACTTCTTTAACTACTAGCTTTGATCAGGAAAAATTCGAAGTTGTATATGCTAAATGATTATGATCTTTCGACCGAGCAAAATATTTGGACATTAAAGTATTTTTCATAGCATCCTCATAAGTCATATCACTCATACAGAAGAAGCCATGGTCGAAGAACAGCTTACCTAAATATGTCATCTAGCAATGCATCCGACATCTCTTTCCTGGAGAATACTTTGTAAGTCATGTCCGTCTCATTGTGTTGCTTCAACACAGAAATGCTCGAAAAGGGAATCTCAGGATCCTCGATTGTGCCCACCAGTTCCGGTAAATCCGAAACAGCTCTCAGCCCAAAATATGCCTTCGCCAACACCAAAGCATCATAATTAGAAACAAGCATTTACTTCAAGTAAATGACCTGTCACAGGTAAACTAAAAATCATCAGGGTTCTTACAGGGTTGAGCAATCCCCTGATGAAAGTTGTATAAGTATGCTGTAGTTTTCTTTCAGGAACTGAAATGAGAGGTGTGAACTGGATCTTCAATTCGTCCAGTGGAGAAGCTATCACAGTAACATTGCATATGTAGCTGTTGCCCGTAGTTGAATTAAGCTCATAATACTCGGGAAGTTTGGAAATGGAAGATATTCTTTCACTGAGGTGGAGCTCCACATCTGAGATGTTGATCAGACCGGCTGCCATTTGCCAGTTCCCTCCCTCAACGGCCCATAATCCTCCACCGGAGCCTGCCAAGGAAACTGCTCCCGCTAGCCCACTGATATGGCAACTTTGACCATAGTTGATTCTTGTAATAACCTGATTATAAATTCATTTCGCAATTCAGAAACAAGATATTGGGAAGCCATAGCATAGCAACTCAAGCTGATAATAAAAACACATTCTGCCCGTCTAGATTATAAAAGAAGACCAGCCTACTTTAGTATCTCTTCCACACTTGAAAACAAATCGGCCTCTCTTCAGCAGAGATGGCAATGAGATACCCGTCCCTTTGCCATTTCTAACAGCTGAAGAGTAAAGTTGTCCAGAGACTCTATCTAACCCAAATCCGAAGATTATCGAGCTAGCCGGCAATGCCAAAGAATTCATCTCCTTATCTTTTCTTAGCTAGGTAGCTTCACCATCTAAACTATGAAAGATTCAATGCTGATGAAAACAGGAAAGGAACTCAATACTTACAGAGACCAGCTCACGGATCAGCAACGGCGACAGTCCAACATGAAGCAGCTCATCTTCCAGAGTTCGAGTGGTGAGATCGTAAAGACCAGCCCACTTGAGCATCTCTTCCACACTTGTAAAAATCGGCCTCTCTTCAGTACTCTCGTAGTACTTCAAGAACTTGTCTACAGTAGTCTGCAATCAAAAAATTCAAACGCACACAAACTGTAAAATTTGACATTCTCAATCAACATTCTCTAATTCGAAATGCGAATGTTACTGAAGCAAACAATGAATTCTGTACCTCGACGAAACTATCCATCTTCAGAAGCGAGAACCCGTAACGGAGGAAGATGTAGAGCGAGTTAGCCCAGGAGACGATCTTCTGAACGAACGGGATCTCGGAATCGACGGTCACAGTCTTGAGCACGAACTTACCGCCGTCCCAAACCCCTAGCGACATGGAGTCGTCGGAGCTGGAAGGCAGCTTTCGATTCAACTTGAGCAGCTCGGTGAAGTTAACGGCGTGTAAATTCTTGGGATGGAGGATTGAAGCGCCGGCCTCGAAGGTATCTCCGCCGATCGTGACGGTGGCCATTCTTCCGCCGACGACCGAGTGCCGCTCGAACATTCGAATCCGGAGAGTTGACTCATCCTTCGAGGCATCGGTGGAGTATTGACGGAGGAAATGAGAGAGGGAGGAGCCAGCGATGCCGCTTCCGACGATGCACACGTCTAGCTGTGGGGAAGATGGAATTGCGAGAGAGAAGATGGGAAGGAGGAGGAAGAAGAAGAAGAGGAAGAAGAGAGAAGGAAGCGGAATTGAGAGGTGAGACACCATTTTCTTCTCGACTGCACTGGGTAGAGCCGCCCGTAGAGGTAGTAGTAGGAAAGGAAAGTGGTTGATTTCTACGTGGGCTGGCGCCGGCGCTAAAGTTTGTTTAGTACATGGGCTTAGCCCACATCTGTAACTGAATTTCTTTGGGCTTTTGTGGTGGCTTTATTGGCAATTCGCTATAATTAATCCAAATAACTGGTGGTAAGCCGGATATTTCGCAACTAATGCCAAAAAAGAAAGTAATTTGCTATAATTAATCACCGTCCTAACAAAAACATCCTGTTAAACCCGTATAAATACACTTCATTACCCATCATTAATCCTCAGACTGCAAGCAAACAAATAAAGATAAATAGCTTTTTTTTTGTGTCTGTCTGCTTTAATAAAAAAATATTTAAAAAACACAAATAAGAGAGCAGCCAGGCACATTTCCCTCTCTCAATCTTCTTGATCTTTATTAATTAATCCAAAAAAAAAAAAAATCAGAAAAATGGGGATGAAGAAGGTTGCCTGCGTCGCTATTGTCTACGCTGCCGCCTCATTGAGCGCAGTCTTGGCCGCCGAGGAGGCTGTTGCCGCCGCCGCCCCATCGCCGCTCGCCGCCGCAGCCGGAGCGGGATTGGAAGCTGCTGCTGGCGAACCCGCTGCCGGGCCGGCAGGCGGTGCTGCACCCACCGCCGAGGCACCACACAGCGCTGCCGTCGCCGCCACCGGCTTGCCGTTCATGGCTGTTTCCCTCGTGTCCACATTCGTTGCCTACTTGTTGCATTAATTTAATTAATTTAATTTTCCATTATATATGGATCGTTATGTAATTTGGTCCAGGTTCCAGAATGAATTCATTTGTGATGTGGAATTTGTAAGCGGCTTGCGCCATATCGATCTTTAATTTCCCAATTTAATATAAATTTCAGTTTTAATTTCTTCTTTATCGAGCACAACTTATAATTGTATGATAATAATAATAAAAAAACTCTTATAATGTTATATTACGCGAGCAAAATAGAAATAAAAATACGAGGAGAAATAAATAACGAACCATTTGACAAATGATTATGCATAATGTTAAACTATATGATTATATCAACTAGAGAGTTACTCAACAACTATGTTGAATTCCTATATCATTATAGTCAAAGTGTAATGATGTTTTTTTATTATATTAATGTCTCTTGGTCTTTCAAGGTCATCCAAATGAATGACGATACAGGGGTGGGATACGGTCACATCCCCTAAGAGGGATGTGAGATTCACATCCAAGGACAATTTGGGTATGAAAAAAAAATACAGAATTTATTATTTATTTATTTTTGTATTAATTACAGATTGGGAATTAAAAACCCAGATTAAATACTTTTTTAATTCAAATCCTACAATTAATACGCTTATATCTCTCTCTTTCTTTTCCAGCAACCTATTCACTCCGACCACCAAAGTTTCTCTGGCCGACGAATTTTTCCGGTGAAATCCTCCAATCAGACTCGCTCCGGCCAACTGCAAAAAAATCACTCTGTCGGTGTGCTAGTGGTACTGATTTTCATCTAGTGGTACGCTACCAGTAGTTGTGGTACGTACTAGTGGTAGTGGTACGCTACAAATACCACTCGTACCGCTACCAGTGAGTAGTGGTACGCTACCACTACCACTGGTACCGCTACCAGTGAATAGTGGTACGATACCAGTACCACTGGTAGCGTACCACTAGACAGAAATCAGTACCACTACTCACTGGTACCGCTACCACTGAGTGCTGGTACGCTACCACTAGACAGAAATCAGTACCACTAGAGAATAACATAAAAAAACAAGATCTGGAATCTGGAAAATCCCAGATCTGGAAAAAAATTAAGGAAAGGAGAAGGAAGGGGAGAGGTTGTTACCTAGCGGCGGCGGCTGAGGAGGACGGCGGGAGAGAGATGGCGGTGACAGGAGTTGGAGGGAGGAGAGAGGGTTGCGATGGTGGGAGGCGGAGGACGCGCCGGCTGCGATGGTGGGAGGCGGAGGACGCGACGGCTGCGGAGGGAGGGAGAGATGGTGGCGGTGGCGACGGGAGGGAAAGACGACGACGGTGGCGACGGGAGGGGGAGGCGGCAGCGGCGGCGATGACAACGGGAGGGAGAGACAGAGAGTAGTTAGGGTTCTCGGGAGAGGAAAGAGAGAGAGGGGAGAGAGGAAGAGTTTTTTTTTTTTTTTTGGAAATCAGATTATATAGAAAATGAGAAAGGATCCTGTGTGGTAAGTTTTTCTCTTCCAAAAATATCCTTCATTTAATCTAAACCGTTAATTTGAAAAACCAAGAGAGAGGGTGAATCTAATGGCTGCGAAGGAGGAAGTGAAAATCACAACCCCCATGAGGGTTGTGACGCTATCTAAACCCGACGATACATAATATTAATCATATAGCTATAATTGATAAGAAAGTTACATAAGATAACTATGATTAATAAAAGAGTTATTCAATGCGTGTGTTCAATTCACTTGTTAGTCTAATTAAAGCACCATGGATTGATTGAAATATCTTGATCTTGAGTTCATGAAAACCATCACGAGCATCAGGAAAATATCACGTACCGACTCCATCAAAAAAAAAAATCACGTACCGAGGCCACGGCTCCTGCTCTCCAAACTATCTGGATATGACATAATAGCCAATCAGTTGCTTCCCTCGATTCAAAAACTTATCTTTGTTAATTAATCTATCTAGAACATCAAGTTAGTTCTATTTCAAATGTTCGAGTATCATGCGCTACAATGCTGAAGTAACCCGTGTCATACTCTCAGAAAAAGCTCAAACAACCTTCAACAAAAGGGTACTTATATCGGAAACCGACACAGGTGGGTAGATAGAGAATATCTAGGTGCGCGAAACAACTCTCTCTAAGGAACTCGACAAAATAGTTTGAATGGGTCGGGACTCTGCAATCTTCCTCTTTTGACTTCTTTTTAATCATATTTTTTATTCCACTTAAACTTTGAGTAGGTGCAGAGATTTGCGTGCCTTTGAACTAAGTATATTGATCGATCAATTATTCAATCTATTATATATGTTTTTCAGTTTTACCAAATGTAAACTAGTTGAACTTTTACGGGTTTTTTATTCAAATAACATGTGAATGGATCAAGCTCTGTTGCTCCATTCCATCCCAGTATTTGTCAGGGTAGATGATCCATATTTAGTGCAAAATATGTGATGGTCACAAGAGATAAAAAGGAAACTATTTATAAATATATGTCAACTTCCTTGATTTTGTTATACCATCCTTTATCCAGGCAAATTCCATTTGCAATTCCTACTATCGGATCAATAATTTTAACAATATCATATCCATTTTAATTTCAATACAGCACACACCTCAATATAACTCATTTGCCATTGAAGCAAATAAAAATTCATACAATTATCAAAATATTAAATAATAGAAAATAAAAAAAAAAGATGGCGTGACTTCCAACTCATAATTTATTAAATACAAAATTTCTAACATGCAATAAAAAATAACTAACTATGATATGTGTATATCAATACAATTGCATAATGCGAAATGCGTGGTAAATAAATAACCCTGTCAACCATGTACATCAGTTAATTACTTCGATTCCATCCACACACCCCGTTATAATTAGGAGCTTCATTTACCAAAATTGGTGTGATATATTAAACCGAATATGACTAAAAGTAAACTTATCTAATTAAAGCCTAAAATCATCACCCCTGCCTGCCACACAAAATTAGCTTCCATTCAAAACCGTATAAATACGTTTCCCATATCCCTCCTTCATTCCTCAGGCAGCAAGCAAAAATACAATAAAAAGGAAGATAATAAGCAAAGAGAGCAGCACAGGCACATCTCTAAAATCTTTTTTTTTATATATATAAAAAGAATTATCAAAATGGAGATGAAGAAGGTTGCCTGCGCCGCTGTCATCTTTGCCGCCGCCTCAATGAGCGCAGTTCTGGCCGACGAGCTGGCCCCCGCCGCCGCCCCTTCCCTTGACGTTGTTGCCGGAGGTCCTGCCGCCGGTGGGCCTGCCGCCGGTGGGCCTGCCGCCGGACCAGCTGCTGAAGCCGCAGCGAAGAGCGCCGCCGTTGTCGGCAGCGTACCGTTCGTGGCTGTCTCCCTGATGTCTACACTTGTTGCCTACTTGCTCCCTTAAATTATTTAAAAACTTTATGCAATGTGTGTATGTGTATGACTCATCATCATATGTATTATGGGAGCGGGATTGAATTGAGTTAAAAAAAAAAATTTACGAGAATGCGTTGTCATTGTTCCATACGGGAAGAATTCATAGCGTGTTTATCCTTCATTACATAGTTTATGAATCGATTGATAATTTACGCTAAATCAATTGAACGACGAAAACGAAAGATTATATTAAAGAGAGAAACACGAAAGCAGGACTTGAAGAATTGATTGTTGACATCTGGAATTAATTGTTTGGTTATAATCGTCAAGAGTTAGATTTCTCGGCCACAATTGCACGTAATAAATATATGGAAGTCCGAATCGTTTTTCAAGCGACACGAATAAAGGAAATAATTCATTTCTACATCGTTACGAATATTGGCAAGTTAAACTAGTGATTACACACTTACATATACCCCTATAATAATCCTCACTATCATTACACCATGTTATAGATACACACTGGCTTTGAGTTTTAAATTACCCCTAACTCACATGCATGTTAATCATATGTATCCTTCTTTTGTGTACTTTTTATTTTATTTGAGATGGTGACAAGGGAAAGCATAAATTAATTAGGGTAATACCGACACGTACAACCCAAGAAGTATCACTATGATTAGAGTATAAGGGTCTTAGCAATATTTTAGACTATTTAAAAAAAGCGGTTGATTATTTGGATTGGTTCTCGTATCCCTGTGCCCAAAAGGATCGGCGAGTTCGGTTTGAGTCTTCATCGATCGGGTGGATCTATATGCTTCGGGGGATGAGACGAGGTATAGCGCAGTTTGGTCAGCGCATCTGTTTTGGGTACAGAGGGCCATAGGTTCGAATCCTGTCACCTTGATGTTTTTTAATGTATACCTAAACAAAGTAGTATTATCTCTTGTTTTGATGTTCACTTTTTTATGTATTTGTGAGAAACTCTACCATACATAAGTGGTGGTACAATATCAAGTGATTTTTCCAGAAATAGCACTGTTTAAAAAACAAATTCCTAAAATAGCACCTAAGTCCGAAAAATTCCAAAAATAGCACCCTTTTCCAAAAACCGCTCCCTACCAGTGCGGTTTAGGCGAAAACCGCCATCCAGGGGCGCGTTTTTCGATAAAAACCGCACCCCCAGGGGGCGGTTTTGCAGACCGCACTCCCACCATGCGATTTGGTTGCAGATCGCACCCCCAGGGTGAGATTTGGTTGCAGATCGCACACCCAGGGTGCGATCTGTTTTTTTTTTTTTTTTTTTTTTTGAAAAATCCTAACCTAGGTGGAAATTTCAAACGGACGTATCTTTGTGTTCGAGTATCCAATCGTCGCAAAATTTTTTTTGATTCCGCATAACTTTTTGAGATCTTGCAAGCCAAAGGTGGTTTGGTCCCGCCTTCATCCCAAAAAATGTCGTTTGCTATTTTTCCGATTTCGTCAAACTTTGGACAACCATAACTTTGTGCTCCAAAATCCAAACAACATGAATTTTTTTTTTATTTCGCATAACTTTTTAAGGACTACAACTTTTATCATAGACACAATTTCAAAATATACGTGGATTGCTGAGAAGGGAAGGTAAGCTATTCCCAAAATCCTGTATATCCAAAAATAATTCCTGTTTTGAAAATTCATTCTAGTAAAAATTGTAGTCCTTAAAAAGTTATGCGAAATAAAAAAAAATTCATGTTGTTTGGATTTTGGAGCACAAAGTTATGGTTGTCCAAAGTTTGACAAAATCGGAAAAAAGCTCGTTCGGGGTAGCAAACGACATTTTTTAGGACGAAGGCAGTATCAAACCACCTTCGACTTGCAAGATCTCAAAAAGTTATGCGGAATCAAAAAACAATTCGCGACGATCGGATACCCGAACACAAAGATACGTCCGTTTGAAGTTTCAACCTAGGTTAGGATTTTTCAAAAAAAAAAAAAAAAGCAGATCGCACCCTGGGGGTGCGATCTGCAACCAAATCGCATGGTCGGGGTGCGGTCTGCCAAACCGCCCCCTGGGGGTGCGGTTTTCATCGAAAAACGCGCCCCTGGGTGACGGTTTTCGTTTAAACCGCACTGGTAGGGAGCGGTTTTTCAGAAAGGGTGCTATTTTTGGAATTTTTCGGAGTTGGGTGCTATTTTTGGAATTTTTTTTTTAAAAGTGCTATTTCTGGAAAAATCCCCAATATCAAATCCATGAAGTAAAAGTTTCTAAATTTCATGCATACTCTATCTTCCTTTCCCAGATGAATCGTTAGGATGATTTTTGTCACGTTCTGGATATGTAGTTTTTTTATATGACGGAGTTGTGTACTAGATGAATTTAAACGAGAAAGTTAAACAACAATGGATTCTACAATGATAATTGAATGTTACATGGTCATGTCATCTAAATTAGGGGTGAAATCAAGCTCCAAACTTGATCAGTGCGGAGAACATAACCTCACCGAGTCATACATATTCCTAACTGCATCGACGATTGTGCTCATGAGTATGTGAAGGTACACTAGAGCTCTAGTTTCCTAAACGGTAGAGTCTATATTTATCTGAATACGATCCACTTCACCAGAAAATTCACACAAAAAAAATATGTCTCAACAACAAAATAATTATTTTACAAATACAACCCTACCCAAATAACAGTACAAGTTTTCTAACACAATGAACATGCCCTATAATTTATCTTCCATGATTCATCAACAACTCAACATCTTAATTTTCCCACCTTAATGAGTGAAGCTGATTTTCTCCATTAAAATTATTATTGATGCATTAGTTATTAGAAAACTTGTTCAACAAAATTTCTCAACTTTACAACCTAAATATTCCACCACCACAAGACTCGCTCTAATCATAATTATTCTTATCATCAATCATATGGTTCCCACCACCCAAGCCTTCCATGTTACCCTAAATTAGTGGAGTAATTAACAATTATTAACTCCCCAACATAATTAGTTGTCTTCTAACAAAAAAAAAGTGCAAATAATTTTAAACCTTGTAATAATCACTATAAAAGGCCACATATCCCACAGCTTATCCTCACGGCACAAAATTAAACACAATAGAGAGAGAGAGAGTAAGAGAGATCATACGAAGAGGAAAAAAACCCAATTCTTCTTCTTCTTCATTATCATCTCTTTTTGCTCTACTCTTTCCACCAATCATCATAATGGAGATGAAGAAGGTTGCTTGCGCCGCCGTCGTGTTCGCTGCCGCCTCAATGAGCGCAGCTTTGGCTCAGGAGGCCGCCGCCCCTGCCCCTAGCGACGCCGCTTTTGGCCCTGCCGCTGCCGCCGGCCCCACCGCCGCCGCTGGTGCACCGGCAAGCGGTGGTGCAGCTGGTGTCTTGCCGGCTCTTGGGTCGTTGGTGGGTGCTTCCATTGTCTCCTTCGTTGCCTTCTACTTGCAATAAATTCTCAACTCTGGCGGAAGAGGAAGATTAACGGAAGAGCCTGCAGCAAAATTAATATGGAGATCGATCATTTTGTTTTTTTCGATGAGGAAAATTATTTTTTATTGTTTGTTGGTATTGGCTCTTCTTTTATGATTTTTAATTTCCTTTAATTTTTCATGCATTGATATGAACACACATTTGATTAATGAAAAATGCCTTCCGGTTGGAGTTGATGACATTAGTGTGCTTTAATTTATTTTGATTTTATGTCATGGTATATGTTTTGGATTAATATCTTGATTGATGATAAACACATCGAAGTGGAACTACGTAACACGCTTTTACTTATTCATTAGGAAAAAAAGTCTCTTATTTGAGAGTAAAACAAAAAAACAAATTTGTCTCACCATCTTATTTTCCTTAAAATATTAGAAATCCTTCCAGCACTCATGAAGATGGTTAACAACATTACGTGATCAGTTAATTGAATTTATCAGACAATTATGTGAAATTTTTAAATGATTTGTAGATGAGATTATGTGAACAAAATAAAATAAAATAAAATATATGCGTGAATAATTTATAAGAATATGTGAAAACTGAAAATATAGTTTGTGAGCATGAATTGTCAAAAACTGAAACTAGTTTTTGACATGCTCACGTAGGCGTAGGCAGGACATTTTGGCCTTGTCCTGGGACAGGGGTAAATTTCGGAGGAAAAAAATATGCTATATATATATATATTATATTTCGTCACTACAAGGCAACTCATTACTTGTTCAAAAATTGACATAAAATTAATTTATTATACTACAAAAAGAAAATCCAATTGTAATAAAGACCTAATCAAATCTCTTTTCTCCTTATGCCTATTCGATCTTTTCCTCAAAAACTCTGAAATTGTCTAGCGACAACGAGAATCTACTAGTTTTGATTCTACCAATTACAACTGCAAGTATAAAAGAGCATTTCGAGCTTTGAGTTATATTAAGAACAAGTTTCCAAGTCGATTTGGCGACCAGTTTGCTAATTATTGTTTAGTGAGATACATTGAAAGAGACTTTTAATAGTGTAGACAACGAATGTTTTTGCGTTTCTTTCAAAATATTAAATTCCTTCGTGGTTGTTGAAAACAATGATTATATAGTCGGGTTTTTTTTTATTATAAATCAGTGGTTTTTCATTGGGTTAATACCTTAGTTTGGCCCTAACTATAGACAAACTTTTTACTTTGGCCCGTGGTATCGGAAATTGCTATTCTGGCCTAAACTATGTAGCATACTTTCTTATTTGGCCCGGAGGTGGGTTTGACCGTCAAATTAGACGGTCAACCGAGTTTATAGTTAGTCAAAGTCCACCTCACTTGCCACGTCAGCTATCAGGAAATAATTTTTTTTTTAATTTTGTTTAATTTCTAAAATTAATTAAAAATAATTTGGATAGCTCTTTTAATTATTTTTTTTCGTTTATTATTTTTATTGTTAAAAAATTCAACATTAAAAAATTAATTTTTTATTCCCTGATAGCTGACGTGGCAAGTAAGGTGGACCTTGACTAACGATCAACTCGGTTGACCGTCTAATTTAAGGGTCAAACCCACCTCCGGGCCAAATAAGAAAGTATGCTACATATTTTAGGCCAGGATAACAATTTCCGATACCACGGGCCAATGTAGAAAGTTTGTCTATAGTTCGGGCCAAATTAAGGTATTAACCCTTTTTCATTCATCAAAAGATAAGGTGCTAGCAACAACCTTGCTAGCTAGGTAATCTGTAGTAGCAAAGTGACTGTTTTTACTTTTTATCAACCTACAATCAAGTAACCAAAACAGATAAAGATGGCTAATCAACCTAGAATAGACAAACTCGATGCGCCCCTATCAGACATTCAATTTCATATTTAATCGTCTTCAATAGAGTATTGTAATTCTTCTCCTCAACTGAGTATAAGCGTCGGCAACGCTCTCTCCATACATGGCTTACCCAGGCCTGCCAGATCAATCTCCCTGTTTCAGCTGCCTCTGAAACTCCACCTAGTTTAGACATCATCAGATTCAGGACCTCATCCTATCGCTGCATAACTGGGATCTGCATAAATTTAGAGAAAAGTGATTCTAACATATGACGAGTAAAAGGACAGCAGGCATATATGTGATCTCTATCCTCCACTCCTGTTCCACATAAACATCACTCCAAACTACCATTATATCCCCATCTTTGCATCCTCACTTTAGTATTAATACTCCCTCTAATCACAAGCCATGTAATCACTCTGTTACGAGGGATGGCCTTACCCTTCCAAACCAATTTCCACCATCTAACAGTCTGTTGAGAAGGCCTCAGTAGTTGCCAAACCCTCTTAATAGTCGGTTATTTTTAATATATGAATGAATGAATTAAATATAAATAATTTTTATTATTTTTATTAAATAAGTATATATTTAAATTATGAAAAGAGGACAGGGACGGTTTGAAATGCTGCCTCCGCCACTGCATGCTAACCAAATTAGTTTGATCACGAGGTCTCGTGACCATTCCCAATATTAATCATCAATTTAGCATATTGTATAGAATGTCTGATTTTCATATGAGGAGCATGTTAAACAGTGAAGACAACTATGTATTGTTATGAATAAAGAAAGGGGTATATTGCAAAGTTGGTCACTGAGATTACAAAAAAGGTTCATGTTTAGTCACTATAAATATTTAATTCCATTTGTGGTCACTAGGTTTAGTAAAACAGTCCAAATTTGGTCACTCTCCGTTAGTTTCCGCCCGTCTCCGTTAACTAAGTCCGTTATTTGGTGACGTGTCTAACAGAATGGTCTAGTCAACCTAATTTAACCCGAAAATGATGAAACCCGACCAGTCATGTAACCTTGTCCAACCTAACCCTTGAACCAGTCTGCCCTATGAACCGACCCACTCAAATAAAATAACTTTTACCCCATTTTTATTTCCAGATCAGAAATCCATCTTCTTTTTGTTCATTTTTCTTCCCCATATCCGATGCCCAGAACACCCAAAAAAAACCCCAAAATTCCAAATCCCCTTTTCCTAAACCCAATCCCAGCGAGAATCTCACCCACTTCATTTTGTTAAACCCAATGTCGGCGACAATCTCGGCCACCGAATCCTGACGACAATCCCATCTTTTCTTCTTCAGCGGCGTACATAAATGTGAGGAGAGGCGTTGACCATCCCATTGTTGTCGTTCTTCCCACTCTCTATCGTTGCCCTCCACTCAACAACCAGCTCCAGATCCATAACTACCGTCGAGCACCAGCCCTAAATCTCTCCAGCAGGTATAATGAAATCCCGCTAATAAATGGCGATGAAGGCGACATCCTCCCCAGCAACCAAGGACTGTAGCACGATTTTGGGTCATGTTCTTCTTTTCTTCGCCTCTTTTGAAGCTTCCAAGAAACCCAGATCCCAAAATCATTCGATGTGTTGGTGATGATTCGCGGTATCAGGCTGGCGAGCTCCCGACACTCTCCACCGCATGTTGAATCAAAATCCGACAATGATGTCTACGTGCCAGATGCAGAGGTGAAAGGACGATGGGTGCTTCCTCTATGGCTCAAAACATCAAATGGAATAAAGCCGGAGTTGAGAGCAGCGACATTCAATTCTTGCTAGTTTCTCGAGGAGAATGGTGTGGGAGCTCCGGGAAGTTTGTAGCATGGCAGCGAGTGCTCCACAAAGGCGCCAGTGGCGAGCTCCTCAATGACCGATCTAGCCGCACAAGCTGAAAGCATAGCAGCATATGATGCAGGGGAAGTCGGTGGCGAATCTGGATCTTACGGTGGAGCTATTGCCGAAGAAATTGGCTTATTAGATGGGTTTTGGGTTGGGTTATAATTTATATGACGTGGCAGGTTTAGATGATGTGGCGGGTCGGGTTTCAATTTTTCATGGTTGAAATTGGCTGATTAGGCGAGTCTCTTAGCCATGTCAGCAAAAAACTGACGGTGTTAACGGAGACGGATGGAGACTAACGAAGAGTGACTAAATTTGGACTGTTTTACTAAATCTAATGACTATGAATGGAATTAAATATTTTTAGTGACCAAACATGAACCTTTTTTATAATTCTAGTGACCAACCTTGCAATTTACTATAAAGAAAGGGGTAGGGCTAATGGAATTTGAGACATTGGTAACCAACTACCAAAACGTACGAGAAAGAAGCAAGAAAAAACATCTAAAGAACCTAGACCAATTACCAAACGTCGAATGAGCTTTGTATACTCTGTATATAGCTAGCTAGGCAATCGTAATGAAAAACAGCCATGCTCCTATAAGTACGTACGCTATCGAATGTCATTTTGAATCAGACGACATTTATTTCTTCCTTCGAAGTGGGTTAAGAGGGACAAAGACATTGTGGATGGAAGATAAGTTATGAATTCCAAATAACCATCTCTTTCCGAAACAATCTCGACATCCAAACCCCACTCCTCCGCCTCTAGATCAAACACACGCACCAGCTCGCTGCCAGGATCCATGGAGTACCTGAGCAATAGCTTCCCTTGCTTCCAGAGCCCCGGCACTTGCAAACGGGGAATTCCACCATATGGAGCAGCAGGAAGAGGAATACCCTGGACGACGTTGTACAACCTGATCCAGCAACATTTCCCCTTTGCCAGAGCCACATAGCTTGGCGTTGCCCAAACATCCAGCACCATCGTCCCCGCCTTTCCCACTCCCATTTTCGAGGAAACCACGATCAAGCACGACTCGTCATCTCGTGCCATGTGAAACGAATGCTCCATAAGTAGCTCGAGTGGCCACTGGGGCGGCGTGGGCAGCAGCCACGGCTTCGTGAACGCTTCCTTGCTCATGTCAAAGGAAACAAAGCTGAAACAATCGTCGTAGTTGCGCGAGCGCCACATCCAGTGACACCTAGCCGGGGAGACGCTGAGAGACCGAACAACCCTTTCGGCGCGCCTCGTAACTGGCACGCCCTTGATCTGCCTGTACGAATTTCCCCTCAGACTGTACAGCAGAAACTGGGAATCCCACTCTGGTCGGCGAGGGATCATAACCCTAGCGGTCCTAGGAGCAGGCGGCATGATTGATTTTCTTATGAATTCGGGGTCGGAGAGGATGTCGCGCCACCATCTGCTGACGCAGCGGCATCGGCCGACGGTAGAAGGCGACGGCAGTCTGGAGAGGATCTCGATTGTCAATTCCTCCGGCAACCACCCGTCGTCGATCTGCATTCTACTGCCGCCGCCGGCAGACATATGTTTTCTCAGAGATCGATAATAGCCCCCGATAAAGGTAGGTTTACGATGAGCAGCGCGGGTTGTAAATGGCTGCTGATCCTTAATTAATGAGTCTTAATAATTCGGCCCGACAAAGCGAATGGGCTTTTTTCTGAATTACTATGGCCCAACAGCACCAGCGTTTGAGCCCATAGATAAAGAAAACGTCGGCTGCTGCGTACCGTACGTGCCCAACAAACCAGCTGCCTCTTCTCCTTCACCCAATCCCGCCGCGACCCCGATCTCCGATCTAACGCAACACCGCCATTCTTTCCTTCTCTCCCTCCCTCGTCTCTCTGTGAAAAAAAGAAAACTCCACCGAGAAACAGCCATGGCGGCGGCGGCGGCGTTCTCCCGCAGATTCTCTTCCGCCTTCCTTAAACCCTCCTCCCATTCTCCGATCCCCTCCTACTTCCTCAATCGAAATCCCTTAAACCCTTCCTCTCTCGATTCAACCCTCCCAATTGGACTCTCCGCCCTAGTCGAATCGAAAGGCTTCGATTCTCCCCGATCGTACTCCATCCTCAGCTCCCGCGCTCCAATTCAATCTCTCCCGCCGTCCACTTTCCGAACCCCAACCTTCCCCTATTCCTCCTCCAGCTCCCAGCCAGAAGAAGCAACAAAACCGGAATCCGAGTACCCGAGCAAGAACCCGGAGTTCAAGCACCAGGAGATCGAAGGCCCGACCGTGGAGCGGGACCTCTCCTCCCTCGCCAACGAGACCAGAGCCGTGCTCGAGCGGATGATGAAGAACATCGATTCTCTGAGCAGGGCGATGGCCGGGCTGGGCCTGATCCAGCTCGGGATCGGGTCCTGGATCTCGTACGTCACCAGGGGGACGCCGATCGTGGAAGTTTCGGTCCAGAGCGGGGTGGCTTTCGGGTTCCCGTTTGCGCTGGCGTTCATGTTGAGGCAGTCGCTGAAGCCCATGTACTTCTTCAAGAAGATGGAGGAGCTGGGGAGGCTTCAGATCTTGACGCTGGCGCTCCAGGTGGTGAAGAATTTGAACGTGTTCTTGGTTAGGGCTCGCGGAGCTACCATCTTGTGCGCTGTTGGGATGGGTGTGGGAATGGGGTTCGCTTTGTACCCGAGGTTGTTGGCGTGAAGCAATGGAGGTAGCTTGGTAGGAAAGTTTTCTCCATTTGGGTTTGGGATTTTGGCATTCTACTACGTACTGTCAATGTGCTTAGATTTTAATACAACAGTTGATTGAATGATCACACCGCATGACTTCTACCGTCCAGCTGAGGTTAGAGTTTTGCACATTCGCAATGTAAAGGCCTTCGGCTTAATCCGAATTGCTGGCAATTTGACTATAGTTCGAACACATCGAATCTTGCGTTTATCATGATTTGAACGAACGACGCACAACCTTTTTCTATAACGAAATCCATAACATGATGTCACGCATCGAGTTGTCTTCTGAGTTAACCACGTTATTCATAACTTAAAATGATGTTACGAAAATGTTAACCAATGAATTTTCGAAATGTTCCCTTTCACTAAACCTGTAGAGGAATTCAGGAATTTCTAGCGTTCCAATCTGTAGAACATCACAAAGAATCAAAAGACCAGACATTTCCCTGCAGAATACTATACAACTCTGTTGCGAATTGCTTATTACAATAGCTCAACCAGATCCCGTCAAAAAGCAGCAGGCCAAGGCAAATATATATGTTTTTCATTTAGTTTATAAGTTCCTTTTTTTTTTTTCCTTCTTTCTTTTGGCTTTTTTCCAAATACCCTTTTTCTACATATTTTTTTATGGTGTTATCTCTTTTTCCTCCAAAAAAGCAGCAACAGAAGAGGCAAAAGAAAAATCAGAAAACAGAAAGGGCAAAGCTGTTCCAAATTCAAACAGAAAATAAATTATCCGACAAATAAATCAACTTCTTCCCATTTTCTATTCACAGAAGAATTCCCCCACCCAGCTTAGTTACTCGCTGCGCAATAATAAATCAAACCATATGATGGAGGAGCCACTTCCACCAGCCAGAACAAGAAGTTACCTTCCCTTCATCCACCAACTGCATCATGGCATCAGGTCTGGTTCAGGCATTTCTTGAACCAGAACACAAAAACACAGCTGTGGAATTGCTTCTTAAACAGCAGCTGATGTCCCCTCCTGTTTAGGTTCTGTCCTGACATAAGTCAGACTGCGCGGGCCAGGGGAATTAACACTGCTGCTCCTGGTAATAGTGGCATCAGCGTTGCTGCCTTGAGCACCACGCTTCCACTGCATACTCCTGGCACCAGGCTTAAAGCGGCCCCGGAATGCACCCCCACTGGGGATGCCCCGAACAAAAGGGGATCTCGAAAACCTGGCAACCCCATATGGGGAGCCGCGTGGGACACCAAGTGGCCAAACCATCGTGGGAGGAGAATCTTCTTGGGTTGCAGCACTTCTCTTTATCACCTGCAAAAAAATGGAGAGAAGATTCAGACATATTACTTCACAAATATGCTACAAGCAGCGTAAAGAAGCATGATCCTTGATATCTTCCATCAGGGTATAATTTTGGGATTAGAGATACATCCCCAATCAAAGACTGCAGTTCAGGAAACTAAAGCATCATAACAGCAACAACCAAGCATAAGCGAACCTCGTTTGGTACCACTGATTCTAAACATTGCATTATGAGAATGCATGTATTGAGAATACATTATGTATTTCTAATACATAGAAAATTATGTATAGTGAATCTCACCTTTAGGTGAGATTTGTATCCATAGTTCATTTAAGGTAGAATCCATGCATTCTTTTAAATTTTACGAACAATGAATTCTTAAAACCCACACATTCAGAATCCATGCATTCTTTTATGTTTTCCAAATAATGAATTCTTAAAACCCACACATTCTTAGTATACACATAATCTTCATACGCATATTCTTGTGATACAGCATTTCCGGAATCAAAGGTTCCAAACGACCCCTAACATGGCAGCAATCATAAGATTCACCCTACCTTGAGAATCCGTGACATAAAAGAAGTTCCACTGAGTGACAAAGCGTTGTCTGCTGCTTCTTTCCTCATGAATTCTACATAAGCTGACCTGCAGCCCATATTGAATCCATTTAGGGCACGCTCATTTTTAAAGGAAAAGATGAATCGAGAAATAAAGACTCTCAAACACTTTACCCTTTAGGTTGGCCTGTTGCAGCATCAGTTACTATAACCACCTTAAGCACTTCACCAAACTTATTAAAGTGCCGAGAAAGACTGTCCTTGGTGGCAGCAAAATGAACCTGCAGGCCGTCAGAAATAGTTTAATTATCAGCAAGGATGAAGAAGCAGCAGCAGCAGAAAGTCCTGCAAACAGCTCTTTGGAGCAAAGGTGGTTACATTGCTCACGAAAACCGTTCTAGACTCGGCATCTTCTACAGGTCGACCAGCTGTAAGTGAGCCTGCAAATATCAACAAGCAAGATAAATTAAAAATAAAGAATCAGACAAACAGATGCTGAAAGACTAGAAACAAGTGTTTATTAAACACAATCGGCATTTGACATTAAGGCTGTGGTTTTTTCACCCTAAAAACCTGAATTCGACATTTTGATTTTTTAGATATACTATTCTATCAAAAAAAGCCGAACACCACCTAGCTAAAAAGAACCATTTCATCTAAGAATCTATTCTTGAAGTTATACACATAGTAGTCAATTTCCAAAAGTTACGCATTTCTTTATTTTTCTATATACAATACTATCCACCATCCCATGAATTAACTTTTTATTCCTAACATCTCATATTCTATCAAACTCGCCTTTTACGGAAAACTCCTTCACTGGATCTTTTTATGCAGCAAAAGCTAAAACAAGCATACCCTAATAATAGTGTTTAGAACATACCAGGCGTAGATGGCAATGTCTGCTGAGGTTCTTTATGGTCTGTAGCAGGTTTTAGCTGTTTACAACATCAGCAGAAAATTATCAATAAACAATATTATATCCAGAGGAGACAAAAGAAGTCATGATAGAAGTCTGAGAGCTGAAAGAAAAGTAGTTCCGTACATTGCTAAGAGCAACCACGATAGGGTTGCTGTTCTCCTTCATAATCTGAGCACCAACTTTCCCTGTATGTTTCTCATTGTCTCGGGGATGCTGTTCCAATCGTGCAGCTAGCTGCAATTGATGTGGAAGAGGCTGCTTCCATGAAACATTTGCATGCTGAACAGATTGATCAGGACATTTATTCGGCACAAAATCATCAGCATTGTGCTGAACCTTAAATCGGTGTACGTCACTGCCACCACGAGACGTGCCAGTTGGCAGAACTTCCAAATCCCGATCATCCATACCCATGTCATCTCCACTTTCAGCCATGAAGTTGGAAGTCAAACCTCTATGATTTCCCCGGCGGAGTTTAAATGCGTATTCTTCCTCATCCATAGCGACATCCCTGTATTCTACTGTAGTCTCTACTGCTGGTGAATCCCGACCAAGACGGTCAAACACACTTCTTGGGGTTTTGACTTTTGTTACATCTTCAGCAGCTTCCTTCACAGCCTTGATTACAGTAGCCATAGGGCCCCCTGGAACTCTAGCAATAGACTGGATCCTCCTAGGGCGATCAACCTGTGGCGGTGGCTCCTCAGTGGATGTAGATACAACTGACCGAAGACGCTTGAGGGAGGGCTCTTTGACTGAACTAGATGCCTTTGGAGTTCCTAAAGCATCCCGCACTGCAAATTGTAGTAGCCTCCGAGGAGCATCAATAGTTGCTAGTGCAACTGTCTCCTTCTCCCTCTGCATGAAAAGATTATGACTGAAAAGTAAGTAATCATGCAGACACAAAGCCATGGCGATTCTCCTTTTTCGAAACAAGCCTACTTAAACTAATGATAACGTCTTTCCAATGCAGACCAACATACAAGATGATCGGAAAACCAGCCAGGAAAGAACCAAGACATACAATACACTGATAACTCAGAAGCAAAACCTCCCCTTAATTACATACAAAGCACACAACTGAAACTATCTCTACTGCATTACTGAATGGCAGCATATATGATGACCCAGTCAATATGAGTTTCGCCTTCTGGAAAAGAAAGGGTACCATAAAAGGATATGATCCAAACCTTTGATTGTTCTCGCTCATCCTGCCAACTTCTTTTTTTCTTCTGTGAAACTCGAGGTGATGCAGAACGCTTTTCAAGATCGACCGTGTGATGATTCGTATCCTCCATTACTGCATCAAAAACCTCAGAACTCCGAAAAGAAGGCTGTTCGGTTGGTTCATGCTTTGGGTCTCTCCATTCTCTTCGATGCCGACTCCTAGATATATTTTCAGTATTTAATTTCTTAGATTCGAACTCCACATGATGAGGATCATTTCCCACAAGCTCAGCCCCTATAGCTCTCCTTTCAGTTGTTTTATCTGTTTCAGTCTGCCCATGACTCACATACAACTCTACACTTGAAGCTAGGTGGTCCCACAACCTGCCAACAATGAAAAATAACTGTTAACTCTAGACAAATGGATAGAGAATCAGATACCAATAACAGGATATTATGTTTAAAAACATAAGTGGAAAGCATGAAACAGTTACCAAGAAACAAAGGAATCACTGTCATCGCCCAGAAAAACATTCAATTCAGTCTTTGCTTCTTCTTTGCGCCTGCCATTCCTCAATAACACAATCACGTACTCCTGCAAATGAAAATCAGAAATCAGGAAAACTTAGTTTCCCAAAATCAAATAATCTTGAAGTAGTTCAAACTGTGACAAATAGGCACTATATCAAAGACACTGGATTAGGATGCCATTGGACAACTGATTAAATCAACACACATGGTAAGCAAATCACAAGAAAAACCACATGCACAAGACTCTAAAGCCTCCGTTTGAAAGCTCAAGCTATTTATCCTCTGCTTTTTCCAACTAAAACATAGTATAAAGCAACATGCCACGAAATGCCTGTTCAACCTAAAAGTTGTATAACAACAGCTGCCCGTTTAATTGCTAACTACAATATGAGGCTTTGTGCTAGTCAATGTTCAATCTTGATGAATTCCAACTAAAGGGGTTGAAATCCGTATACTACCCCTGTCAGCAGAGCTACCAAGTGACTTATAGACAATCATAGGAGGCAAAAGACGAAAAACCATTGGCAGACTAATCTAAACACAGTTCCTTTCTACTACAAAATCCAATTCACTCATTAACCTAATACATCTACACCGAAATGAAGAGCAAAATCTTCCATGAAAACACAGCCATGGCAAGGTTCATCTGAGAATCCAGGAACAATGCAAAACTTGAAACAGCGCCAGGAACATACCACGAGAGTGTCGTCCGTGTAATCGCCCATGAACTCCTTGAGTTTCTCCCTCACTCGTTCTCTCAGCTTCCCAACTCCATCCTCTGAGAAATTAACCCTAAATGTCCGATCGTCAACTCGATCCAAACTGCCCATCTCTCTATCTCCCTCTCCCCTTCCTTCCACCTCCCCCCAATCGGAAACCTAATAGAGAAAAACTGACGACGACGACGACGACGATTCACAAATCAGTGTAGCGTGGCGGTGGCACTGCCTCTCGACAAAATGCGGCAGGCAGGTGAAGATACAGCAGGGGAACGAAGGCCGGCGAGGAGGGGTGATGAAGATTGAAGAGGTAGAGAAACTTTCTCCGGTGTTGTTTCGGGGTTCATGGAAAACCCCACAGCTGAAGGGTTGTGTGAATTGCTGGCCAAGGATAATAAGCTAAAGCCAGGCCTGGCACAGCAGTTTCCTCAATGGGTTGGTTTAATGTTTTTCCTTAATTATTAATATTAAATATATAAATAAATAACATAAATAGTTTTAAGTCGACTCTTGTTTGGGTTGGGGCCGATAGTGGGCTTCATTAGCGGCCCAGAAAAGTCTGGTTTTCGCTTGGGCCAATCAAGTCGCCGACAATTCGGACTCTGAGTAAAGCCTGCACAATCCAGCCCGCTTCCATCTACATCGGTCCTACGTTTCCTACTAAAAAAATGGAAAATCGTATAAGTTCATAATCCTTGGTTTACGGATAATTTTTATTATTTATATAAAATCCGTGTTTCCGACGAGTCGAATTAAAACTATAATAATAATAATATGAAGCATTTGGAACGAATATTCATTAATTAATAATTATAATTGAATTAATTACAAAAGAAGGGCGTGGGGCCTACGAGGAAGTGGGAGTGCTCCAATGGGCGGTCCCTCCCTCCCGCCCTCGTTAGCGTCACCCGTGACTCGACTCGGGTCATTATCACGATTCACGACAAAAGAAAAACACTTCGCCGGCGGCCGTGGACAAGAATCCCCCCGCCGGAGAGGCGCGGACGTCACGTGTGCATTTGTTGAATTGTTGGCTTGGTTTTCATGACTCAGCAAAGCCTCGTTTGACTTTCTATTCCCCGTATAAAACGTTTTCTTCTTAGTAATTATTATTAATTAATAATATTAATTCTTTAATAACACGGTGGCAGACCAGGTCCAGTGGTGGACCAGAACCAAACAGGAGGATAGCTGCTTCTTGTATGACCGTCCAAACTCCTAAACCCTTGAATTAATATTAAAAACTAATTAATTAATTGTCGTAATCTCGCTTGTTCATTCTTTCCCGTCGTACATATCTTTCGGCAAAAAAGTAAAAGGCTGGCTTCAAATTGGGCAAGTAGCGTTTGGGGATCAATTTTCGGAGCCCCATATGGATTCCCATCGCTACCAACTTGACTTGGGCTAATCTCCAGCCAGCTACCATACATGCCACTGTGGTGCGAGGCTGGCCTGAAGAAGGAAAGGAAAGGATGGGTTTAAAGTTGAATTTGGCAGCTTTCTATCAGCGTATGCCGACTCTACACTTGAGTGACAACCACTATTGACGTTCAATAAGCTTCTAGATCAAGAGGTGTCTTCTGATAAACTATAGTTGTGTGTTAAAGCTAAATCAATGAGTTTTGTGGTTAATTGCGAAAGAATCGAACTCACAATTGTATTATCTACAATCAGAATCAGATTACTTTTCACAAAATATAATTATGGTTGGCAAAATTGAGTGTAGTTAATCGCAAAATCCTTAATTTAAGAAAAAAAATGTTGTTTGGTTAATTTCAACGAATTGTCCCAATAATAATATGAGAACGAGAAGATCCATCATATTTTGGCACCATCCTTCGTTACTTGGTTGTGTATACTATTTATCTGTCTCCCTTTTTACATTTGAAAGCCTTCAAAATTAGATAAGGTGAGGTGCAGGGATGGCAATGGGTCGGGTTGGAGCCAGTTTTGTCAAACTCAAACCCAAATCCATGGATTTATCCACACAAAAATCCGGGGTAAAACCTGTTGGATTTGAAAAACTCAAACCCAACCCGCTGGGTATCCGCGGGTTCATGGGTACCCGCGGGTTTTGTAGTAAAAATTTACAATAACTAATTTATTTGAAAATAAAAGTTTAACTTCAATTTTTTCATACAAATTATCATATAAAAAACACCAATCTAGAACATACAAGCAAACCGCAAATGATCAATACAAATTGTTCAAAATTAATGATAAACATTTATAAACAACAAGATTAATTGAAAACTTCTTCATCATCAAATAAGTTTCCTCACTCTCCACTCCATAATATCAACTTCATTCTAAACAATTAGAAAGAACAAATTATACATGTCTCCACAAACATAAAGAATATTAGTTGTTTAAGGAAAATATATTATTTACAATATTAAATATACCGGAAAAATAATTATATGTATGTGACCGGGTACCCATGGGGCGGGTTTACCTAAACCAAACCCAAACCCGGTGAATAGTGTAGCGGGTTTAAATCCACACCCAACTCAAAACCCGTCAACACTAATTTTACCCGTATTAACCGGATTGGGTTGGGTGGGTTCGGGTTTTGTACTTTTGTTGCCATCCCTAGTGATTATATGTGTGTGAGCGGGTACCCATAAGGAGGGTTTACCTAAACCCAAACCCAACCCGGTGAATAATGTAGCGGGTTTAAACCCAAATCCGACCTAAAACCCGTCAACACTAATTTTACCAGCGTTGACGGAATTGAGTCGGGTGGGTTCGGGTTTTGTACTTTTGTTGCCATGCCTAGTGAGGTGAGGGCTTCGAAGTTATGAGTTGGAGACGCTCCACGGTGATCCGACCTGGCGAAGTGTGTTATGGCAAATTGGCGACACGTAGGAATCAATTGTACACGTGTACGACACGCCAGGAAGGGGAAAGCGACTTGACATGAAAGGGAAAGCTTCCATCCTTGTGGACCTTCCTGTGGGTAGATGTGTGTGGTGGGCCCAGTCAGACTGGGCGGCTCCAAGCCTCCCTGTCACCTTCACCACCACAATACTCGGCCCACTAAAATTGTCACAATCCCAACTCTACCCTCCTCCTCTTTTCTCTTTCTTCAACAATTTGTTACATTTCGTGAAACAAAATAAAAAGCTGTTAATAAAAATCATATTGAAAATTGAAAATACTCTCCCATCTGATTACATTAATATATCATAAACTAACCTTTAATTAACAGAAAATACCAAAAAAAAAATCCATATGTTGAGATAGCTTTGTTTTTATTATCTTACTTATGTAGGGTTGTCAAGAGGAGATGCAATGACGATTTACCCCCTCAAACTCTTATAGTGCCCGAGGCATAACTAGCTGGGTTGTTTATGACAATTGCCAAGGCCTAATTTATTTTTCGTTTCCATAAACGTTTCGGCCTGCTTTCAGCGATCCAGCTCCTAGAAAAAATATTTTATAAAAAAGCCCACAAAGCTAATAAGGTGGAATAATAAAGAAAAGAAAAGGCCTCCTTTCCTCTCTGTTAAGCATCGAGAATCACCGAAATGACGACATGAAATATAATCAAGTGGCTAAAAGCAACGGTCCCACCCACCCATAAAATAAGACTCGCCACACTGTACTATCTCTCTCTCTCTCGTAGATAATGACGATAAACACGTCACAACCTAATCTCCCCCCCCCCCAAAACAAAACAACGAAATGAGAACCACCCCAACCAAGCTCCGTAATTCCGCCGAGCTACAGAGGACATTCTCGTCAAACCAGGCGCAAAGAGAAGAGTTAAATTATTAAATTTAACAAAATAAAAAAAAATAAAAGTGGAAAACTTCCCATTTCCCTTTCCATAAAGAAATTGTTTCATACGCGTCTCTCTTGCCGACCTCTCGATCTCTTCTTCTCCTTCATATCCTTTCATTTCCCCATCCCTTCCCTTCTCCCATCCCCTCTCCTCCCAACCCTCTCTCTCTCTCCAGCGATCCAGCTCTCGCCGTGAAATCTTAAATCCACGAAAACCCACCGCCACAATCGGCCGGAAGAGGAAGAAAAGCGGAGGCGGAGAAGAAGGAGAAGAAGAAGAAGATATGGCGCAGAAGACGGAGAAAGAAGAGACGGAGTTCAAGGCACCCGAGGCCTTGACCTCCTGCGTCAACAACTGCGGCGTCACCGGGAACCCCGCCACCAATAACATGTGCCAGAAATGTTTCACGGCGACCACCGCTACCGCCACCACCTCCTCCTCATCGGCGGCCTCCTCCCTCGCCACTATTCTGAACGGCTCGTCGCCTGCATCATCAGCGACCACCACAACGGCGACGACCTCGAAAAGCCGAGTTTCTGTCGACACATCACCGAGATCTAGCTTTTCTCGGTCCCCAGCGCGAGATCTGCCTCCGGAGACGAGTCCGGATGCGGACACGCCGTCAGATCAGGAGAAATTGGCCCTGGCGAGGAAGGCCGTGAATCGTTGCTCCGGTTGCCGGAGGAAGGTCGGGTTGACCGGGTTCCGATGCCGGTGCGGGGAGCTCTTCTGTTCGGAGCACCGGTACTCCGATCGCCACGACTGCAGCTACGATTACAAAACGGCCGGCCGGGAGGCCATCGCGAGGGAGAATCCCGTCGTCAAGGCTGCCAAGATCGTTAGAGTCTGATTTGGAGAAAAAATACAAACGATTCCAGGCGAATTCAAAAACGAAAAACAAAAAAAAAACCACAAAATGAAGAATCGAGATCGACTCTCTCGATCTTTGAAGCCTGTTCTTTTCTTTCTCTGCAGGCAGAACATGGAAAGAGATAACAGAGATTGAAGAAAGAAAGAACTCCCAGGGGATCGATGCTCTGATAGATCCGCCATTTAATTCTTTCTCCTGCGAGTTTCGGTCGTCCAAAGCTTCTATAGGAATTTTTTTCTTCCTTTTTTTTTACCTCTTAATTGAATCTTCTTCTTTTTCGCTCCTTTTAATTTCAGAATTCGAAGATTAATATTATGAATATTATGGATTAATATTAAGATCATTGTGATTGTGTGTGTTTCCTGATACTATCTGGTTCGTTCTTAATTGTGTCTTCCTCTTGATTTGGTTTTGATTAATTGTTTTCCAGTTTCTGGGTTAGAGAGTGGCATCCCGTTGTAAATTCGAGGAACTTGGCTGGGCTTTTAAGGACAGAAAAGACGCGCAGGCCGAGAAAAAGGAAAGAGAATGGGGCATGTGAATATGTGATGTTTGAAACTTTCTTCTCACGTAAATATCGCGAGATTTTGTTTGGGGGTTGAGTGCGGAGGGGAAAGGTCCGAAAAGTAAGGCAGAGCCTCACGCGATAAGTTTTACTTTCCTTTTTCAATTGTATTATTATTATTATTATATTGCACATGATTGGGTTCTGTTAATGTGTGGTGTGGGCTGGAAAGATGGGGAAGTACTGCCACTAAGAGGTCGCCACGTGGAATTTTCCCTGAAGAAAAATTAGGCTGGCGCTGGGACCTTGTTGCGTCGTTGTACAACCGAGTTTCTGTTGCGTTTTTGGTCGAAACAAGAAAATTTAGAAAAAAGGAGGGGGGAAATTATTGGTAAGATGGACGGTGGAGATCTCGAGAGCTCGTAATCGGCTTGTGGCTGCTGGTGGTGGGTTTCATTTGTTTATGTCCTTTGGATGCATTGAAAGGATGGCTTACAAAGAAGGAAATAGAAATACAAAGGTGGGATTGGGCCCAATAGACAGATGAGGATGAGTTGGATGGATTCTTATTGTGGTCATCGGATTTGAGTAAAATGTCATTTTGCCTTGCAATTTTTTTGTTAGGTCATTAGGTGCCGTGTTACAACTTACAATGTTGATCCAGATTGATGGTCTGGTTTCAGCGGTACAGAGAATGAACCAAACATCGGAGAAATAAATATATAAAAAAAAAATCAATTAGTTAAGGAAATATTCTAGGCGACATAAGGTTGAACCATGGTTATGAAATGGAACTAGGGGGAGTGTGATTCCGTGTTTGTAAGACCATACTGAATCGCCGGTGTGATTGTAAAAATCTTCTATTGAAGTCTAGATGGTTTTTAACGGTATGAAATGCTTGCGGAATGTGGAACGTTTTCGGTATAAAACAACGAGTTCAGTATAAAATATTATACCACTAATCTTTTCGGTACAATTTCCTATACAGTTATATATGGTTGTGCACGCATACATGCAATACCTCTATGTGGATGTAGCTTTCAAGCTTTTGCTTCTTTCTGAGTTGAAATGGTAAAACTTCAAAGTTTTCCCAACTTGACGTTTTTGTTTGAACAGATTATTTTAATTAATTAAATCCCAAAGTTAACCAATTGTTGTCTTCCTTCTTTGTAAGAGTGTTCACATTGAGGTTACACCATTTGCGAGGGAGCTCTGATTTATACCTTTTATGTTAATTGTGTCATAATCTGCCGCTCAATTAGTACGATATTGTCCGCTTTGGGCCAAGTCCGCACGGTTTTACTCTTGGGTTTCCTCCCCCAAAAGGTCTCGTACTAATTGGGCTAGGTGGACCCCAAAAGGCCTCTTCCCTTGTATTTCCGATGTGGTACTTGGATTGTCCCATAACAATCCTCCCTCAAGACAAAGACCACGAACTTCGTGTCCTCACCTCAACAATTATCTTAATCCGCCAGACACCTTGTATCGATGGGCTTCTCAATACTAGGATTTTTTCCCAGACGCAAAACTCTCTTTGATCTGCCAAATCAAACGCGGATCTCAATTGATCCGCCAAACCAGATGTAGCCCAAACGTTAATCTCTCATGGACCCACCAAACATACGCGAATCACAAATCCCGAGATCACCGAATGAAGGTCCCACCAAACTGAAGTCCACCGCCCCGAACCAAACCAGGCTCTGATACCACTTGTCAAACATCGGGTTGTTCAACTAGTACGATATTGTTCGCTTTGGGCCAAGCCCGATGTTTGACAAGTGGGACAATCCAAGTACCACATCGAAAATACAAGGGAAGGAACCCTTGTATATTAGTGTCCACCTATCCCAATTAGTACGAGGCCTTTTGGGGAGGACACCCAAGAGTAAAACCGTGCGGGCTTGGCCCAAAGCGGACAATATCGTACTAATGGGGCGACCCGATTTTGACAAGTGGTATCAGAGCCTTGTTCGGGGGATTGGGGGAGGTGGACAACAAGTTTGGTGGACCCTCGTTTGGTGGCCTCGGGATTTGAGATCTGTGTCTGGTTTGGTGGATCCACGAGAGATCCATGCTTGGCCTACATCTGGTTGTCGGATCGAGGGAGGTCCGCGTTTTTCTGGTGGAGAGATCCACGTCTGTTTGGCGGATCAAAGAGAGTTCCGCGTCCGGGAAAATCCTTGTACCGAGAAGTCCATTGATACAAGGTGTCTAGCGGATCAAGATAATCGCTGAGGTGAGGACACGATGTTCGTGGTTCTTGTCTTGAGGGGAGGATTGTTATGGGACAATCCAAGTACCACATCGGAAATACAAGGGAAGAGACCCTTGTATATAAGTGTCCATCTAGCCCAATTAGTACGAGGCATTTTGAGGAGGACACTCAAGAGTAAATCCGTGCGGACTTGGCCCAAAGCGGACAATATCGTACTAATTGAGCTTACCGGTTTCGACAAATTATATTTACGTAACCCTTGTTTTGGTTGTCTAATTCCTTGCTAATTGATTGATTGATTAGGATATATTGTGTTGAGCGGCCGCTCTAGGTCTAGCGTGGTGTTTCCTTAGTTGTAAACTGTTAGCAATTGGCTACAAATTAAATCAAGATCATTAGGTTTGGGGTTAAACAAAATAATTATTCTTCCATGCAACTTTATACAAATATATATGTAATAAGTACCCGTATTTAATTATATGGTGGCGGCAATGAATTATAGAAGGACGAAGGTCACGCCAAGAAAGGAGGGGGCCTAAAATGGGTCCACTTATAGATAAATATTCCTTGCGATTAGTACCTAATGACATTGTTTTAATGACTCATTTTAGAGTAATGACCCCATGAAAGAAATGTCTGCTACTTTCTTGGTTATGGGTGTGGGGATTCAGTATTTTCGAATCCAATGTGTTGCTACTTATTGTTGTCTAATGTGGATGGAGATACATATTTTCCTTTACCTGACTTACTCATTCTCGATTTTTTTTCTTCTAAAATGCATGCAATAGGTGGATTAGGTGAGTTTTTGTTTCAAATTGACACATCCGTTTACTAGCGAGTTGGAATAATTGTGACCCGCACTCCACCCACATTATTCTGTGGATCGGATTGGGTGGGTGGCGGATGTGTGCGGTTGAGTAGTGGGTTAACCCGCAAAGCCAATTCTCCAACTAGCCATTAAGAAAGTTGACTAAAATTTATAATAAGTTCATAGTAAATTAGTAAGATTGTATCAATTTAAACACTTCTCACTTTGTCTCAAGTGAATCCATATATTATTTGCATAAAAAATTTACTACTCTATCTACCAATTGTGTAGAGAAAACTTACGTATTTTGTGATTTTGGTAAAGTTAATAATTTACAGTTTTCATCCCAATATTTAATGGTTATTAGCAATAAATTGAATTCCAATATCCAATATCTAATGGATATTACACAACACAATTACCAATAATAGTAGTCAAAACTATACTATATTTAATGGTCAGATTGTAGTGCGGTTCGGAAATATGATGAATATTCGATACTATAAGAAACAATATTTTTTAATTTGAAAATAGGATGTAGGTCAATCGGGTGACCTGCAATCCACCCACCACCCACCCACATAAGTGCGGATGGGAGATTTATCAATCCACAATCCACCCACATCAATCACCCACTGCTTGCGGGTCAGGTTATTTGTAGGTGGATCGATAGCAATCCGCGGATTAACCACACACATGCCCACCCCTATGTAATTCTACTAAAATTACTTATGATTTTACTTTTATTACTCATATTTTGGTTATGATAAAGTTGTTAATAGGTACATGATAACACTAAAATTGGTGTTATTTACCCTACATATCGAGGTGTGTGCCAATTCATGTGCTTAAATGCTTAACATCGTCAAATACATCCATATTGTATTTCTATTTGTTTTTTATGTGATTTTATAGTGTAGTAGTCTTTATGTGCGAAATAGGTACAAAACAATGTCACAAGTGTAAAGAAAGGGCATAAATTGGAGATCGTGGTCTAAAAGCCGAAGATCACGGCTGGGATCACAAGTCGCGAAGTCCAGCTAAATATCGCGGCCCAAAAGCCATAGATCGCGACCACGATATTGGAGGCTCAGAACGCGAACTTCGCGAGGAAGGAGCTTTGGAGAAGCAAAGAGTCTCCACAGTCAAGTCACGGTCGACGTTCATATTGCCCGCGAAGAATATCGCGGCCGTGACTCGTGGATCGCGACCGCAAAGTCAGCTCGCGATCTTCCCCATCCCGAAGGTCTCGACAACTGCGTTTTGAAATCCATGCCCAAAGACCAAAGATCCCGCCCCCGATCTCCTTACCTCATACCGCAAACTTTCCCGAATCCAGAGTGGCTATAAATACAAGACCCGCTTTCCCCTTTTGAAGAGAGTTGATTTTGAGAGAAACTTTCTAGTTCTAGAGAGAGAGACAAGAGAGAGAAGCTGAAGGAAGGAGAAGAGAAGGAGAAGAAGGAGGAGTTAGGAGCAAGGAGACATCTTCCTTAATCCCAAGTCTTATTTTATTTCTCTTCCCTCTTATATGGAGTAGTACTCTAAGGTACTAGGGGTTCTAAACCCAAACCCTAGTTTCATGGTTTACTATGTATTTATGGATATTTTAGGGGTTGAATGAATAAATGTGCTTGTCTAGTTGATTTTAATGCTATTCTTTCCTAAATGATGACGCTTTGGTAAGTCGCCCTAATCTTCCCTCTTATCCTACTTTATGCTACCGCACTGGGTATATAGTTATATGGTTAGACAGGTATGAGCCATCCGGAAAGTTTAGGTTAGATGTGTGAATGGGTGCTTATAGTGGTCGAGGCGACAGAACCCCTGCTATAGGTAGCCTTCCTAGATGGAACCCGGGATGAAACCTCGGTGTGGACGGTGGATAGTGTCCATTGAAATGAGTCATAAGTTTAATGCCCCATATATGATAGCCTAGATCGAGATTACTAGAACATGAGTTTAGGGGAGGCATACTCGGAGGCGTGTGGATAACCACGAAAGCCCACGGAAAAGAGTTCACTCACAACATTCGATGACCCTAAGTATCTAGATATGCATAGTAAACCTAAGCTAGGGGGAGGGGTAGTTCCTCGAAGTACTTGCTTTTAACTTTGATCAATATTTAGACTAGTGTTTCCTCATATCCTCCACTTAAAACCTCAAAACCCGATTAACTAATTAGCAACTAGGTGGGAAGTAGGCTAGGGTACCGGAACTGGAGTAGAATACAACCTTGATTACCACTATACGGCAATGCCGTTCTAGGATAAACTTGGCCTAGGATGGGATAGTTGTTGATGCGTGCTAACCTCTAACAATAACCTGCACGTATTCAAGTGATCAGTACGAACCTCAATTTCTCGAATATTTTATCGTTTGGATGACTTTATTCTCAAGTTGGTATTTGTAGAGTTAATAACTTATCACAATCATTTGGATGAGTTAATTGTCAATGCGATATTTGTAGAGTCAAACAACTCGTTAATTGTTAATATGGTATATAAAAATCTCGTCTGGCTTAGCCATTCATATGTGGTATTCGACATGTGATTTGGACAATAACAGATGGGTAAACCGAGTTATTTACAAATAACTCACGACCCAAATAACTCATCTTGGTAAAGTGTTGTCAAATGAACTATTTTGCACAAATAACTCATTCTCGGTTAGCTAGACCAAGTAACTCTTGCAAAAGTTTCATCAAAACGACCACATTAATTGTCCATATAGTATTTCACTGTTATTTACATGATAATTTGACATGTGGTATTTATACTATATTGTTGATTGGACCATTCAAATATGGTATTTGACAATAACATCGGGGTATGAGTTATTTGCAAATAATTCACGTTCAAATAACTCATCTCAGTATAGTGTTGACATACTAGTTATTTTCATCCAAAGAACTCAATGTGAGGTATTTTGACCAAAATTAATCAACTGAATCCTCATCCAATCAACCCCTAGATACATTTATTATGTTATAGTTTGTCTCTTGATTTTTAATGGGAACAATCAATATCTTTAATATTTTCCCTTTAAATTACATATATGTATGGGTCCCAACTTGAGATTCATGATAAATTACCCGATCTGGATTCAACATGCCATGAGACGGATATGAATATCGAGATACACTCCCGACATGCCCCATTGTCATTCCTAATTCATGATAGCGTTTCACAATGTTTGATGTCTACTTATGAGTTGTGTAAAAACACCCATTTCGCAGCAAGTAATGCTGTACCACTTGTCATAAATAGTTCATTATCAATAATTTGAGTTTTTTTTCAACCAACTGATTTTTTTACACGGTGTCGGAGTCTTTGATGATCAAGAGATTCTGTATTCAAATCCTAATGACTCTTAATGTTAAGCATGTGATATTTGGATATGTGTAAATTTCAACCCCACATGAGTTGCTTTTCGTTCGAGGGGCATGCTGGTATATGCTATGAGATCCAAAATTGAACGTGTTTCAACCGTGCAAGTTATTGGGACCAACTGTTCTCGATAATGCGAAGCTAGCCTATTGACATCCCGAAAGTTTTGCGGAAAAACATATCGGATAGTTAGTTGTATATGAGAATCGAGCGAACAAGAGAGTTTGATCTGGTGTTACTACCTCTAATCTTGAACCTAGAAGTCAAAAGGTTCAAATCTTCTAAGTATCGCCTAATAATAAAAATAAATGTATATCACCCTTATACAGAAAAAATATATCAGATTTGAACATTAAACTTTTTCGTTAATAGTCTTGTAAACCATCAAAGAGAATCGATGAGATAATTTGAAAGAGACTTACTTAAAGTCAAATGTAAGTAGACAATTAATATATTTTATAATTCTTTCAAAATGTGAAAAATATGTCTTTGATGTTTATGAAATGAATAACTTTAGTTAGTTGAAGGGTTCTTTTTGAGTAAATCAATTTATTAGTTAAACTTTTCATTTTTCCAATTTTCTTCCGAAATTTAAATAGTTAGTCAAATTTTCTGTAACATATAAATATATATTCATTTGTCTATTACTGCTAATAATTGTTAAAATATTTTATTAATTAAAATATTAAATTTGTGAAAATTGTTTGCCACGTTTCTCCTCCAACTCAATATCATGTTACCATGTCAGCATTACTAACTGAGCTACTGACGATGAGTTAATGTCTGACTAATACTTTGTATTTGAAAGATTTGGCTAATCAATTGAAAAATTTGACAGATTTTGTTGATAACCGTATTTACTCTTTCGCTTTATATAAATGACTTGCTTGAATGCTAAATTATTTTAAATTGTGTAGTTTAAAATTCATATTATCTAATATGACACTCTTGTATGCTTTTCTGGCTTCCCCGTTATATACCACATCAAACGATTATCAACGACAAGAAACTGAACACTAGTGTTAGCGATAAATGGTCTCAATAACTCGAGTTGTTGATAAAAATTCATGTATAGTATTTAACCATTTCCTTAGACGGCCCCTCGAGCGAAAGCCAACTGATGGGCTTGAAGTTTGCACAGACTATCTCATACCTTGAGCATTGAAACAAAGGTTAATATTGGGGGTCGTGAGAACTTGAACACGTAATGTCAATGACAAACCAACTTTGATATCATCTCATAAACCAATTAGTCTCAATAACTTAAGTTGTGAAAAGAGTGTATTTAATCACTTAATCACTTCCTTACTCGAGACAAAGGAGAGGAAACAATTTAAACTTATGTATTGAAAAATAAATAAAAATTGTAGGCTTGCTGTTCCATTTATTACCTTTAAAATGCAAAACGCACATCATGGTTTCTTTCCGGTGCAGCACACCCGCAACATACATTGTATGGAGACACACCTTCTTTCTTTGTTGGTTTCCTGATTCGTCAGCCAAAACAAATCAATACGAAGCCGAAGTCAATTCACTAACCTTTCTTTTTATATACACCCAACCCAAGTCATTAACTTTGGACAACCTAGCTACCTCATAATGCTACTATATATGTATATAACAAATAAATAATGAGTAAATATTTTCGTCCATAAAAATTCATGACGTGATTACCTAATGCGAAAACCGAAAGACGTATTGTTTCGTAACAAACTAATAAACACGACATCAAGGGAAAAAAAAAATAGTTTATAATCTGGCTTTAAAATTAGCGAATGTGGTGGAGGTCCTGGATTGGACTCCTCCTTTTGTTTTTGATGAAAAAGATTGGACTCCTTCTTTGAGATTGATGGATATAATTTGTTATTTGTCATTAGACGCACCAGCTGGCCTAATCAAATCGAAGGAATCTTTTTTCGCTTAACCAAACTAAGCTAATAGAAAACCTAATAATTGGGATTATTAATTAAGTAATTAACTGTTGATTTTGTTTTATATTATTATAATTGGTTGTCGAACATGCGCCATAAGCTGTAAGGATAATGCTGTGTGTGTCCTTGTATCAACTTTGGTTCCTAGCAGGCAAGCAATGACCTTACACGACACATGAACTTTGGCATGTACGGTAGGGGTGGGCAATGGACGGGTTGGGTGGATTTTGGTCTAAAATAGACCCACCCGCTTACTAGTGGGTTGAAATATATGTGACCCGCAATCCACCCACATACTTATGCGGATTGGGTTGGGTGGGTGGCGGATGGGTGCGATTGGGTCGCGGGTTAACCCACAAAAGCAATTCTCCAACTAGCCATTAAGAAAATTAACTAACATTTATAATAAGTTCATAGCACATTAGTAAGATTGTATCAATAATTTGTGATTTTGATACAATTAATAATTTATAGTTTGTATCTCAATATTTAATGGATATTAACAATAATTTGCATACCAATATCCATTGCAAATGGATAGCACAACACAATAACCAATAATAGTAGTCAAAACAATTATTTATTTTCCACCTTTTGCAGTATATGGTCATACTATAGTGCATTTTGAAAATATGATGAATATTCGATACTATAAGAAACAACATTTTTCCATGTAAAAAATAGAATGTGGGTCATACGGGTGACCCGCAATCCACCCACCATCCACCCACATAAGTGCGGGTGGGAGATTTAACAATCCGCAATCCACCCACATCAATCACCCATTGCATGCGGGTCGGGTTATTTGTGGGTAGATCGATATCAATCCGCGGATTAACCACCCACGTGCTCACCCTTAATGTACGGAATGAACAAAAAAGGAAAATAAATAATTTTGATTTTCGGTCACTGACTAATTCCATCATGGGCTATTTTCCATCATAGACGGCTGAAAATAACTTTGGGCCTTTTTGGCCCATAGGCTTCTGAAGCCAGGACTTTCAGTTCTGGCGGGCGGTATATCAACTATTAAGCTTCGCGCTTAGGGTTCTTTTCCGCCTGAAGCAGCCTAAAGAAGGGAAGAAAAGCGGCGGAGGCGAAGAAGAAGGGGGGATCGGCGAACCATTTTAGGAGAGAAAACTGCCGGCGTAGCCATGCAGGGGAAGCCAAGGAAAGTAAGGAAGGAAGAGGTCGTTACTCGAGAGTATAACATAAACCTCCACAAGCGCCTCCATGGCTGGTACCGTTCGAGCTCCTCTCTCCTTCGTATTTCTGGATCTTTGCTTTTCAACTTCGATTGCAAATAACTGGGATTTTGGATTAGACGGAGCCTTAGCTCAGTCAGCTGATCACCGTTCTCTGTATGGGAGTTGCTTTCTGGCTTTTGTCGACTTGTTTTGGTTGAGATTTAGACGAAGCGTGAATGCGTTTGTGGAGTTTCAGTGTGATGAATGACTCTGAACTGGAAAATTTGAGGTTGATTTCTGTTCAGTGATGTGCTTCCAAACAGATTTGTAGATTGAGTTGATGTAGTTGAAGGGGGAGAAGTTACAGAGCATCATTGACTTACCATTCTTAGTTAGAAGATCCCAAAGTTGCTGAAACCTGTGAACTGTAGTTTTAGCCTATGTATTTAAGGCTTTGTACATTGCCTTTTGTTTGAGATTTGCTGTGTAGTTAACTGAGGCTAGCAAATATCTAGCACTGAATTGCAGTTGCTAGGTTTAGATCAGTAGGCGTTTTGCTGTTGCATTCACTGTGACGAATTGAGATCTGATGCAATATCCTCTGTTACTGTTTTTCCATTCATGTTTCCTATCGATTTGTTGCAGTCTGTTTCTAGAATCTGATTTGTTTCGTGGGTTTGGCTTATTTTCCCCTATGTGAAGTACCTTCAAGAAGAAGGCACCAAAGGCAATCAAGGAGATAAGGAAGTTTGCACAGAAGGCCATGGGAACAACTGACGTGAGAGTCGACGTGAAGCTAAACAAGCAGATTTGGAGCCGAGGCATCAGGAGCGTACCGAGGAGGGTTCGCGTTCGCATTGCACGGAAGAGGAACGACGAGGAAGATGCCAAGGAAGAGTTCTACTCTCTTGTCACTGTCGCCGAAATCCCTGCAGAGGGATTGAAGGGTTTGGGCACCAAGGTCATTGAGGAGGACGAATGAGTGTAGATCATTAAGCCAGCTACTTATTTTTTTTGGTTAACTGTTTAGCATGAGGTACTTCAGTTTTGGTTTAAATTGTCAAAGTTTACTAGTGTTTTTTCTGGGTTTTGTTTTGGGATATCGCCAGCAACTTATTCATGAGAGGAAAATCTTGTGCCTAGGAATGGCAACTTTGCCCATACCCATGGGTTTCTTACTATCCAACTCAATTGGGTTGGGTATGAAATCCAAATAGATGGATATGGGTAGAGTTTGATGGGTTTGTACCCATACCCATTTACTTTGGGTTGAGTTGGGTTTATATCAAATGGATTTGGGTTTGTACCCATACCCAAATACAAATTACATTTTGGTACCCAAACTTAATAGATATGCATATTTAGTACCTAAATTTAATTTTTTTTGCATATAAGTCCTCAAAATATCAATGGAAAATTACGTTTTGGTACCTAAATTTTTTGGGTCTTACATTTTGGTACTTAAACTTTTCAAGTTTTGCAAATAGGTCCAATTTTTGCATGTGTAGTTAAATCACCCTCAAGTAAATGGATATCCATATCCAACTCATACCCATTTAGATTATGGAAGCCCCAAACCCAAACCCATAATCTATAAACCCCCAAATCCATATGCACTTCACCCATACCCAACCCATTATCAATGGGTCTACTTGGGTTTGGGTATAATTATCCATGGGTGGGTAATTTGCTATCCCTACTTGTGCCTTTGCTTGATGTAACATTGTTATCCCAGGTGTCTGCTTCTCTGTTTTCATCACACATAGATGCCATAGCTAAGATCGTTGGATTTGCTGTAAACAATTGCTCATACTCTGTGAATTTCATCGACTGATCGCAGTGAAGTGTCTAAACCATTGACGATCGTCATAACCGGAAGGTGCATAGTTAAAAAAAGACTATCGGTCCCCATAATGAAGAAGAGCTCGAGATCCATGTGGGCCTGTGGCCCAGATTGGGTCCAGGCCCGAAGAATTCTAACATACAAATGAAATGTGAATCGTGCCCGCGAAGCTCATCAAAAATTCAAAATTGTCATTTTCAATTTTCCCCAACCCGCCATCGCCCCAATTTCTGGGTACGCCGTAGCCAGTCAGCCAAAGGGCAAAGCCCTTCCCGGCCAATTAATCTAAGTGTGAGCGTCGCCGTTGCAGAGAAAACTCTCCACCACCCGCCGTCCAGAGCAGCCGAAGCAAGAAATCTTCGCGGTGAATCGACTTTTCTCATTGAGACTATGGCTCGAGGTAAACAAATTCTCTCTGCGACTACTTCCTTCGTCTTTAAAGTTCGCGTCGACTGAAAGGTGCTCTAACTGTCTTCATTTCTCCGGGAATGCTTCTCAATTAACGCCGATAGCTGTAGATCTGTAATCTCTTTCGCCGGAGTGTGACGAGAAACTAGTTAGTAGTTCGTCTCTTGCGTTTGCGCTTTCCGCCTCGCAATCACTGAAATCGTACTCCAATCCGTCGGTCAGTTTGTGGTGTAGTGGTTCCGGACTCTGCTGTTCTTGGCTATTTTCATGCGGGAAATGGATCAATTGCCGCCAAAAAGCGGTTCTCTGGTGGATCTGGACGATGTAAAGCATGTATCTAGGTTGAGTACGATTCTAGTTGCGACGATTGAAGAGGCGAAAGACAGGATTTCTCAGATCGAGTACATATTCTGCAACCAGCTCTACCCTAATGTCCAGACCAAGTACAAGAACTGGCAGGATGTTTATCTGGAGGCGAAGAGACGAGCAGAGGATGGATATAAAGAGAAAGAGAATGCACTATTGCTCCGCATTGATGAGCTCGAACGCGGGCAGCAAGAAGCAATTGCAGAGAACCAGTCTCTGAAGCTCGAGAAGGAAAAGTGGTTGGAAGCAAAGAAGAGGGAGATGAAATCTGGTGTCGAAGCGGGAAACGAACAGGAGAGAATTGCTTTACTAGAACAGCAACTTCGCCAGAAGTCTGTTCAGGTTGAAAGGGAAATCGAATTGATCGATAGGGTGATTCAAATGGTTCAATCGAAATCGTCCAAGATACTTGAACAGTCACTGCAGCTCAAGCAGCAGGAAGAGAAGGCAAATGGGTTGGTTGGGAAAGTTGAGGAGTTGGAGAGGAAGGCTAAGGAACTCATGAAGGAGATAGGAGAAAAGAATGAGGAAATTGATAGGCAAAAAGATGGATTCGAATCGAAAATCTTTAGGGAGAGAAAGGTTACTGAAGAGGAGAAGGTCAAGCTTAAGGAGAAGATCGATAAACTCGAAAGAAATCTGAATGACAAGAGTAGAGAAGTGGAGGAGGGAAGAGCATTGCAGGAAGAGCTGCAAGAGCAGGCAAGTAAACTAGCTGTTAAACTTAGGGATAAAGTCTTGAGTGAATACTCTACGTGTAAGGAGCATGCTAAGGTTCGAGAAGAGCTTGAAGTCAAAATAAGAGGCTTAGAAGAGAAGGTGAATGAGCTGCAGAAGAACAATATCAGTAGAGATGATGGCACAGATACCGAAAAACTTGAAGAATTACTTAAGCAAATTCAGGCGAAAGATGCTGAATTGGTGGGCGAGAAGGGAAAGAACAAGGATCTTGTTCAAGCATACAAGAGGTTGAAACATCAATATACCTATCTATGCGAGAAATGTGGTCTTACATCAGGGAACATGCTTCCCCAGGCTAAATTAGAAGATGCAGGTGATTTGTTCAAGTACCCCAAGAGTCCAACGGTATCACCTGGTAAGAAGAATCTTGTGGCTTTGCATTATCATTAACATCCCATCTTTTGAGTATGAAGTCATCTTAAAAAGCTGCTTTAGCTGTGTATCAGTAAATAAGTCCCTGCAAATGTATTGATTATGGAACACAGTTCGTTATAGTTTTGATTAGAGTCTTAAATTAAAGCGGTTTTACAGTACTACTTTGTCTATATTGTTCCTTCAATGGAAGAAGATTTCTGAGAATGCCTTTGGTCATTGGAAACTTGAACTAGAGAATGCATACGTGATACGACTGCTGCCATTCTGATCGTATTGCATTGTGTTATTGCAGAGCTCAGGACTAAGGACTTAAACTCTTCACCATTTCCTCAACAGCCAAAGAAAGTGAAGATAGAAGATGGAATCAATGATGTCGTTGAGACTGACAACCCGTGGAAGACGGTTTCAAATCCAAGCTTCCACCTTCCTCCACCCCGTCCTGCAGCTCAGAAGCTTCCTCCACCTACTGCAAAATCTCCCTCCATAATAAGCGGAGTAAAGCGGCCTGCTTCAGGGTGGGTCGAGACTCGGTCCGCCGCCCAGGGCAAAAATGGGCCGGACCCACATGACGATTTCCTCAGCACTCCATTGGAGAACCTCAGAGAAAACAGGAACAAAGCCATCATCATCATGGAAGAAGAAGAAGAAGCCAACTTGTTTGCCGACGTGGTTCCAGCTAAGGCAGACGTGATCATCCCTCGTGGTGATAACGATTCAGATGACGAAACTCAGAACATGAATGTGGACCCCTGTCCAGCAAAGCGGGATCATCTAACCCTGCCAGAGGGGAAGAAGAAGGGTTTCAAGTACGTGGAAACGGTTCGAAAGAAAGCGGACCGGGAGAAACTGCAAGGCGTGGAGTGCAAGCAGTGCAAGAAATTCTACGACGCCGTTCTGGAGAAGGGAGGAGGCGGTGGTGGTGGGAATGAAAACCTGAGGTGCGAGCATCATGATGGCGTCTCCAGGCATCGGTACAGGTACGCCCCTCCCATGACTCCTGAAGGGTTCTGGAACATTGGGTTTGAATCCGAAATCTGATTTTATCTATTTACCTACCAGACTGCCTGCCTGTAGTTATTTTTTTTTCTTACTGCATGGATTTTACTGCCGGTTAGAATCAAAAGAATAAAGAGGCAAGATCATGTGTGTGTAATAATATCAGTGTTGGTCGTACGTGGTAGTTGGGTCAACGTCGGATCTTAAATGGCGCACTTTCTTGGATCTCAAATCTCAATGCACATCGCTGTTACTGTTTTTTCACTGTTGGAGTCGACGCAGTATAACGTGTAAAAATGTAGGAGGCAGGGGAATAGTGTAGTATAGCAGAAGTGTGCATGGTTATGCTAGTTTGCGCCGGGGGAGGAGCATTGAAGTGAGGTACTGAGTTAGAGGAGGACATACATTGCATTAATGGATTATGGTTGTGTGGATATTTAATCGAGAGAGTGAATTGTTTTGACGGTCCACTCATTCTTATCCCTTTGTTTTTTTTTTCTGAAATTCTTCTGATCTGGATCCAACACTGCTTTGAATGCTGCTGTGGCCAGACCAGGCCACCCACCTTTTTTTTCCAGATCACGGAAATAGTAATAAGTTAATTACTAATAGCTCAATCTTGTACAAGGTAGACTATAAATAGGTGGTGGTTAGTCTGTTGTGTGCTCTTTGTAATGCAACTGGTTATATAAATAGTTACATTTCGGCCTAGCCTTTCAAAGATATTATCAATTTGATCGTTATATTTAATATGAGATTTTGATTCTATTGATTCGATATAATTCGATGTAGTACTCAAAATTGATTCCATATAATTCTGCTGAAAATAGAAATCTCTTGCTATATACGAAATATTATAAGTCTGAGATAATACTATTAATACTATGTTGACATTTGCATAGAAATGGGATAATCATTATTGCCTGATTGAATGACATTGATGTTATTATCACTCGAGTCGAGTGGTATCTGTGAAGAAAAGGTTGCATCATATTATGACAAGGGTAAAAGAAAAGTAGGTGCATTATTATTGTGTCTTTTTGGTGCTTATATTGTTGTCCTCCTCTCCTCCTTTCAAGTCCCAACCAAATAGAGCTCTATATTTCATGATAATAAACCAATAGGAAATCATCCATTCGATGATGAAAGTAGAGGTGAAGATTTTGTTTGGAGGTAGAAAGAACAGTCCAGGAATCTCTCTTTTCCCCATCGCACTTACCACTTCACAGCCAATAGACTTTATTCACGTGCTCCTTTGTTTCTCTTGTTTTGTTTCTTGTCTTCCATTGAGTGATGCTTGCTGATGATGATAATATTAAAGTAAAATAAAATTGTTTTTGGGCGGTGGTGGGTTGGTTGGGGTTCTGCTCTATCCTTTGCTCTCCAACTGCAATATGTACCCTTCCTATCCAACTTTTTCATCCTTGCTGTGCTGGTGATGTTGTTACTCACCTTATGCCGGTATATTGCATATGAAAAATAATTTCGGGCACGATTATCTTATGATAATACTACAAATTTTTATGTTTAGTTCTTCTGAATTAGATATATACACTTTAATATATTCCGATGAATCAGAATTTGCGATTCTTATTTTTAGAGTAAATAAATCTTATGATTTGAGTTAGTGGGTTAATTTTGCTATTCTTACAGTTTAGATCTTTGATCTGATGAGCATTGTTTGAGGGTTTTCTTTTTCATCCACTTGACCAAGTTAGGTTTACCTTACACTGAACCTCATGCAACTTACAGAGTCCCGATTTGACTGGCTCTGGGTAAATCATATATAGCTACAGTACGATGTAAACCTAGTAGTGCGCTATAGTCAAGCTGTAATTAAGGGGTTGTTTGCTTCAAAGATTTTATAACGAGGGTTTTGTCATGGATTTGCTAGTTAAAAACCTTGAGTGTTGATGTGACTTGAATCGGACTATCAGCCGCTACGACTGGTAATTGGGGGTCTCGCTGACCGGTCAGCGAGTGGGGTCTAGGGGCAACGCCCCGGTGGGGGTGCGGGGGCAACGCCCCCGGCCCACGGTGTATGGGCTCAATGTTATTTGGGTTCGGGTTCTGGGCCTGGTCTGTAACCGTTTTCTTTGCTAGATTGGATTAGGTTTAGACCCACATGAAGAAGTGCTATAAATACTTCTCATACTCTGTAATCTGAAATCTCCTCGATATAGTGAAATTGGCTCTCTCTCGCCCGTGGACGTAGCTAACACACATCGTGTTAGTGAACCACGTAAATCGTGTGTCGTTTTTTCGATTCTCGCTTTCGTATTCTTGCTTTGTTGATTCCAGCGATTTCCCGATCCGTAGCAGCGCGTTTATAACATTGAGATTTATTAGGGATTTTAGGCATTATGGATTTGAGGAAGTCCTTTGTTTGTTGAGCTATTTTTATCATGTATTTGATGGTTTTTCAGCTTGTCTCCAAACCCCAGGGTATGAGGTGGGATTTATAAAACCGTTGGGCCCAAGGATTTGGAGCAAAAATAAAACCCAAAATCGTTGGGCCCACAGATTTATCTATACATTTTTCTGACAAAGCAAACAATGGATTGTGTGTAAATCCATGATGATTGATTTTTTGGTACCAAATCCATGATGCAAATCTTTCAAACAAAAAGACCCAAAAAAAAGTTGTCGAGAATCTCTATTGAAATGTCACGCGTATGCCTAACCTTCACGTGCATGCAACAGCCCCCCTCCCTCATCCACGCCCTCTTCCCTTTCATAATCACCAAACAAGATTAAAGAATAAGGTAAAACCGCCCTTAAGCGGTAGCAATAATAAGTAAAAATAATAATTTGAGTTACTCGGTAACTTGAAAAAGATTTACCATTTTTTTACTACATACATACAATACATTTCCCAAATCAATTCACCCCACCACATAACATATAGTTCTTCTTCCACATTTCCCATGACGATGGATCAACTAACAAGTGCTGAGTGGGTTCCCGCAAAGGCAATCATTGAACCCGAACGACGCCGAGTCGAACTTTTCAAACGGCTCCCCGGCGGGAATCGACCCGCACAGGTGGTTGTGGCTGAAGTCCAGGTGACCCACGTACGCCGCCGACGACAGCGACCCGGGAAGCTTCCCCTTCAAGTTGTTGTACGAGAGGTCCAGCACCATGAAGTAACTCTCCGGCCCGAACGCGTCCGGTATCTCCCCTTCCAGCGCGTTCCTGCTCAGGTTCATTATCCCCAGCCCCCTGCTTCCCAGCAGCTTCGCCGGAATCTCGCCGCCGATCGCGTTGCTGTCCAGATTCAGCGTCGACAGCACCGGCAGGTCCCCGAGCCAACCGGGCAACCCGCCGGAGATCTGGTTCATGGACACATCCAGGTCCGCCAGCCTGCACAAACGGGGTTTTTGTATAGATTCATCACCACATTTTTAATCAATTCTTCAAGTAAGAGTGATATATATATATATATGTTTGTTTTTCTATTTAGGTGTTAATTATTGAATTCGAATTTGAAATCTTCAAGTTCACTTTGAGTAATATCACTGGACCAAATCCTTATTCGTCGTCGTAAGTATATTGTTATATGTGTCTACCTACCTGTACATATTGGACATGGAGTTTGGAACAGGGCCGGCCAGCTGGTTCCTGCCAAGCAGAGCGCGGCTGAGCATTTTCATATTCCCGAAATCGTTGGGGATCCGGCCGGAGATCTGGTTGTTGCTGAGGTCGAGATGCTTCAGGCTCTCCAATTTCGAAATCGACTCCGGGATTTCGCCCGAGATTCTGTTGTCGGCGAGGTTGAGCACGGCGAGGCGGTTGAGGTTTCCGATTTGGGAGGGGATCTGGCCGGAGAGGCTGTTGCCGACGAGATCCAGGACGCGGAGGTTGGAGAGCGAGGACACGCAGTCGGGGATCTGGCCGGAGAGGCCCTTCCAGTCGGCGATGATGAGCGTGGTGAGCTGGTCGAGCTTGCAGATGGCAGGGGAGATGGTTCCGGTCATGTAGCCGGAGGTTCGGCCGGCCTTGGTGAGGATCGGATCCTCCGACTCGCCGCGGAGGTTGATTTCAGTGACGCGGGAGGTGGCGGGGTCGCAGCTGACGCCGAAGTAGGCGGAGCAGTTGGAGCCCGTCCAGGTGTCGAAGAGGCCGAGGTACGGGTCGGTGAGGGCGGATTTGAAGGTCTGGAGGGCGGCTAGGTCGGCTGGCGGGCAGGCGACGGCGGCGGCGAGGAATGTGGCTAGTAGAATGAGGATGACCGAAGGAGTTAGCGGCGGCGGCGGAGCCATTTTTTTCTTTCTTCTTGTGTTAGTTTGGGGTTACTCTGTTCTGTTCTGATTTTTGGCCGGCGATGGCGGGTTTGGGAGGGAGTGTGGGAGTGGAAGGATGGGAAGTGTGGAGGTTGGAAGTTGGGGGTTGTTAATATACAGATTTTCGGACGATTTTGCCCTTTGACGCCTTCTGGATATTTTAATGAACATTTGTATTTGTGTACTAAATAGAACCTATTGGAGCTAAACAAATGATTTGGGTGGTGAATTGTGATTAACAAGTAATTAAGAACCTCTATCTCCTATCAAAGATTGCCGGTAAAAACGGGAATTTGTATACCCTACTCACACTCAAATAGAACATAGTCAAATGTTTTTTTGAAATTTGGACAAGATGTTTAGTACTAGATATCTTGTCAGGCCTATTACTGATATTAAGTAACAGTAACAAAATTTGTATTTATTTTTCATATTATATCTATAACGAATTAAAACTATAAATACATGGATTCACAAAAGACATTAAAAGACTATAAGGTGAAGATGTTGCTAGTCCTTCATACTAGCAATGAACTGAAGTGATCAAGATTTCTTTACCGCCCAAAAGCAAAAATAAGGCAACCTCTAATGAAAGAGCCTATTTAATCACAAGAGGAACATGTGTGTTATGATGCCTAGGACTAGGAGTGTAATGAACGCGAGCAAACGAAAATGATACACATAGATGCTGCTGCACCATCAATTAGGGCTGGCAATTTGGTCCAGGACTGTTTGGTTTTACCCGAAATCGGACCGTATAATCCGGACCGGGACCGGACTGGGACCGGATAGTAAGCAATCCAATCTCATATTCGGACTTAGATTTGAGGTGAAAAACCCGGATAAAGACCGGATAAGAGACCCCAACACTAAAATCCCCACAAGCTCAATCTAAAATCAAAATAAAATTGAGACCGGACCGGGTCAAGACCGGAGTGTATCCAATCCAATCTTTGGTCCTTATATTCCCGAAAAAACCGAACTAGGACCGGATCGATTTGGTCCAATATAACCGGACCGAACCGTATAGCCACCCCTACCACCTATCGCATGAGTTCTTTCCTTCCCTTGCACCTCTCAAATTACTGACGTAGGTAAATCATTTTGCATGTCATGATTTTTTTTTTTTGAAGGACTCTTTCCACGTAAAGTCTCCTTCAATGATCTCAATGGGATAGTATCATATAAATATGATTGGGCACAAATATCAAAAGGGGAAAAAGAAAGAAAGGAAATGGAATTTTATAAAGGCAGGCAAAACTCAAAACCATAGGGTACCTTTCACAATTTAATTACTCAACAACATACATGACTTGGACATGCAGGCAAGACAAGGCTAGGGATTAGAAGCCTATGTTCTTATTACTATTATTATCAATTGGCAATTATAGAGGACTGAGTGTTTTCTTATAAATATGTGTGTTTGAGTCTTTCTTTTAGAATTAAGAAGAAGAAAAAAAAAATTAAAGGAAATTAAATCTAGTTTTTTTTTGTGTGGATTAAATCGAGTTATTAATCCTCTATAATTCTCCTCTCTAATCCCTAAAACTTTCCCTAATTTCCGGATTTTTATTGTTGAGCGCTTTAAATAAATGCAAATAAGTAGTCATAGTCTCTTGTCCACAAATATGTAACTCAATTTTGGGCAAGACTATACCTTATGATACGAAACGAATTTTTGGCACGATAAAATGTGATAAATTGAGTGTTTTTTTCTTCATCTTATGAATGTTGAACTTTATTACCAACAAAATTAGGAGAAAAGATAATGACTTTGTGTTAGCCCCACATCCAAGTTGTTTGATTGAGTCCCCATATGAGTGCCAGCCTTCAGTTGTCTGCCATCCTGAGGATGATGATTCGTTAAGAAAATTGTCTTGCATCTGCATGTGTGTTTGTCTTTCTTGAATTATTCGATCCCTTGCATTCCATTCCATTTCCATTTCCATTTCCATCCCTTTGAAGTTTGAACCTTCTCATATCTAATCTAGTTTCTGAATAATAATAATTAATGGATTGGAAGATTGTAGGGTAAATGAAACTTGGGAAAGCTTATCTTGGAGGGTGCATGGAGCTCTATATAAAAGAGGAGGAAAACTGAGGCCGGCCGAGAAGTGAAGTGGTGTGTCATAAATGGCCGAAACTAGAAGCGGAGGGCAGTTGGGCGCAATCAATATGTATGGGAGCAAATAATGGACTGGAGGCTGCCACTACTGGTACAGAAGATGTTAATCATTATAATTGTGAATGAATTAGATTGAACAAAAAAAAGGTGGAATGCAGATTTTCCATGATGCAGCAGCAGTACTGCAGCTAATTAATTATAGTCATCGAGCCACGCAGTCGAGGGAAAGTGTGGGAGCGTTCTAATTTCTAAGTGCATTTAGGAAGGATCTCTCTTCTCTTCTCTTAGCTGGCTAATTGAAAGACTGCAACATCAATGCACAGTAGAAGACATGTGCATGCATGCACCAATGTTGGAGACCTTAAATCTGGTGGTGCCTTTCATTGGTTAGCTGTGAAGGGGACACTCAACTCTATATGCAGAGCGCATGTGGTGTGAGTGTGACCAAATGTGCAGAACTTCTTTTTCTTTTGTGTCAATCTGGCTTTGGCTTCCATTTCTAACTTCTAAACTTCCCCCAATTCAACTTGAAGAAAGTTTGAGTCACAAACGTGAAAGAAATCAATAAACTAAAAGTGATCAAATTTGCAAATCACTGTTTTTGTACACTTTCTTTTTTGAACTTCTATCATAAGGATGACATATATTTGTTAAGAAGAGCAAATCTCACTTCTTTGATATGAATTAAATCGATTCAATTCAACCTACCTGCGGTCAGAGTTTTCTACCGAGGGCCTGAAAGTTTGACAGAGAACACATGCATGAGATGAGATGAGACTCAATGGATTATAACATGACGATGTGGAACGAATCAAATGTCAGAGTCGAGTACTAAACTAAGTCTCTACCATGTGCCAGAGACAGAGACATAAGGAGAGACAGAGGTCGTCTGTGCTCTCTCAAATTCAATTATCCAACTTCCACAAATCCCCCCACCACTCTCTCAATTATTAATTAATCATCATTATTCTATATAATAATTGCACTCCAAACTGCAGCAAAATAAACACACACACAGACAAATTATTCGTATTCACCACCTCAATCAATTGCATTACCATCCAATATTATTCCATTATTATATGTGCATGTTCTTGAACAACTCATCCCTAAATATTCCAAAAAATACTATGCAATCTTTGGTTGAGTGGTTTCATCAATCTACAGACAATATAGCAAGTAGAAACGCCATTTTCCAGCCCAAATCGGCTTCTCACAGTCAAAATTTGAGCAGCAGTCTAATCCTGCTGGTACACTGACTTGAACAAGATTACAACATTCTAGTCCACCTCCAAAGCAAAAAGATCAAGCAAAAATGTCCTCCCTCATGATTGACTGTTCTCTCTCGACAACCAGTTCAGAGGGGATCTGCTGCTGCTGCTGCAGCTGCTCGTAGTTCAACTGTCTAGATGCCTCGTACACTGCAATGCCGACGCTCACAGAGAGATTCAGACATCTTACGTAGGTTTCAACCATTGGGATACGAATGGTTCCACCTCCAAACTCCTCGTGCTTGCAATCTTCTAGGGCTTCGGGTGGCAGGCCAAATGTCTCGGCCCCAAATACTAGGTAGTCTCCTTTCCTGTACGAGCATTCCTGTTCCAAGCACACGCAAAAGAAAGATCACCTATCATGAAGGCAATGTCCAACCTAACTACATGCAGCAACTCAAACCAGGCATATGGAAATGCATATCTCCTCTTGAAATGGTGATTATCAACTTACAGAGTGAATCTTTGTCCCTCTTTTAGTCAACGCTAGCAATCGTTTCTCGCCTTCCTGTCGGGTGAAATACTCTCGAAACTCTGCCCAAGAGTTGTGGACTTTCACAAGGACGTATCTGAGAGCACCGGATTGAGGAAAACTAGTAGAAGAGCAAGTAGGGTTTGTTGAGCAATCCCAAGAGCTATGCTCATGAACTAAAATTGAAGATATAGCATTCGTTGTAGTGTACATCAACAAGCAATTGGGTGTTCTGAGTTAAAAGGGAAAAGCTGATAACAATAAGGATACGGCCAGTAATCCAGTCCAGCACGCTTTAGCTTTGTGTCATCGATTTGGAACCCTAAAGGCTGAATTGATTAACAAAGGAGAGAGTACCAACTCCATTAGCACGACAGACTAACTGTCAACCGACGATAAACCATCAGCAAAGAGTGCGGAAATTCACAGCTGCATTAGCCAATTGCCCCAACACTCACCCCAACTAGGTGTAGACCAACACCTGATGCTGCACATGTTCTAGCAATGCAACCTGTGTTCCCTGGAATCTGCCAAACCCACAACAATGCATAATCTCAGACCCTAATTACGATTCTAAGTTTCGTTGATACTTTCCAATGGCATCAACTAAGTTATGGCTACTCTTGAAAGCATTGGATTCAATCAACGGTTCTGAAATGCCATTTCCCTTTGAGCAATTGCAAACTTAAATCACATTCTACATTCATGACATGCATAATAACCCAAAGAAGGACCTTTCAAACCAAATCCCCTCTAAAGGACGACACTGAAATTCATATGTTTCCATGACTTCACCTGAGGAGAGACTAGCACCACTTGAAGAAGTTTTTTCCTCGAGACTTCACTCACGGCTTCACCTGCTCCCCGCGGTAACGAGTAGCCATTATTCCCGCCTTCTTCAGCTGCAAAACCCACGAAACGAAACCGTTAAATGACCCCGCCCGCCAAAAGGAGCAAGCTTTTAACAGAAGAGAAACTCTAAAACTGGGAAGGATAGTGAAAAGGAAAAACATCGTTACATAGAGAGCAAACGGCAGAGAAACGACGGCCAGTTGCAGACGGATTTAGCTGCTCCCGCCTACTGACCTGCCGGAGAAAAGTGATTGAGCGGGAAATTGAGGCTTTTGGAGACAGGAAATGCAGAGGGGTCATGGCGTTTAGGGATTTTACGCCGGCGATTGCATCCATGGAGAACTCCGACGAATTTGGTGCCGTTTCTTCCGAGTGTCGGCGTTTCTTGGTTACCAGTGGGTGGCCGTGAACTTCGATGATGAAGGGGGCTTTCAAGATCAGAGTCGATATGGCGATATTTTTTCGACTCGTGATATATCGTAATCGTGTTTCGATTTTGGTTTTGAGAAACCGAAACGTATTGCGTTTCGACTATTCACTCGTACCTTCTCATCGTTTCACTCGTATTTCGTGTTAAAATTGCGATATATGGTCTTCTCGAGAAATATCGTCCAAATATCCTGGTAATTTCTCGTTTCCCGTTTCGGGCATAAAAATAGAGGGAACCCGCTGCCCGCACCATTCCAATCGGGTTCGCTCCTTTCTCCGTCTCTTCTTCCTCTTCTCCTTGCGTAAGCGAGTCGGTGGCCTTGCGAATTGTCCCCAAATCCCTAATTTCCTCCCTGAAATCACCGCGATCGATTTGGGCGAACGACCTTCTTTGAAGGCTCCCCAGGATTAACCAGGTACGCTTCTTGAAATTCTACGCCCAGATAGTCTGGCTCTTCTGGTTCCATAGCTCCTGATTTCGTTGAATTTGATTCTGAGTAAGGACTCGTATCTTAATTTATGGTTGAATTGGTTAGCATCCAGATCCATTATTATCACGCAATGGAGCCAGGAATATAGATCCGTCTTTTCTATTTGCTTCAATGTATAGAAATTTGCCTACGTTGTGTAGTGCGGCCCACTGCTCTTGTTTGAGCATTGGGGATAGGGCAACAGGCACTTACTGGTGGGCGAGATAGTTGGTATTGGTTGACCCTTTATCTTATCAGACGCGGAATGGTGCGAGGAAGTTTGGGGATTGTTAGGAATTGGGATACAATTGAATTTGCTCATAAAAACATTGGGGTTCTCGCTGATTCCAGAAGCAAATTTATATCCACTCCTCCCATCAGAGCGATTGGCAAGTTTGTACTTCGATGATGTATTGGCTTGAAGCCATTGATGTACGTTATAGAAAAGTTTCCCCATTTGAGTAGTGAATAAGGAAGTACGATAGTTTTTGTTGTTGTTGTTGGTCTATGTTCTATCATCAAAATGGTTCAGGTACATCAAATCGTACTTTCTTATGCAGCTGCAAGCCAATACATCATCAAAACTATCGTGGCTTGTTTAAAATGGTCCAGGTATTAAATTTGCAGCTGCATAAGGAAGTACGATAGTTTTTGTTGCTGTTGTTGATCTATGTTCTATTACACTGCTTCTTAATGTCAAAACATGCTAATGTGCCTACTTTAGTTTAAAATTATAGAAATCGGTGTATTGTTTCTGTATGTGCCTAAATGTCTGCAAAGCTTATTGTCAGACAGTGAACCAGAAATCCCTGTAAAGAGTCCGACTGTCTAAGCAGTGATGGATAAACAAACGCCTCCTACTCTTTTCGTTAATGATGGTTCATTCATGGAGAGGTTCAAACAACTTCAGCAAGAGAATGGGGAGCACAAGGAGAAAGACAAGGGCATAGCTGAAAAGGAGTCTAAACCCAAAACAATTTTCTCTGGGACTGTGACTCCTAAACCTGCTGCTGTTAAAATAAGCATGCAGCTTAAGGGTAGTGATGGGCGCAATAGCCTACAGTCAGCTTCTGGTGGGAAACTTGCTTTCAGTTTGAAACAGAAGTCAAAGATTGTGTCTCCTGCAGTCAAGTTGGATGAAGAAGATGACGAGGAAGCAGAAGGTGGAACTGGTTTAAGTGATGCACCATCTAAAAGACAGAAATTGGGGCAAATGGATGCCTCTGAAAAATTATCGAGACAAGAGGGTGTTGGTAAATACTGCACATATTATTGTTATTATTTGGTGTTAATAAGTGGCTTTTTGGATCTTTTGGTAGACAAAATTACTCACTACATGTTTATGCCTTGTTGCTGTATAATTCCTCTGCTGCACCTATACTGTTAACATAGGCAGAAATTACAAGCACAGAAATGCACTCTGGCATTTTGCGTATACAAAGAATGTCCAGTAGTTATCATCATGTTCGTGAATGTGAAGTCTTTTGATGAAACTAGTTAAGTTTTGTCTTGTAGTGCCTTGGCTTGAATCGAGTTTTTGTTTTGCTGTAGCATTATATCCTGTGTACTCTATGTTTAAGGATCCTTATGTTGTCGGTTTGCATGCGAAGTGTAAAGCTCTCAAAGAAACGTTGTCTGCAGTTAATAGTCATGGTTGTTTACATAGATCTTCTGCCTTTGGGCGTCTCTTCTCTGGTCTTTATTTGGCAGATATAGAGGGCAAAATTTCTTCAATCTTACTTGTCTCGTGAATGCAGCTTATTTTTTAAGTACCAACCAACATTCGTGGAAAGAGATGTTCAATGAAAGATTTGGCATTTGTGACACGCCTGCTACAAGAGTAATTTCCGTTACCTTGTTCATGCTGTTGGTATTAATAAGTTTTATAAGTGATGTGCAGCCCCAACTTCCCCAAGTGACCCTACAGTGAAGAAAGTTGCAGACAAATTAGCAAGTTTTGTTGCCAAAAATGGCAGGCAGTTTGAGGATGTCACTCGTCAGAAGAATCCAGGGGATACCCCATTTAAGTATGTAACAGGACATTATGTTTGTGGCAAAGAAGTTGTTTCTTTTACACAGCTTCCTCCATCCTTTATAATACCGGCTTTAAAATATGCTTTTTGAGGCTTTAATTACACTTCGTGCATATGCTGTCTGCAGATTTCTGTTTGATAAAGCATGTCCGGACTACAAGTATTATGAGTTCCGACTTGCTGAAGAGGAAAAGGTTCTTGCCATGACTAGGGATTATGACAAACATGCTGGTGAGTCTCTCAAGTTCTCTTTATGGTTTCAGTACACTTCAAATTCTTATGATTCATTATCTGGTGTTACATCATTGTTGTTTCGTGAATTTAGTTGTTGTGGTAGAGTTTGTTATTGTCATTCTCCTCCTTGGTGTCTGGGGTTCTAATAGCTGTGGGGCTTTTGTTGTAGGGGCTACTAGCATGTCAGTGTCAAATTCCACAGTCAGTTCTCATAGATCACATCAGAAGCAACCAAATTATCAAATCCCTGCTTCAGCTTTGTACGGAGCTGCTGAAGACCCTAGGAATTCTTTAGAACATGCAGGTTCTCAAGGGTCAACTGGTACAGCCTATATATTCTATTTTGTTGGTGAAACACTTCTATTTATTGATGAATACTTTTACCCTGTTGTTTAACAGGAGAATCTACTGCACCACCGGGTACTGATCCCATTGCAATGATGGAGTTCTACATGAAGAAAGCTGCTCATGAAGAGAAGAGGAGGCAGCCTAAACAGTCCAAGGATGAAATGCCACCACCGGCTTCCCTTCAAGGTAAATAGACCAAGTGATTACTTCCACACCTAGAATTCATTGTTTTCTCCTCTTCTCATCCCCTAAGTTCCTTTGACAGGTCCAGGCCCTTCCAAGAAAGGTCATCACATGGGTGATTATATCCCTCCGGAAGAGCTTGCGAAGTTCATGGCTAACTGCAATGATGCTGCTGCCCAAAAAGCTGCTAAGGAGGCTGCCGAAAGAGCACGAATTCAGGCCGACAATGTTGGGCATAGGTTGTTGTCCAAAATGGGCTGGAGAGAAGGTTGGTTGGTTACAGATCATGAATGATGCTTCGTTATGAAGGATTTTGAAGATTTGATAAAATCATCGGTTCTTCTTATAGGTGAGGGTCTGGGCAGCTCAAGAAGTGGTATGGCTGATCCAATTATGGCCGGGAATGTAAAGAAGGACAACTTGGGTGTTGGAGCTCAGCAGCCTGGTGAAGTGACGCCTGAAGATGATATCTATGAGCAGTACAAGAAGCGAATGATGCTCGGTTATCGTCATAGGCCCAACCCTCTGGTATTTGCATCTTCTCTTGTTTGTCTCTCCTGTCTTTGAAGTCCCTAGTCCTCACATTCATGGAGCCATAAGGTGTAACATTTTCTATAGCCCCCTGGTTCTGATAGCCTGTGTCTGTGTTTTGTTCTCTACTTTGCAGGGGAACCCTCGGAAAGCATATTATTGAGAGGCAAAAACCTGCTATCGTGACAGTTGAATGAAGAACAAGAATGTTGTCTCAAGAGCTTGCCTTTGATGACAAATACTACGTCATGCCAGTAATTTGACTGAGTGCTGTTTACTAATTTTGTTGCGCGTGTAAGTTTTTTTGTGCTGAAAGTGAAGCCTCTTTTGCTGCAACTTCCAGATCACTATTGGAATGGGGATTTGCGAGATATAGTATAACAGTATTGTTTTATATTCACAGAACCTATTCCAATGTTCTTGAAAACAGTAATATGGATGCCACAGGAGGAATTGATTCTACGTTTGTATACCGAAGGCTGATAACAACGGAAAAGTGCCCTAAGGAATAAGGGTATAACATAACTATTCTCTTCTATCCCTTCTCTTGGGATAGCAGTAGCACAGCTGGTCGTTCTTCCATGTAACTTGGAGTATGTGGTTGTCTGCCTCTGACCCTACAACAACAAATCACCAGCCAGAATATCGGAAAAGGTGTGATTTTGATTCTTTTTCCACAAGAGCAGCATGGGTCGGTTAGCATGCTAAACTCCCTTAGCGGTTGGAAAAATGACACCCCCTTAGTATATTAAATACAACTATAGAATTTAATACACACATTAAATACACATTAGGAATTAAATGCACCATATTAATTATTTGTTTTTTTTTCAAATTAAAACCTACACTAAATACATTTTCTCTCACTATATTTGATTTTTCCTTTTTCAGCAGTCTCCGACCACTAGACTTCCTCCGACCGCCACACTTCTCCGGTGAAAATCCCATCGGCAGACTCCCTCCGACCACCTCCAAAAAATATACCACTGCACTGATACTTTGTACCACTGTACTGGTAGATATACCACTGCACTGGTAGCGATATCAATGCACTGGTACCAATGTCATATCTGAGTATCAGTGCAGTGGTACAAATACCAGTAAACTGGTACAACATATCAGTGCAGTGGTATATTTTTGCATGTGACCGGAGAGAGTTTGTCGGCGGATTTTACCGGCGAAGTGTGGTGGTCGGAGGAAACTTGGTGGTCGGAGGCTGCTCGGAAAGGAAGAATCAGAGATAGGAGTGAGAAAGATCAAAGATGAGAGAGAGAAATGTATTTTGTATATGTTTAGATTTTTTTAAAAACAAGTAATTAATGTGCTGTATTTAATGCTTACTTTGTATTTAATAACAAAACATTTATTATGTTTACTTTCATTAATACTTGTCAATGATTAATGAAAAATTGACCAATTAAAAGGGGGTGTAAAAAAACCAACCCTTGCTAACCCGTCCCGGGCAGCATGTATACATATTCCATTGAGTATTATTCCCTAATAATTCTAGATATGGAAGTTCCATCTTTTTTTTTTTTAATCTAATCTAATTTCTAGTTTCTTCCTAGGCCCTAACTAGTTAGTTTCTTGGGTATTGGGGTTTAGGTAAGTAGGTTTGGCGGGCATGTTCATGAATTATTTCGTCAATATTGTTGGATGTGAACGCGCTCTTATAGGACTAAAAGACATTAAAAGATGAGAGTCGCACATTTATTTCTGTATAACTACAAACATTATCGCTTAGTATTTGATGACTCTAAAATACTCCTATTACAACACATCATTTATCAGAAACCATCTACCCTAGCTATTCTCCAAATCGAAGGAAGGTTGGAGAGATGGATCCGAGAGCAAAGTTGACCTTTGATACAGGAATTGGGACAATGACTCTACAGTTGAATATGTGTATAAGATTATTGGAGAATAAAGGATTCCCACCTTTGACTGCTGAATTATTTGGGGACCAACCCCAGTTTGGGGGAAACAATTAGTAGAGATAGGAGTCAACAGCTAGCTAGCTTCAGAATAAGGCAATGTTATATATATGCGAAGTCTATCTCACGACTATGGCTATCTTATAGAACCCCTTGGCTTAAGGACACCCTCATGCAATTGGAACAATTCTCAACTATCCATTGACGGTCACGATATATATGGAACTAAAAAGTTAATTCATTTTTGTGTCCCTCCACCTCTATTCAATCACTTAACCTATGGAAATGAGCCGATTTATCTTTTTATTCAAACTTCATGATTATAAGCCGTGTACTGTGCAAAGAGATCACAAAATATGAAGTGCGTAACTATCACTTTAGATGAATTGTTTTTGTAGTGAATAGTCAAATCCAAATACGTATCGTCATCAAATGTATGATATGAAGATGATTAGAGACGTGATGATCCACTATGATTTTGACTTTATGTGCAAAGTAGGGTTGAAAATGGTATTATATCGTCAATATTGGTTTGGGTTTTGCCAATTTGGTCAAGGGAGATTAGATTTATGTTACCAAAACATTTTCAGTAGGATATATCCACTTGAGTTGAGGTGATCATCGATCTACCAAACCAAATAGGGCCAATTTAATATGTATTCAAACACAACAACGAAGCAAAAATTGCATTTTCAAGTTCAATTCAGCCTCACAACAAAAAAGGAAAAGGTTGACATATTCATTCATCAACATTAAAATAGGGGTTGACATTTTCCAAAAAGTCAATCAATTGAGCTTCTCCCCCAAAAATAAAAACAAAAGCAAGAAGGAAATAATAGTGGAGATATATTATCCGAACCACAAACTACTCTCCTTTGGTCATTTGGATACATATATAATAACATGCAAAATGAGCTTAATCACATGATATGGGTGGAAACAATAGCAATCATTCACCTAATAGGATTAATTAATCAATTTCTCGTAAAATAATATACTAAAAAAACTAATAGGTCACTAATCAACCAACTAGAGAGAACATTGGTATACACATTAGAAGTAGTTTCTTGTATAACGTCACCAATTCTTATATTTCATACAAGTATAATTCAATACTCAATACTAGTCATGAAATTTAAGAAAACAACAACACACTAACTCGCAAATTATTTTCTTTTCATTACAATATCTGTCTACTATCCATTTAATGTATGTATATATACACACACATCTGAGGGACAAATAGGCATAATCTTAACTTTATTTCGTATAATGAATTTCAATTTTCATGCTATAAACTGTGCAAAAAATGAGATATATCAATCCATCAGACCATCACCAAACATGTAAACCATAAGAAGCTTTTTTTTTTGTCAAAAGATATCATATATTAATCCAATCAAAAAGATAGTTACATCCTGAATAGCAGCCAGGCTCTGAAATCAAAGAAACGACTTGCAGTCGGGTACAAAGAGAGGGCTTTTCTAGCTACCGAATGAGCTACCATATTGTTCTCCCGACCTACAAACAGCACACTAAACCCTGGGCGGGCACGAAAATACTGACAAATCTCTTCCAGTACTGCCCCCAAGTGACTGTCGCTCGTGTCGACTTGATTAATCTTGTCTATAATGACATTCGCATCACCCTCGAACCTAACTTCGGACAAGCCACACTCTAAACACCAGATGATAGCCTCCCGAAGCACAAGCAACTCCACTACCAGCGGCTCATCAATTTGCGCAATCTGCATACCTTTAGCCCGAAGGAGCGTCCACCCCGGGTAAAAAAGAACCATCCCACCAGTCGAGTGTGACCCCCTCCTAGTGGCCCCATCCCACATGCAAACCAGTCGAGAATCAACCACCTGGGTCCCTGGTTGAACCACCGGGCAGGATATCCTCGGCTGCTAGTCAACCGACAATCCCACCCATTCCTCATACTGCTGGTGAAATTGGCACATAAAAAACCATAACAAGCTCTAGGTGTCTTTATATAAATAAATAAATAAATAAAAAAGCTCTAGGTCATGTGGGTATGACTTCGAAGGTTTGTTTGTTGTTTAGGCTTTCTTTTTCTTCCTTATTTTGTGGACTAAGGGGAGACCTTTCAAAGGTCCAAGGAAGATGCAAGTTGTTGTATTATAATTTCTCAAAGTAATCCTGCGGTTTTGCAAAACCTCCTTTTAATTTGGTTGTTTTATTTCTCTTGGTTTGGCTGTATTATTAAAGTATGGTATTATCATTTTGTCTTTGCTTGTTCTATTCAATGCATTGCACTCCATTCGTTGGTAGGACAAAACCAAACCAACCCCGGTTTTAGCTTTTTTTTCTTTTTTTTTTACATCTAGAAACGGTTCGGGCTTGCTTTGGTCTCCCCGTTGCATGGAAAGGTCGACGCGCAAAACCGGAGTTGACCCCTTCATTATTTACAGCTTTCACTAATCACAATATATATGTATATAATCGTGAATCTTATCTTATCCTATCCTAATTCACACGTGCGTTACCTTAATCAGTAGCTGTTTAGTGTTCTGTTTTGCTACATAAATTTGGCAACAATCCTGGTATAGAGGAGGGCATCCATGAATGTTTAGTTGGTGATTGGTGGTGTCGTACGTGTATGTCGAGGTTGGTTAAAAGTTGAAAGAATATTTCTTACCATATAGTCTCGATTATGAAAGGAATTTTGATCGTGTTTGAAATTTCGAGATCGAACTTGTAAGATTGGACGAAAGTTTATTAAGATATAAATGAAGTTCTTAGGGACTAGGGAGGATATCCCTCGCGAAGACGGTGGGATTCCAGATGATGAGACAGGATCCGTTGTCGTCGATGGTCAGATCGTCGACGAGCTGGTGCGTCTTGGTGAGGATGATGTTGGGACTTGGGAGAGATCTTTGCGACATTGTTCCTCCGCCTCCACTACCGATCCGACGACGGTAGAGTCATCAGCCTGGCAATGAAGGAAGATGGAACACAGATAGATAGATAGAGATAGAGAGAGAGAGAGAGTAGAGGGGTTGGGTCGTGGTTATATGATTTGGCGGGTATGATTTTAAATTTTTAGGGTTGAAATTATGTGACTAGGCATTTTTATTAGTCACGTCAGCAAAAAAACTGACTTCGTTAATGGAGACTGACGGAAGGTAATCGAGAGTGACCAAATATGAATTGTTGAATTAATTTTGGTGACCACAAATGAAATGAAATAAAATAGTTTAGTGACAAGTGAAATTTTTTGGTAATTCCAAGTGAACTAATTTACCCAACAATTAACTAAATGTAGTGTGATTATCCATTTTTATGTATTCTTACCAAGCGTGTGTTAAACTACTAATAATGGTGAATTTGAAACTTGAGGCGACGATAGATATCAGCCTCAACACAGGCAAGTCATTACAAAATACAGGCCACGCCAAACTGATCAAATTAAAATAAGCCTATTGTATCAGATTCATGCTATTGAACCATTTTTCCGGGGGAAAAAGCGCACACATGCATCTAAACAAAAAAATAACATATGTTTGACCGTTGAAATTAACAAGAAGAATTAACCAATTAACACGTTTTATTTGAACACATTAAAAAAGAACAAACCTTCCTAGCTTCATGAAAATTCGTTAGTCGGCGCAATAGAATCATCCAAAACTATATCAACTTACCAGAAAAAGGCTATCATCCGTAGGTTAAATATAATTTCTTATTAATGTTATAATCTGAGTAATTACTCAAATTGTGTGCAAACTTCCATCACAAAGCAATGATGATCGATGCGACGATATTCTTCTTTTTATACGTTGATAATTGTATCAAAAGAATATAAAGTTACGTATTTTCGGTGATTACGTTGCAATTCTAAAGCAATTTATGTACGACGTTATACGTAATTATCAAGACTTATATATTATTATGAGCACGATTTTGCAGGGTCATGCATGTTACATTATAAGGATACCATAAGAGTTAACATTGTCGTTGTGTATTATGTTGAGGTTCTTCAGGTCTTCACTTAGCTAGATAGTTGCAAACGAAATTTGCTCTTTATTTCTTCTTATGTAGCATTAAACATACCCATATTTGGTTCACTATATAGGTTTGCGGATAACCCGTTAAGATGCTAACCGCATCAAACTATGCACACTGAGGTTAACCGCACCACAAATATTGGATAGTAGGTTTAATGTGATTAGCGACATCATGATTTGTTGTAAGTATAATCAAGTTTTGTGAATTTGATTACTCGTAAAATACGAGACATGTAACCGTTGCAAATTTTCACCCTACCTTTACATATTTGTATGATGATTGATTAAAGAAATAGACTTCTTGAATAGTAGTGTAGATGAGCCTTTCCCAAGTTTGATTACGGCTAACGGCTTTGAAACAAGGACTTGAAAAGTAGGGATTCGAAATTGATTTTGGTGGAAGGAAGGAGGAACTTGCTTTGTCTTCGTGGCAACCAAACCAAAAAAAAAAAAAAAAAAAAAAGAAGAAGGTGGTAATTTCAATTTGGGCTCTATTCCCTTGCCTGGACCCAAAGGTTCAAAAAAACACTGAGGAGCCACGTTTTCTACTTCCCTACCACCATCCACAACCATATCCCCAAAGCCCACGTATGCTCTGCTTTTGTTGTGTAAATCATCATTCTTTTGATGATCACTAACCAATCAATCACCAAATTTCAGTTTTCGAACAAAATTTGACCGAGGCTTCAAACGTAATAGTCACTTTGTTCACTATGTTGTCCTCCATTAAATCATATTCGATTGAAACCAAACTCGTACGTACTGCTCAAACTTCAATCCACATATTACTCAAAATCAATCTAGCCACTTCCGTTCCCGGGTTTATGTGTTCGGCAGGGCCGTCCCATGATATTTGGAGGCCCGGTTTGAAAACTTAAAATGTGGCCCTAATTTTTTTCCCATAAATTTATCAAAATTAAAAATTAGTAAATAATTGTAAAAAAATATTTAAGTTCAGAAAAAGATTACATCAGGAATAAACGATCTCGTTTCGAGTTTGACCAAGAAACCACGACCGAATTCCCAGCTGTAGTAAGGAGGAAAGTAAATCTGGAAGGAAGAGAAAATGGATATAGCACAAAAATTGAATAGAGAAATGAAAATAGTCTAAATTGATCGAGAGGTGGGTGTAGGGTTGTCTAATAGATCGTGGAGGCCCTATTTCAAAATCTAGACGTGGTCCAAATCGACCTTTAACTATAATAAAACTAAAATGATTTTAATAACATTATTCAAAATATAATATCTTTCTATATTGTTTAAATTAAAATTATCTATTATTTTTCAGATTTTCGTATTCTCCATGACATCTTTTTCAATTGTTATTATAGCTAAAATTATCTATTAAACACATCATCATACTCATAATCAATCAATCATACACTAAAAATATAACCTACAATATACGATCGGTAACTAACGAATCTAAGTAGAGGCCCCTAATATTCTGAGGCCCTGTGCCGGAGGGCGGGCAAGCACACCCACTTGGCCGGCCCTGGTGTTCGGTATTAAATTGGAAGACTTGACACGTGATTTGAAAAAAAATGACAATTTTTTTGTTGTTGATAAAAATGAACAAATTTGATCATAAAAAAAGAGATGTTAAGTAGAAATCGACAACGATCTTATTTTTTATCGAGAAGGAAATATATTCAACCTCGGATAATACAATATATATTACCTAATTAGAACGGCTTTAAACTCACTCAACAACCAACTTGTCTGTGCACCAAAAAGAAAACCAAAACCAATATTAGACTGTGCTTCTTAAAGTAATCGAGAGGAACACACTTGCTCGCTGTGACTGGAGACATGATACGAGGAGCTCGAAATTCGTTTCTCCCCCAATAACATCAAGTAATAGTCTTATACTTTTATTATTATTTATTTCGAACATTAGTGATGATTTTGGTAAGAAGCAAACTTTCGTAACCATTCGTTAGCAAGTCCAAACTCGTATGACCATTAATGAAATTGGCCCCTATCTATAGCGCAGATGTGGATAACGTTAAAATACACCCCTATCTGCAACATAACAAAGGTAATAGTAACTGGATCACACTGCTGTACTAACCGTGTTTTCCACTAACACCCAGCCATCGCATTCGCCTCTCCAGGCTCCCTCTTCCAGCCCCCTTCTCGCTAACTCCAAAAGACAAAATAGCCCAGCCCTCCAATTCCCAAAATCCCTTCTTCTTCTTCTTCTTCTTCTTCTCAAGTCTCTGTCCCAGTCATCAATTGCCCGCACAACCATGGGACCCACCTTCCACCATCGTCATCATCATCACCAATGGCATTCACGTGATTATGTCCCAATTCGGTGCCCACTTTGGAAACACCATTCTTGTTTATATGTATCGCCTTCCCCTTCGTTCCTCAAATGACTCACTCCCACGTTCCTCTCTCTCTCTCTCTCTCTCTCCCTCTCTCTCTCTCTGCACTCTGCTTCCTTCTGAGCTCGACTCTGTTTCTCTTCCCGCCTTTCGAACTGCAAAATCACAAGGGTACTAACTACTACTCCCTTTCTGTATTCTCCTTGATTTGGATTCGTTCTTCCAACTTCTCAGCTGTACTGGGTTTTGATCTATTTTCGTTTCTGGATTGTTTTTGCTGAGCATTGTTTGGTTTTTGCTTGTTTCAGATATAATTGCACTTTGCTTTGAAGAAAGAAAGCGACTGCCTTTCCTTTTGGCTCTGTTTTCTTCTTTCCTCCCTTCTTATCCATTTTTGGACCAAGCAGCAAGCAATCTTCGTGAAGTAGAGGCAAAGTTTGGAAAGCTTTTTTTAGAGGTCAACGGCGCAGCATTCAACCCCACCTTCTTAATCCAATCCAGTTCAGGTACTCTAAACCAAATCCGATTCATTCAATCCCCAGATTGAGAACTGGGTAAAGGGGGGGAAATAAAGATTGGAACTTTAAGCTGAAATCATGGCTGGAATTGGTGGTGATGAATTTCAGGTTTCACAGGAAGCCATCATGAGCAGTGGGATTCTTTACAGCAGTAATCTCAAGTACCCAGATGGAGAACTGAGGAAGAACAGCTTCCAGGATCTTGCTGTGGATCTCAATCCTTACAACCTTCATCATCAGCATCATCATCATCAGCAGCAGCAGCAGCATCAGGGTAGTAATCATTCAGGGTTGGCGCGTCTTCGTTCCGCGCCAAGCTCATTCTTCGAAGATCTCATCAATGGCGGCGCCGGAGGGGGATTTGATGATTTCCGCTACTTCCGACCGTCGAGCCCCGACATGGACGCCATATTCTCGAGGTTGCTGTCTCCGACCAGCAACGGGAACCAGGATCCTCTGCTGCTTCCGTCTCCAGCTGCTCAGGAATTGCGAGGCTTTGTGAAGCAAGAAGCGATGGATTCAAGTTTCCAGCAGAATTTGGGGAACGAAAGCTCGGACGAATGGAAGGATCATGGTAGTGATTCTGCTGCCACGTTCATGGATTCGATTGATTTGGGTTCCTCTGTTGTTACTGCTGCTGCTGCTAATAATAATACTAGCGGTAGTAATGGATCGAATCTCGCTCGACATAACAGCTCCCCGGCTGGGTTCTTCTCCAGCCTGGTCGTTGAAAATGGTAAGCAAACAAGTTTTCCTTGAAGAAAGTCCAAATCTTTATTGCTTCCTTCCTGCTTGTTTCCTGAGAAAATTTCATTTCTAGATCTGCGTTGAATAATAGTGAGTAGCCTGTCTGTCATTGTCACCCATTCACCAATTGCACGTGATCCGACCTTTCTGGACCTAAACTAAAGCTAGCTTGTTTCATTTGACTATTATCAAGGCAGGGGATTGGATTACTTTATGCCTGATTTTGTCAATGGGTGTTTTTTCTTTTTGGGTAGGGTTCCATGGAATTAGGGAAGTCGGTCCATCTCCAAATAACAGTACTAGTAGCAGATTGAGCAGCAGCCGTACAACAAGCTTCAGTACTTCAGCTCCCAGATTGTTGCCCCAGATTTCTGAAATCGGTGAGGAAACATTCAAGACTCCCAACTCTGGGAAAAGGCTCTCCTCAAACAACTCGTGGGACTTCACTTCTTCAAATGGGATCAAGAGATTGAAACAGGACAATGATGGTGATGATTTGGACTTCTTTTCGACCTTGAATGCAATGGATAACATTCATCAGCAGGTAACGTTACTGGTTTCGAACCAAATGACTGAATGTAGGTAGAACATAATGAAGTGGTGAAGTTGCTGATGGTATGTTGTTAAATGTTGGTGCTTTTTTGGTCTCAGAATGGTAGTGGTGGTGGGAATCGGTTGACTCACCACTTGAGCTTGCCTAAAACTGCTGCTGAGATGGCGTCCGTAGAGAAGTTCTTGCAGCTTCAAGGCTCCGTCCCTTGTAAGACTCGTGCCAAACGAGGTTTCGCCACTCACCCACGAAGCATTGCTGAAAGGGTATGTTTACTTGTTCTTTGTCCATGTCCATCTACCTCACTTATCATCAACTGCTTCATGTCTTTTGTCCAGAAAGAATTGTGTGTTTATACGCCCATGGTGTTGAATTGCAGGTAAGAAGAACGAAAATTAGCGAAAGGATGAGGAAATTGCAAGAACTTTTCCCCGTAACAGATAAGGTTAGGTTTCCTCTCCATTTCATCAAATATCTAATTAGGGTTTCACCATCAACCATATCAAGTACTTATCTTTGTTCCTCCTTTTTCTTGTTATCCAGCAGACCAACACAGCAGAAATGTTAGATTTGGCAGTTGAGTACATCAAAGACTTGCAGAAACAAGTCAAGGTAAGGCCCAACCCACACCATCAAAGACAACAACTTTGGATAAACTTGAACTTGGTTCCATTGCTAAAGTCCTTTCCTTTTATGTCAAATGCAGAGTATGAAGGATACAAAAGCCAACTGCACATGTTTGAGAGAACAGAAAGCTTGATTTGTTTTTGGGTTGTTCTATGTACATAAGAAAAGTAAAATGTTTAGGAAGATGGGGCCAGAAGATAGTTTCTTGTTTTTTGGTGAAAGAAAGGTAATGTGGTATGTGGATAAGAAAAAAATGGTTAGTTGCTGTAGCAGTAGGATTTGGTAGGGGGTTTCGAGGAACACACTTGTCTATTGCCTGCCTCCCCTGCCCTTACCACATTTGTTTTGATGGTTCATCCTGCTGAAATTAGAAAGAGAAGATCATGAAATCCTTATCCAACTGTAATTGTATTCTACTCTTCTCGGTGATTACTTTAAAAGTAAAGGATGGATAGTTCATTCTACAGCTTAACTCAAGTCTGTAACTGCAAAAAGAACAATGCACTGTCAAAGTGGAAAGAAAGCTCTTGGTCCAAATGAGAGAAATTGGATTTTTGTATGGTTATGGAGTTGCAAGGATAGTTGATTGATAATCAATGTAATTGCAAACCAATTGCATATTAGGTTTTTATTGTCACTTCAATATTTTTGCAATCCAACTCATATTAGTGGTATCGCAATTATATCTGCAATCCACTTGCAATTGCAATTAATATTATGTTTAAATTATGATAAAATAAAGTAAAATGGAAAATAAAGTAAAAGACAAGAAAATAATGAATTTCTATTTTAGGCCATTTTAGCTTGCATATGCAATTGGGTAGCCCAGCTGGTGGGTTGTTAGTTCGCCCATGCAACGTCGTGTGTTAGGGGTGGGCATTCGGTCGTTTCGATTTCGACCGAACTGAAATTATGAATACCACCAAACTTCAAACCAAATTATAATTCGGTTCGGTCAGTCTAAACCGAATTATAATTCGGTTCGGTTCGAAATTTCATACAAAACCGAATTTGTGAGGCTACTTTGTATCTTCTCACTTTTAAATTATTTTTCACCCTTAATGTAAATAATAAATATACAATTGTATGCATCATCAATGATAAAATCGAACATTTCAACACATAAGTCATAAAACACTAACATGTTTCAAATATACAAGTTTCAAAACAACTACAAACATAAAAATCCACCATTTGGAGCTTGCAATTATAGTAATTCGGTTATTCGGTCGGAACTTCAGAAATTTGGTTCGGTAGAAAGAACCCTGATTTCCGAAATATCATATTTCTCTTTCGAATTTCGAACTGAATAGCATTATTTTTGTTTCGGTTCGATTTAATTCAATTTTGGTTTGGTTCGGATCGGATTTACCAAACCGGTTGCTCACCCCCTATCGTGTGTTCAATCCGTACCATCAATCAGTTGGATAATAAAACCCTTGAGTAGCACTCCGCTCTCACCTGGGCTGAAGGGTAGCGACCCGGGGTTTGGCCTGACTACGGTATAACTAAAAGTGATGACCGCGGAGGTGTTCCTCGTATAAAAAATGGAAAAGAAAATAATGAATGCATAATTTTTAGACCATTTTGGCTTGCATATGCAATTGCATTTGTTGCAAGCTTGCAACGGGTAGATACATAGCCTACATTGATGCAATTGATTTTGCAAATGCAAAAACTCATGCAATGTAATCTTGCAATTGAAATGCAAGACCAATGTGGATGCTCTTAGATGCAAGCTTGCAAAGATGCAATTGTTATCTACATTAATACATTTGCACAATGCAATTGCAAATGAATGTCATGTCATGACGCAAATCAAAATGCAATTCCAATATGAATGCTCTTATACATTGGGAATTCTATTTATGATCAAATGAATTCCTTTAACTCAAAAATAATAAATTGCTAGATCAATTTATAAATATTCAAAGATCTTACATGATGCTATATGGAAGTTGATACTCACCACTAGCAAACATTACTGATCCGCATCTTCAACTAATTCTCACGATCTTGATTTGCTTTCTTTTTTTAACCTTTTTATTGCCGTCCCATTAATGTGGAAGAAAAACAGAGCATGGGAACCGGAAAAGAGGGGAAAGAAAAGGAAGAAAAAAACAAGGGAAATCCTCCGCACGAAAAAACGGCTCTTTGTGAAACGGTTTCGAATGCAAACGTTCTTATTTCGTTGCCTAAAAGTCGTTGGTCTTTTTTTGGTCATCATCGCGGCCAGCTTACTCTGTATCTGACCCTTTTCCACCCTGCTTCCCTTTCCCCTCCCTTTTTCCGCCAACCCCAAGAAGATTAAGAACTCTGAGAAAATTCTCCCTTTTTACCCTCTCCAGATCTTGCCGGTGAGGAACTGAGCTCGAAGGCTCCCATCTTTGTCGATTTTGTAAAAGGGCTTTTTGCTTTCTCTTCTTAGCTACGCGCAGCAGAGACGATAGAAAGGAGGGAAACAAGATGTCGAATTTGCACGGGAGTTACAACCAGAAGATCGACTACGTGTTCAAGATCGTGCTGATCGGAGACTCTGCCGTCGGGAAGTCGCAGCTGCTGGCCCGATTCTCGAGGGACGAGTTCAATGTGGACTCCAAAGCCACGATCGGGGTAGAGTTCCAGACCAAGACACTCGTCATCGATCACAAGACCGTCAAGGCTCAAGTTTGGGATACCGCCGGCCAAGAAAGGTACCTTTTCTCCTTTACCCACTTCCCTGGACTCTGTAGCAATTAGCAAAGAAGATAGAGAACAAAAAGGGTGCTGCCTTCAGATTGTTTGTGGGTTCATTCTGCTGGCTTCCTATGTGTGTTCCCAATCTATAAAGTTTCCAACTTTGAACTGTTTTGAATGAACAAGTCTCTGAGAATCCATTCATGCAAGAAGTAGTTGAGTGAGGTTCAAGGATGGATCTTTATGCTATTTTGATTAATGGTTCTCAAGATTTAAGAAAGCCTCGCCCTTTTTGCGGTGTTGAACCGGAGTCGCTAATAATAGAAATGGACTGGTTCCCTTGGGGGTTTTATTTAGTTTCTTGTGGCCGATTTTTCCAGGTACCGAGCAGTAACAAGTGCATACTACAGAGGAGCACTAGGGGCTCTGCTGGTTTATGACATAACAAAGCGAGAATCTTTTGATCATATGGCGAGGTGGTTATCTGAACTCAGGGAGCATGCTGGTGATAGTATAGTTGTCATGCTGATAGGAAACAAGTCCGATTTGGGGTCCCTTCGAGCTGTCTCAACTGAGGATGCCAAGGAGTTTGCTCAGTCACAGAATGTGTTCTTCATGGAGACATCGGCACTCGAGGCCACTAATGTTGAGCCAGCTTTCGTCTCGGTCTTGACTGAGATATATCGAATTGTTAGTAAGAAGAACCTTCTTCCCAATGAGGAACACGAGAAGGGGGATGCTTCGCTTCTCAAGGGGACTGAGCTTGCTGTCAACAATGAATTGCCACGAGCTGGAGGAACGAGTAGTTACAGATGTTGCACAACATCATAAAAGGCTTGTGATGTCTTGTTTGGCTCTCTCCATCTTTTGCAGGTACTTCGCTGCAATCTGCATTGGCCGGCATATGTGAAACAAGCGGAATTACTTGTGATCTTCTGCTGTTTTAGAGATTTTGTTGTTGTACTTATCTCATTGATCTTTTCACTTCCTTTTGATGAATCTCACTTACTGCATAGGTATGTAGAGTGCAAGTTTTCTGTATGGAATCAGAAATGCATAGTTGAAGAAAATGAAACTGGTGATTTTTGTTTGTTTGATATGATGAACATCGAGCACATAGTTGTGGCATTTTTCTGTAACTGATTTTGCGGAGTTTGTTTGGAATCTATTGTTATATCTGGAATGAGTTCCTTGGAACCACCATGCATTTTGTGAATGTTCTTCTCTCTTTGTTTGGCTTCTGAAAATACTGATGATTTTTGCTTATGAATTGATAGCTTTTAGTCAGAGGTAAGAGATATCGCATTCTTCTCCTAGTTGATCATGCTGCAGTTTTCTTAGTTGCTGCATAATTTTTGTTCATCGTTCTGCATTATATCATCTTGATATCTTCATTGACGACATTCTCGTTTATTGAAAAGGTGCATGGTTTCTCTGAAAAAGTTATGCTCTACTTGATGAATTTATTGATCATATAGGTAGAGTAAGGAAGGTTTTTTCAACAAAATCTGATCAAATAACCAGTAGCACCTCTACAAGTGAAAGTGCTGGTAGCATCATCATAAGCATAGCTATAATAACTAGGGCAAGCAGCTTTGAAAATCTTCGAGAAGCTGGACGGCTTGCAACTCTGAGGGTTTCCATACTCTCCAGTGCAACAATACTCGGGAGTATGGTACGCAGTGCAAGCACTTTTACAAGCAACAACCCGTCCTCCATCATCCACCACCTGCAATTCCTGCGGACAACTCGTGTTCAAGTCCGAAAAGCACTCCACTTTCTTGCAGTCTCCCGTCCCACCAGACGGATATATCGATACCGGGATGTTGAATCCATCAACGACACTGACGTCGTAGAAATTGAGGTCGTCGAGAGTGAACTCTGCGAGTGTTGCTGGTGGCTCGCCACCTACTCCATTGCACTGTAACAAGCCACCACCACAATCGCCAGTCGAGCATTTGTGGTTGTTGGGGCCGAATGAGCATCCGGTTCGTGGCCAGAATCGGCCTGACCATTGATGTGGCACATCAAATGTTATGGACTGCCCGGGGTTTAACTGAGTGCCTCCATTGATGAGGAGAGGCCCCCTTCCCGAGAGAGTCCCGGGCCATATGGTTGTGCTGCATCTGTTTTGGAGTGTGAAAGTTGCAGCATTGGCAGCTGAGGCAGATATCAAAACCAAGAGGAGGAAGAAGAGGTGGTTAATATATTCCATGGCGGAAGGTAGAATGCTAGAGACTGGAGATTGGGATGCTTTAGTAAGTCATGGTTATATACAAGAAGTGAAGAGGCAAAGCACACCTAACTTCCCTTTTCCCTATTGCAGGCACTTACTAAATGAGCTAATTTTCAGTTATTTGATCGTGAATAGGAAGCTCAACTCTCACCCACTACCCTTTATATCGGCTAGGAAACCCAAAAAGAGGCTGAAGTGTAATTTTGCATTACCTACTTTGGCAAGAAACACAAGTGATGCCTCACAATTTATTGCCGGTTTCCTTGTGATAGAAGTTATTACTCAACTATCCTTTACGTGGTGGTATTGTGGGTGTTTGTTAATTGATCCTCGGTGAGCAAAAGAAAGATCATCATGCCGTTCACATTCCTCACACGAATACTCTAAAATAAAGGATTTCTAGCCCCTAACTTGTGGGCTAAAAAGGAGGGGTGTATTGATATCATAGTGTATTCATCATGAATATTAGTGACGAATAAGAAAATCAGACATATAACACATAACAAGAAGCTATACTTTTTTATTTGACTATTTCTAACTTAAATAAACCCAAAGAATTTGGCATAATAATTAATCATTGAAATCAGGTGATGACCTTTGCAGAGGGAAAGGATTGAAGATAGTGGTGGGATGACAAACAAGTGGTTTTCCCAACTTCAAAGTGAACCCTGAACATGCTTCCATGCTCACCATTTCTTCCCCATCTGCAAGCTCCCAATCAAAGCACTGAACCATAGCTGCAATTGTAGGGCATATCAAAGCAAACGCCATGTTCGACCCGGGGCACTTTCTCCTCCCCCCACCAAATGGAACAAACCCATTAATCCCTCCTCCCCTCAGAAAACCGTCCTGTTCAATGAACCTCTCGGGACGGAACTCGTCGGGATTGATCCACATCTCTGGATCTCTCATTATAGAGAATATGTTGATAGCCACTGCTACACCTTTCGGTATGTCGAACCCTCCAATCCTGCACGCCTCGTGGCTCGCCCTTGGTGCCAGGATTGCTGGAGGATGTAGCCTTAACGTTTCTTTGACAACGGCTTCCAAATAATGAAGACCTGGAATGTCTCCCTCTTCCACTAGCCTGCTTCCAACTTGCTGGTTGATCTCTTCTCGAATTCTCCTGAATGCGTCGGGATGGTTGATAAGCTCTGCCATCGTCCACTCCATTGCGTCTGCAGTCGTGCTGGTGCCTGCAATGAATAAATCCTGAACCAACCAGAATGATACGAAAGAGTTAATGTTGATACCTGAAACCAGTTAGCCACCCATAATTAGCCAATTGTTATACCAAGAAGAATGCTTTGATTTGTCCCCTGGTGATTTTCATCTCCGCATTTGCATTCTTGGACACTTCCAGGAGAACATCCATCAGATCACAAGCTTCTCTGCCGCCATTAACATAATCGTGGTCAGCAGCTCTTCTTTCCTCGTGCTCTTTCAAAATCCCCTCCAGCAACTCATCGTACCGCGCAGGAACATCCCTAGCTTGCTTTCTGAGCGCCAGATGTCCCAACTTCTTCAAAGGTCCAAGCAGATTAGCGAGAGCCATTTTGGCGGTCAGCTCCAGAGACTCCTTGATCAAAGCTCTGCACCTCTCTGCTTCGTTGCCGCTTTCCGTCGAACACCTGGCGCTCATCGCCATCCTGCAGGTCGTGTTGTTAGTCAGCGTCATCAACTCCCCTCCCACGTCCACTGCTTCCCTTTTCAACCCCTTTTCCATCAACTTCGTCAAGAATCGAACCAATTCTTCCCTTCTCAGGAACCTCGATCGGTCTAGCTGGCGAGGGGAGAGCAATTCGGTGACGCAGAGCTTCTTCATGAACCGCCAGTAATCGCCGTAAGGCGCCGTGACGAACCCGGAGTCGCCGAACAAGAGGCGGCCTTCCAGTGGGGAGTCGGGGCGGGAAGAGAAATTGAGGTCGTGGGTTTTGAATATCTCGGCGGCGAGGGTCGCCGACGAGACGAGGACGAAAGGGTAGGAGCCGAACTTGAGGTGGATTAGTGGGCCGTATTCGGAGCTGAGAGCGTGGAAGCATTTGTGGAGGTGGAGTGATGGGGTTTTTAGGAGGAAATGAATGTGGCCGATGATCGGCAGCGCCGGCGGGCTCGGCGGAAGACCGCAGAGATTGGGACGAGCTGGGTTGGGGAGTAGCATTAGTTTCTTAAGTATGAAGAGCAGAAGGAAGAAGAAGAAAACGATGGTAGTGGAGGTGATGAAATGTTGAATAAGTTCGTCGCTAAATGTACCATCCGACGCCATTATTTTAGTGACGGCGAGAAGGGCTGCCACCATTTCATTACCCGAAACTAGACTTTTATAAGACTTTTAGACAATAGAAGTGTAATACGACATTTGATAGAAAAAGTAAAGTATAAAGAAGCAGTTTAATTAATTAATTAATTTTATATTTAATTAATTAATTAACATCCGATGCCATTATTTTACAACTATAAATAGATGACTGTCATAATTCTTTTAGTGATGAGAGATTACTTCTTCTTCCCGTTTTCCTTCTCTACTTCATAAACACAGAAGGCTGCAAGATAGCTGCTTCCAGACTTAAAATTGAAGGGACTCCTAGGGTGATTTGCTCGAGCCTACCAGCAATTTGTAGTGGGGGCAAATAACACTCTAAGGAGAGTGATCTAATTACGCCTTCAGTCGATTTTTTCCTACCAGTTCCTGACATGATAAATAAATAAACAAATATCTGAATCCCAATTTGGTTTGTGGTTATGGTTTACAATCATATTAATGATGAACACACGTAATGTAAAACTTGATAATCTGTATCTTTGCCGACAACACAATAGCCTTTTTTTGTATTTTTATTAGTTAATTATCTTAGTAATATCTAGAATTAACCTGTTTTTCTTATTACTTACTGCAAAGTTAATACACAGCTACATTATTATCTTCTCGTTAACAATGCATGAAGCAATCCATTCCTTCCCTCCTGCATCGATTGTACTTCAGAGTCATCCCTCTGCAAGCAGCTCCCGCCTGCCTATTTCTTCATAATCTCGCCTGACATAAACACCAAACAAAGAACAAAAGGAACCAAACTTATATTTTGGAAGAAAACGGGAAGGAAGGAAAAATGGGTTGGAAGCTTCAGACTTGCTATCTAGCTAGTTACTATTGTGTACACGTTACATGGATCGAAGATGGCAGAGCACTTGTCCGGGAGAAGCATGGCCATGTTGCGGTCGACCCCGGAGATGGGCGGCCCATTGACGAGGGCGCAGAGGCAAGGCTGTCCCAGCGTCCTTATGGCATTGCAGCATGCGTCGCTCGGCGGGATGGGGCTGAACGGTGCCACCGCCGCCCTGCAAGGTATCAGCTGCACCAGTGCCGAGAAGAATGTGCTCCCGCACGTCAATGCTTTCCCTTCCCCGACTCCCACCACCGCCATCCATGCCATCACCACCGCCACTATCATTGCTCCTCCTCCTCCTCGACGCTTCATCGTCAAAGAGCTGCTGAGCTTTTGGTGTAGATAGAGATCGGACAGACTTATATATTCTCAATGCTTGTGTATGTGTGTGTGTGTATAAATATAATACAGAGGGTTGGTTCATGCTGTTTCTCTATGCCTTAAGGGCTTAATTGTATGTATGATGGAGTAGAGAAAGAGATCATACACTTCATGCGGCTGCTCTGCTTTCTATCTGACCTGTGTTGCCTGTGTGTTTGCTTCACTGATGAAACAGTTAGCCAGCTCCAACTTCATGACTCCATTCTGACTAGTTCCCTTTCAGTTTTGGCGCTCTGCTTTCTTTCCTGGGTTAAAAACTGCTTAGGCAAAAATAGCTCAGCCGGGCATGTTAATAGTACAGAATGATGCCGTGATAAGAGGGCAGAGGAATCCCTGCTCTATGTGGTTAAAGGAAGTTTTATCAGGCTCCATTCAGTGGCAAATGTAGCTCGAATATGACCGAATCGATATTAGGATAAAACACAAGGAACAATTATAGTTCAGTTTAGTTTTGATTTCACAGATCCTGTTAAAAACGACGGGAAAACAAACCAAACTTAACTGAACTGGTTTAAATGGAATCAGAATCCGGCCAAGTATACTCAAGTTGGCTTCCATCCTATAGATCTTGTTCGACACAATGAAAACCAGACCAAACCGAAACCAGCCGAGATCAAATGCTCTTACCCTTCAACTCTTATTCTCGTTTCTTCACTCTTGATCTAGTCCTATGCCGATTTGGTCTAACCCAGTACCGCACACTCACCTACAACCACAATTTATCATTACCAGAAGGATGCACATAAATGATAAGGCAAAAAGGCTGCAATCTCCATATAACAAAGCACACTTGGATATTCCATTTCACTAAGAAATTGTATGTTTGGGACAAGAAATGAAATGACACATGATTGCATTAGTAAAAAATTGACAATGATAATGGGTTAAATTAAGTTGTCGCCGAATTGATTAGCGACCAGTGTCATCCTTCTTGTTTCCTTTCAGATTGATGACTGCAAGCTCCTGTTCGACGAACTCTCCAGCAGGGAGGGGCGGGTATTTGGCGGCAAGTGGGGATTCTGCAAAGTGTCCTAAAGGCTTCAACACGGCATCTGATGCTATATGCGCGAAGAGCTGAATATTGCAAATGAGATGACATTGGTGAGCATTAACGTTAAAGCATTCAAGCAGGAAAAATAAAAAAGCTTTTTGCTTTTGTTTTTACCGTTGAGGATACTCTCCACAGGCTGCGATTTTGCTCTGATGCTAATTTGATTGCGTCGATAGTTCTCTTGGTGACAACAACCTCATGCATACCGGCTATGCAATCACCAGCAGTCAACCACTCTATCTGCAGAACCAAAGCAACTTAAGCTATTATTAAATTCAAGCCTATGTATCATTTTAATCCACCTGGTTATGCTTAATCAACAATCTGTCTCCGAGGAACATGTAGTATTATTTACTTCACGTCATTTATTCGATGTACGTTGATCTTTCATCGATCAAACATTAATAGTTGTACCTGCTTCCCTGTCTGAATAAGCAGACATCCAACAGGAACCTTCACTTGAACCTTTTGGCCGTTTCTTAGCCAAATGCTAAGACCAGGAAATCTACTTCTCCCATGAATCGTAAGAAAGTTGAGGTCATAATGATATCCAGCAAAGACAGTGCCTTCATTGCCATAACGGCGAAGGTCACTCCCTGTTGGAGCAAGAAGATGAGGTCCCTGCAGGGGGCAAGGGACTGTTCATAAGTATTTGCTAAGACAGAAGCATTAAGTTGAAGAGCAAGAATTAGAAATATGAACAGATGACCATATGAAATGGCCTTGTTACTGAAAATGACAACTAGGATTTAGGAGATAGACTGAGAGAACGGTTATACAATCATCATGTAGGCAAACAGTGAAAGCAAATCCCTGCTTTTATGGTTATATAATCAAAGAGCAAAGGGGAAAAGCTATCCAGCTCTGGCTGGAAGGGCAATTGGTAGACATTCAATCAATCCTCGGTAGCAATTAAGAGACTTATTCTGTTTATTCATCCACATTCCACAGTTTTCTGGTTAACTATTTTGAAAACCAAAGCAACTAAAAATCCAGAAACGAGAATCACCTGCTTCATAAGAGAAGTGAATGCATCCTTGGGCAAGCCAAAACCTATAGCTGCCATTTCAGCAACAACCTGGTTGAGAGATAAGCATCAGCCATAAGAAAACATAAAGCCAAACAGCCGTTAGAATCAAAATGATCAGCAGCCAGACTAAATGGGTCACCTCTATTGCTGAGATCATTTTGAGCCCCCATGAGTCCATGGTGTCTTTCCATTCAGGAAAACCTTCAGGGATGACAGGCTCTGCATTGAGTTCCTGCCGGGATATGATCAATCAGAATCAGCAAGTAGGGGATGGGGGTAAAAAACACTTAAAAAGGGAATTTAGAGCCCCACTACCTTAAACTGAGTATTCGATGGTCTAGGGCCTACTCTCCACATGTACCGCCATTTGGGATCAGCTCCCTGGGGAAAAGAAGGCTGCAACTCTTTAGGCATCGCCTTGAGCTTCTCCTGAATCTCTTCATCAACCAGGCTTCTGGGGACTTCTACACCTTCCGGCGTCACCCCAACCTGCCATTCCATTTCCATGCCACAATGATACATAAGTAACCAACCGTAAGATGTTTGAGCTTTTGGAACAGGTTTCTTTATCTCAGCTCATTTTCTCCGCCTAGTTAAGTGATAAGCCAGTCTTTCATCCTAAGATGAAACTGAAAGCATGGAGCACAAATCTCATATCACAGGCCCCAACTACCTTAGTTCATTTCCTTAGCAGGCAATCCAAGTTAGTGCCCGTCAGACAAAGGTAGATTCTGCAACATAAAGTACTGATTCGAGTGATTTTCTTCCAATTTATTATGGATCGGTGCAGAAAGAGCATCTCTCTGAATCTAACTCACTCTCACAGAGCTGGTCCAAGCAAACACGTTCCTTATACATCAGCCAGACAATATCTTCTATGATCCCTTAGCAGCCAACCATTTCATTTCCCATGTAAGTATGTCTACTTGACTATTTCGATTTCTATGTTTCCCTGATTTCACTTAACAAGATACGAGCTTGATCAGAAGTTCAGCTTGAAGGAAGAGCGAAATTGAGTCACTCACACTTGATTTGTTCTAACAAATTCCAGTCACTTTCCCAACATCCAAAGCAAGCCAACGACACAAAATGGAGGCAAACAACAAAAAGGGGAAGCTCCAGCCTCCAGGACCAGGAGATTACCTGATAATGCAGGTGCGGTCGCTCCTGCAGGCGCTTGAATTCTGCCGGCATCTCGAAGTACTTCTCCATCATATCAATGAAGCGATCGTTATCCTCGGCGCTGCATCTCGGATCCTTCACCACTAATGCGCCAGTTTCCTTGAGTATCCGACTGACCTCCTTGCACAGCTCGCCGAGCTCCGCCGATTGGGCGGCGATTTTCGCCGGGTCGGCGCTCAGCTGGTCGGCGATCTCCAAGTACCGGGACAGATCTATCACCGGCACCTCCATTGCTACGAAAACCCAATTTGGCAGTTTCTTTCTTTCACTGGCGGGAGAGGTAAAGGAAAGGATGGGTGGGTGGGGCGGACTTTATTGAAATGGAGGAGGCGGGAAGTGCACGCTACCTCGGTGGCGCGTGAGAGCGGCGACTCAAGCAAGCTCCGTGTGGGGATTCTGTTCCGTGTAGTGACTCAATACTGTATAGGATCTGATTAGGCGGTAATGAATTAATATCGAATAGGTAGGTAATTGGTTGTCAAAATTTGGGGTCCGTATCCCATCTGTAATTATTAGATGAGTAACCTTATGCATATCTCAATAAAATTTGATATTCGATTAGTGTCTTGGCTGCTCATTTTAAAAGATTATTCAGATTTGATATTCGTTGGACTTCAATGTCAGAGGCTGAGCTAATTATTAGCTACGTTTGGAACTCACAAGTTATAGGATCTGTACAATATTGCTTGTTCTCTAGACTGTTGCGAGTAAGGCACTCCCTAGTGGATTGGTGTAAAGGAAGGCAATCCAATTCAGCTAGATTGATTAATGACCTTAATTCCGCACTGGAAAAAGCCAGGAACGAACAAATGGTGGATTGGAATTTAATTCGATCCTTGGAAGAGAACTTGTCCATCCAATATAAAAGAGAAGGGATCTATTGGAAAAAGAAGTCTCGTACTAATTGGTTAAAAGTGGGGGATAAAAATACTGCATATTTTCACCTAGTCACCTCATCAAGGCGTCTAAATAACATAATTTGGGTACTCAAGGATGAAAGAGGAATCTGGTGTACTTCAGAAGTAGAAAAATGTGGCATAGCCAAGAGGTACTATCAAGGGCTTTTTCAAAGTCAAAATCCGAGTGGTATAAATCTCTCCGATCTAGTTTTCACAAACTACCTTACAGAAGAGCAGAATCTGGGGTTAATAGCTCCTATCTCTGTAGAGGAAATAAAAAAAGTGGTCTTCAGTCTGGACAAAACTCAAGCTCCAGGTCCAGATGGGTTCACAACCAGCTTTTATCAACATTATTGGCCCGTGGTTGGACAAGACGTTACTCAGGCAGTTCTAACGTTCTTTCATATAGGAAGACTGTTGAGAAGCTTTAATCGGACTTGGATTTCCTTAGTGCCAAAAGGGTCGGAAGTTTGTACTATGAAAAATCTCAGACCCATTAGCCTTTGCCAAGTGGTGTATAAGATTATCTCCAAGATACTAGCCAATAGACTTACTCAAGGTTTTGCCCTCAATCATTTCTCAATCTCAAAATGGGTTCATCAAGGATCGCCAGATTGCAGATAATATTATGATCAGCCATGAGGTCACCCACCATATTAAAACCCTTTACTCAGGGTCGAAGTGTTGGATGGCTCTAAAACTAGATATAGAGAAAGCGTATGATCGTATTGAGTGGTCATTTCTCTTTGAAATGATGAAGAAATTAGGGTTCAATAGTCAGTTCGTATCCTGGATTCAGGAGTGTGTGACCACTGTCTCCTATTCCATCCTCGTTAATGGCTCCCCTTCAGAGTACTTCAGACCCTCGAGAGGACTTCGCCAAGGTGACCCTCTATCTTCTCTGTTATTCGCTATATGCATAGAGGGTTTCTCTACAATGATAAATCAGGCAGTAACCATGGGCTTCTTGGAAGGAGTAAGGATTCGTCAGAACTGTCCAATGATTTCTCACCTCTTCTTCGCTGATGACTCTTACCTTTTCGTACAAGCATCCCGTGCTTCTTGTTCGAATCTATTATCCTTGTTCAAGGATTATGAAAGACTAAGTGGACAAAAAGTTAATCTTTCCAAATCGGCAGTGCTATTTAGTAGAAATACTAATAATCGGCTTTAATATATCGGATGCTTGAACTTTATGTGACTATCCCATGATACATTTAAGCCGATTGATGCTATTTTAGGGCTCGCTAACCCGAGAATGGTTGAAAAAACCATTACTGCCTAGTGCCATGAGTTTGATGTATTACAGGTGAATAAAGCACGATAAAGGAGATTGGGTCGAGTTTCCCTGGGGACCGAATAATTGGAGCAGGCTGCAGGGAGTTGAACGGCAGCAGTGTTTTTGGGCTTGGATTGGCCCACTGAATTCACTTGGGCCAGGGACACGGAATTGGGCCAGGAAGAGGATGGTGACACACACAATAGGGGGAATCAATTTTTGGGCCAGAGGTCGGCTGGAAAATTATTGGCCTGGGAGGATTTATATTTGGCGGGACGGAATTCCAGAAAAGAGAGGAAAAAAGCAGGGGCGCAGAAAAGCTGGGGACCGGGGGGATCTTCTAATTTGGGCTGGCGGCTATTATAAGAAGAGGGAACAAAAATTCTCAAAGGGGGGAATTATATTTGGGGGGCGAATTATTCTGGGGAGTAAAAAATCTCTTTTGGGGCGAAAAGGCATGGGAGCAGCGCAACAGAGCTTTGGGGACGAGTGGCGATTGGCGAGTCACTTCTCCCAAGACGGTTTGAGCTGATTTCAACGAGAGCGATTATTTTGGTTGGATTTTTTAGTCCGAACTAGTTGTTTATTGTTGATTTAGAACATGATGAACAAAACCCTATTGTTTTATCTCAGTTTTATCATGAACTAAACCCCGATTTCTGGGGGAAACACCATAGGGTGTAGCTATTTATATATTTGATGGATTGATTCATATGTCTTTTCTTCCGATCTCTATTGCATGAAATTACTTAATGCTTTGTGTTGACTGGCCACCAATACATTGATTTGTAGTTAATTAGGTTATTAGCGACAGTGAAACCTTATTAACTGAACATATTTCATGTGACATAGTAACTTATCGAAGCGAAAGTGGATTAAATAAGGTACTATGCGGTCTTGATTGGGATATCGGTCTTAAGGCTAAATAATTAACTCAATGAGCTACGACAGTAGGATTTGATTTAATTGTTTAGTACGTAGTAATTCCCGACAGAGATAGCTAGCACAGTAGTGATATCCTGGCTGTAGAGATATTGATTAAACTGATTGGAATATGTGAATTAATTTTGATATGATAGGTAGTGAGTCCCGCTGTTTCTCCCAGAGCTTTCTCCATTGAATTTCTCCCAAACAGTTTTCATTTAGTTACTTTGTTTATTTTATTTTGCTTTTAGAAATTAGTCTCATTAAACTATTTGCACTTATAGTTTGCTCATAAAATTGATAGAACTTAAGGTTGTACCAGTCCCTGAGCGACGATACCCGGACTTCCCGGTTTTACTATGAGATAGGATTGAGGCATTACACTTTTGCCTTATCAAGTTTTTGGCACCGTTGCTGGGGATCGAACTCGGGTCACCCGCGTGACAGGCGGGAATACTTACCACAAGCAAACTGAAAGTGAAAAAGCTGAAAAATCTGACTTACACAGGCAAACTGCATGCAATTTGCCTGTGCATGAGCATTCTGCCTGTGCAACTCCAAAGGTGGAAAAATTGAAGAATGAAGAGGTAAAGCCTTATGAACCTCCCGCACCATTCCCTCAAAGGTTAATGAAGCCCATGGAAGACCCAAACTTCAAGAAATTTGTGAATATCTTCAAGCAACTTCATATCAACATACCATTGGTGGAGGCACTTGAACAGATGCCTACATATGCTAAATTCTTAAGGGAGTTGCTGACGAAGAAGCGCAAATGGGCTGATCTGGAGAAGGTAACCGTTACTTCTGAATGTAGTGCCGTGATTCAGAATAAATTACCAGAAAAGAGGGATGATCCGGGCAGTTTCACCATTCCATGTGTTATTGGAGGTAGATAGTTCGATAAATCAATTTTGTGATCTTGGAGCAGGAATTAATTTGATGTCATACTCAGTCTACAAGAAATTGGGATTGGGAGATGTTCTTAAACCTACTCGGATCACTCTCCAATTGGCTGATCGATCCGTGAAAATTCCAAAAGGAGTGGTGGAGAATGTATTGGTGAAGGTGGGGAAGTTTATTCTCCCAACAGATTTTGTTATTCTAGAGATGGAAGAAGATCAGGGAGTGCCTCTAATTCTCGGCAGACCTTTTCTAGCAACTGGTGATGCACTCATCGATGTTAGAAGAGGCAAGTTGACATTCCGAGTAGGTAAGGAGGAGGAAATTTTTAATGTCTTTCAAGTTGATCATAATCACGATACATTTGATGACCTTGAAAGTGGATCTCGAGAAAGGAAAAATTCCTCTTCCTGTGATAGTGGATCAGCTGAAGTATCACATGTCCTAGCAGCTAAAAGTCTGAAATCAAAGCAAGGGCAGAAATCCTTGCCAGGTCACCTTAAGTATATATATTTGGGTAAGGATTTCAATCTTCCTGTTATTATTCCTTCTTCACTGACACTGAAATAGGAAGAGTACTTGATTGAGGCGCTGTAGTACCACCTACGCCTCACTAAAGGATCCAACATGCCAACTAAGAAGGTCATACCCAATTTTCGCACACCTGGCCCTGCTGAGGTGACTCATATGTTGGATGGAGGTTATGCGTTCTATCATTTCTCATGAGGGTATTCTGGATACCTTTCCATACCCATTGGTTGAAAGCTCCATGAACGTCAGGCTGAGGATGTTAAACAAGCGCTTCTTGGGAGGCATCCAAGGTAAGATTTCTTTTCTTTATTTTTCTTTTTAGCTGTGTCAAACCCGTGCATGTTTAGATTAGGAGTTGAACATTAGGGACAATGTTCCATCCCGAGTGTGGGATGGTGAGTCTTAGTGTTGTTTGTCCCTATTGCATGTGGTAAAAAAAATAATAAAAAAATTTGCCATTAGGTTGAGCACAGCCAAACTGCATGTAGTTTGCCTGTGTTGGTGCAGTCTTCCTGTGCAAAGCTAATGGCTAAAAAAACACCTAAAAATTAGAAAAATTAAAAACAAAACCTTGTACTCTTGTGGTAACATGATGTAAATGACCGTGATGCCTTGAAAATGAGTTTGTGCTTGAATGAAATCATCAAAATCACCCCACTAGTGTTGAATTGCATAGTTCTTCACAATGAGCTTAAATGTTTTGACTGACTTGATATGCTTTGAATGAGCAAACTCTTTTAGCAACACTCTCTTTTGTGAGGATAGTGTAATGACTTTTGGTGAAGTAGTTAGGTGGAGAACATTGACCATTCTACATGTTTGGATACCGTGCTTACTTGCATCAATTGTGAGCTTTTGAT